TTGGCGACGCGCCCTGTGCGATCGTTTACGGTCAAGCTGGCATCGCGCACCAATGTCGCCATTGGCTACGCGACGCGCGACCACTTTCATCCCTCGGGCTCCTTGGGCAAACTCTTGTTTTCGTGGACGGATGCCGCCAATGGGCCGAGCAAACATCCAAAATTTGCAGCTGAAAACGTACAGCTAACGTGTGTCTGGAGCACTACGAAGAGTCGAGTGCACATCAACATCAATGGCACGTACCACACGAGCTTGCGGAATCCGACTGCTGGCGCGTTCTCGTACTACCCGTGCCTTCGCCTCACTTCGGCCAAGACACGCGTGGAACTCATATCGGTCGAGATGTTTTAGCTTATTTGGCGATTTTTCATATCTATAAACATCTTTACATGGCCCATGACATAACCAAGTGCGCTACTCTCCTCGGAGCTTTCTAGCACGCTATGGGCAGCTAGAAAAGAGCCTGGCTGGAACCTATAACCCTAACCCGCCTAGGGGTCGGGGATACGGTTGCGTGCAGCTAGCCAGTGGAAACGACATGCAAGAGCTCTCGGACGAGAGCCTCCGCCAGATCGAAGCCGAGTTTGATGCCCACCGACGCCACGTTGAGGCGACGCGCGACGCCTACCAGCGCCAAAAGGCGGCGGCACTTACGCAAAAGGCGGTCGACCTGCGCGGTACCCTCAGCGATCTCGACGCTCAAGTGGCTGCATCGCGGGTCGCCCGCCAGACCTTGCGCTCGCAACTGCTCACAAAGAAGGCCCACGTACAGTCGCAAATGGCGCAGCAACTGGAGCTCCAGCGAGAAGCGTGGCACGTCACGAGGAGCCACGAGCTCGAAGAAGCCGCGCGCCGGCGTTTGGACTTGGAGCAACTGCAGACCCAACGACACCATTTGGTATGCATGCACTCATCCTCTCCTCAACGCTCGAGTATATCTTGATTTGACTAGGAGCGTCTGGAGCAAACATCAATGGTTCAGCTGAATGCCATTGATGCCGAGCGCTCGCGGCGACGCCAGCACGACGTCAGCAAAATTGAGCACTTGCTCGTAAAAGGGTCGGTGCTCGAGCGCCAGCTCCCACACGACGCCTTATTCAATATCGTGGCCGAGACGTCGCCGGCCATAGATTCTGTTCATTTTGCCAACGAGTGCGAAGGTCGACTACGCATCGAGCACGAGCAAGCGACGCACCGACGTCACGACCAGCTTCGCCAGCTCAACGCCGACCGCGCTGCTCTGGAAAAACAAGAAGAAGACCTTCGGCAAAAGCAACGCGAGCTTCACTACTTGGCGTCCAAGGGCGTTGACTTTCTCGTTGAGATTGAGTTTGGTCACGCGCCGCCGGTCGAATTGATTTTGAAAAATATGCCCGACGAGATCGCGATGCCCGATGCTGACGTCGACACGATCGACGAGGTCCTCGACGACGCAACGAAATGGCTCGCGTCTGGTACCTCTCACTTGTGGTGAAAACGTGGGATTCTGAAAATGTACTAGGGGATACGACGCTGGCAGCGATTGCTCAGAGCATACCCAGCTCAGCACCGCCAGTGCCCAGTCCTCTACGCCCACTGTCACCGCTGCCAAGGACACCAACCACAATGCTCTTGCAAAGTTTGGTCTGCGATCTGATCGACCAGATTCTGGAGATGCTACCAGCGCCGCTGGTCAGAGCCAACGTCTTGGCGCAGCAGTGCGTCTGGAAGGACACGCGGCGGAATCTGCGTCGTGTCGCGCGCCGAGAGCGATATCAGCGTGCGGTCCACCTTGTTCGCGACGCTCTTTTGGTATACTTTGTCATTTCTATCAAAACATCAATGTCGTGTAGGACGATGTTGTCCACAGTACGATCTTGGATCTGTGGTCCGAAGCTTCTGCGGCGCAACACGGCGTCCGTAGTCTGCTGCTCACGGCGCTACAACGCGTGCTCTGTCCGCCCGACCAAAACGATGCGGTGTCGAGTGCATTCGACGAGCTCCAGACGCGCCGGCGTCGCCAAGACCTCGAGGTTTCGACTAGCGTCATCCTTGTAGCATCGGTGCTGCAACCGAGACCACCCCCGCCACCCACCGCGGTGTTGTCGATGAAACCAGCGACGCTACAAGTTTATACAGAGCTCCCGACGCCAATAGACATTGCCAAGCGCCGCATCGTGCCACCAGACCAGACGATGGTACGAATACTCTTTTTCATTGCTAAAGAGGAGCTGTACACCGGTGTATATGGTAGGTGACGGTGCAGCGAGCGTACTGGAAACATGTGCGCCTGGCGCCCGTTGTCATCAGCGCGACATTGCGCCACAGCATTGCTCACATTTATGCGCGTGGACGACACGTGTACGTTGTCGGCGCCAAAGGCGACGTGAGCATCGTCGATATCACTACCAACGTCGTTGTGCGCGAGGTCCCGGGTTCGAACCCGATCGCCCACCTGGAGATTGGGTTGGTGCCGGGGTATCTTTTGACGGTCCAGAAGAAACACACTGATTTGCTGTCTCTCAACACTGCGGGTGCCCGCACCGTTGCAACGATCACGAAAGACGACGTTGCTCGGCCAAGCTACACCGTCGACGACGTGGTCCTTGGTCACATTTTGCCGTCGGTCTCAGTCGTCGGCGCCCCCACGAGCGCCGTTGTAGGGACAAAAGATGGCGCCATCATCCGGCTTCAGCTTCGTCGACTGCTTCGACCTGCGTCGACCGACGCACGGGACTTTTTCCATGGGCACAACAGCCCGATTACGTATCTCGGACACCGGGGCACGGACCTTGTGAGTGCCGACGTCGCCGGCGTCGTGTGCTTCTGGACGATGACACCGCAGTATCGCACGGGCTTTGGCTGGTGGGTGCCATCTGCCACTGTGAACCTAAGTGCCACCATACACGCGGCAGCGATCACATCGACGGCCACCCACCTCGCGCTTCTCGTCGGCGGCGCACTCCAGCCGCAGATTTTGCAGCTGTCGCTACCAGACCTTTTGCTCGAACCCATCGAGATCTTACTCCCGCGTTTGCGACCACCGACCGAATTCGCGCTGCTGCCACCGGTCGAAGGGCTCCCGATGGACTATGCACTCGTCTCGTACGAAGGCATTTTGTTTGTGTACTCGCTCTGGACTGGCACGCCCGTGAGCTCGACGCCGCTCAAAGAATCCATGGTCTCATTAAGCGCTGCGCATGACCGCATCCTTGGGCTAATCAAAGGCAAGATCACGTGCTTCCGCATCGACGACGCGACGTCCGGGGCCGACTTTGCAGCCAGCGTCCACCACACGGGTGCCCGCCCGGTTCCGACCATGGTACGAGCACCTGATGGATGTTTCAATCGCTCGACTACATTTTATGTTACGTGTAGATACGCCGCATGGAGGTCCAAATCGACCGACGAGCGATGCACGCGTTCCTTGAGAAAATGTTGTGGGACCTCGCGTTCACTGCGCCGCCGGCGACGGAGGAAAAAGAGCATCAACCTAACGAGCAATAAGACTATAAGCAATTATCCATAACACGGAGATCGTCAACGCCATGGATGGGAATGCCTCTTACTATATTCGTAGAGATTTTCACGTCGATTTTCGATGCGGAGGGTTTCACTTGAAACTCTCAACAGTTGGGCCGGAGCCATGCCGCAGTCGCCCGAGAGCAGCGACCCGGCGTCGCCAGTATTGAATGACGGCGCCGTCATGTCGTGGTCGATGCCACCGATGGACGGCTTTCCGCCATCGGCCCGAGGTGGTCAGTCGATGCTGCTTGCAGGCCAGCAGCTCGTGCTCTTTGGGGGTCATTATTTTGGTGGCGAAGCCGGGTTTGTGTACCTTGATGAAGTATGGGTCCTCGACCTTGAGACGTCGGCGTGGTCGCAAGTCAAGTGCGAAGGCAAGCCACCCGCGCCGCGCTACAGCCACTCGGCCACGCTTGTCGGTACACTCCTTTTTCTACGATGCATCTTCTAATCTTATTGTCTTATTGAACGACTTCATTAGGCGCCAAGATGTTTGTCTTTGGCGGCAAAGGCGACAAGGGAAAGGTCTATAGAGACATGTACTACCTCGACCTCGAGACGTGGCACTGGTACGTCGTCAACTGGACCACCGAATCGCCCCCCGAGCGGTTTGGTCACTCGGACTTGGCCGTCGGTACCAAGCTCGTCTTCTTTGGCGGGTATTTGATGGACAATTTGAGAGACAATATTGACCATAACTATGCTAGATGGGACGGACAAAGCAAGACGTTTAAAGATCTTTGGGTCTTTGACACGGAGACATTTGCGTGGCTCCAGCCCCAGGTGGCGGGGACTCCGCCGACGGCTCGGTATGGCCACTCGATGGCACTGCTCGACGATGGCCGCATCGTCCTCTACGGCGGGTACACTTCCCGATGACCATATCTTGTTAATGTCCATATATATAGGCAATCGGTCAAAATGGTGCCAGAAGTCCGCGTCGAGTATTTCAACGACTTGTACACTTTGGATACGGAGACCATGTCGTGGATGCGACCGCGCGTCACCGGTGACCAGCCAATCCCGACGTTTAGCCACACTATGACATTGGTCGGTCGCACGCTATACATTGTTGGCGGCTGGTCGGGCACGGAGCGCAGTCCGATCTACATGGGAGACAAGGCCGTGCGGGCGACGGCCAAAGCGCTGGCGCGCGAAGAGGTTTTCTCTTTTCTACTTCACGATGACGCTGATGATGGGTAGCGGTTGCAAAGCGGGTACGACGCGCAGCCCGTCGACTACCGCCGGCTCCTCGGGGTCTCCAAATACGTCCACGCGATCGACTGCGATGCGATGGTGTGGTCGCAGCCCATCTCGGAGGGCTGCCACGTCACGAACCGGTACGGACACAGCGCGGCGGTCGTGGGCTCGCATCTCTTCCTCTTTGGCGGCTGGGACGGCAATCGATCGATGAACGAACTGGTCGTCGCAGATCTCCCCACACCTTCCGGTTAGCTTATCATCGGACGCATACGCTGTGGACGCTGTATTAACAGGAAACGTATTGTCCAATTACATTAAAGCTGTGGGCTTGTCGAGTCTTCTGAAACCACGGGAACATTCCCGTGTCTCAAACCATAGTCTTTGCAGACGGAAAATGTGCGGATTTGATGGGTGGTATCGCAGAATTCGCTTTGGAGAGAATGCCAAACGTCTTGCAGACGATCCCACCGCGTTCAAGTAGGGTTCCTTGAACTCCATCATTGCCCCTTCAGTGCAAACACCCAAAACACGCCGTCGAATCGCGTGATCACAAAAGTGTACAACGCATCAAAGACTCGTATATGAGATGCGTCGAAGCCCGGTTCTCGCCGCATCGATGACAAACACGACTCCGGACGCATCGACAAAGATGCCCCTGGGATTGTCAAACGTGGCGTCGCTGCCAGATCCGTCATCGGTGCCAGCCGTACGAGGAATCCCCACAATCGTAAACACGTTGTCGCTCGTGGCGATCACGCGAATGCAGTGGTTGCCGCTGTCAGCAACGTACACGACACCATCGACATCGACGGCGAGGTCGGAGGGGCTGTCGAACGTGGCGCTCGCACCGTTGCCGTCAGCGCGACCAGCCGTGGGAAAAACATCGGTAGGTACACGGGCAGAAAATGTCGTATACTGTACCTGGTCGGTACCCGTATCCACTGCCACGACAACATTATTGAGCGTTCGCTATGGAGACGCAACGTTGTGAATATTTAGGTATACACGAGCCGTCGCACGCTCAAGCTGACGGAGTCCGTGACGTAGAGAGCGCCGGATGCATCGACATAAATGTACGTGGGATAGTTGAACGTGGCGGAGTTGCCCGCGCCGTTGACGTCACCGGAGACGCCGGGCGTCCCCGCGATCGTGATGACGTTATCATCGGTATCGATCGCGCGGATACAATGGTTGAGGCCGTCGACCACGTACACAATGCCATCGGAGTCGGCCACAATACCATTGGGTTCGTTGAAGGCGGCGCTCGCACCGTGGCCGTCGGCGTGGCCCGCCGTGCCACTGCCAATGTCGGTGACGCTGCCGTCGAGACCAATCTTGCGTACGAGGTTGCCGTCCGTGACATACACAACACCCGACGGCGCCTGTGCAACCCCAAGCGGGTAATTGTAGGTTGGTATCGATGCTAAACCAACGGCGCCGGGCCCCGAGAACGTTGAGACAGTGCCGGCGCTGATCGACCGCACTTTGGCGTTGTACGCGTCGGCGACAAGAACACGGTTGGTGCCAACGGCAATGCCCATTGGTCCATAAAACGTGGCGGCACTAGCGCTACCGTCAGCACTGCCCGTGGCACCGGTACCAGCCAAGGTGGCGACGACACCGTTCGGGTCCACCGTGCGCACAGCGTTGTTACCAGCGTCGGCCACGAGCAGCGTTCCGTCGGAAGCGTGCGCGAGGCCGCCAATGTACGAAAAGCGTGCGCTTGCGTTGACGCCGTTGAGAAACCCCGTCGAGCTTGCCGAGCCTGCCAACGGCGTCAGTTTATTGCTGGCGAGATCGATGCGCATGATGGAACTTGAACTGTCGGCGACGAACAGTGAATATGCGTCGCCAGTGAGGCTCGCTAGCGAAGTAAAATTGGTGATGACGCCATTGCCTACAAACGTTGACACGGTGTACGATCGGTTGGCGACCGGTGGCGGTGTCGACGCAGGCGTCGGCGTGGGTGTCGTCACAGTCGACGTCGTGGGCGCCGGCGCGTTCGAGGTTGATGTCGCTTCGTTCGACGACGGGATGAACGCAACGCAGAGTCCAATGATGCAAATAAGAGCAGCGACCAATAGCCCAAGGCCATAGAGCCTCTTGCGACGCTGTCGTCTTGGCGCAGCACTGTCCTTCCCAGTGCTGACGTCGTCCAAGATGTACGTCGTTCGTGTTTGGGTCTGCTGGACCATTGCATCGAGTGTGACGATGACATTGGCGATCGATTTTCGCTCTGAGAGTGGCGGACAAGTCAAGCCATTGGCCAGCGTCCAGAGATCCACGGGCATCGTCTCGGGCCTGCGGTCACTGAGATCCATTTTCGCGTCGACCAAACCACGGAAGGCTTCGATCAGACAACTGCCAAACGCACACAGATCGGCGGTCTGCGCATCGGCCAGACGCATCTTGTCCTCGATCTGGAGGTCACGGGGGGCACTCAGGCTGGCCTTATAGCCGCCACCGATCGCATCGCAGACACCAATCGTTGCACATGACACGTCACCGTGAAACAAACCTTGGTCGTGCGTCGACGCGAGGTCTTTGGCGGCATCGAGGAGTAGCTGGAGTCGCATTGGCGGTGACACTTGAACGAGCCGGAGAAAGACGCGCAGCGAGCCATACTCAGCGTTTCTTGTGTTGCTTGGTTGGTGCTTGGGGGGAACCAATGCGTGGGAGGTATGTAGGTCGACGCTCACGCAATCGGGCGCTGCCTCGAGGCGACTGGACGCGGGGTCGCCGGGAGCGTCGCCGGTCGCCAGTGTTTCGGCAGTGGACATTGCAGCCAAACGACAGGGTGGGTGCAGTGTACGTGGGCGCTGCAAAAAGGATGATTCCACCTCGAAATAGAAACGCGTGGAGCTTTCGGTGCTCGGTTTTTTCGGCTTCGGACGTCGATGTTTTTCAAATATCGTCTTTCAAAGTCGAGAAGTTTGGCCCCTTTGGCATGCCTTGTCTTGCTGCCCTCGAGGCTGTGTGCATCAAAGTTGGCCTCGATGCACGCATAACATGCATTTCGATGGTTTGTGAGAGGCGAGTTATAAAGTTACGATGGGAGGGCTAGGTATACGCGAGCCGCCGAATGCTAAAGTTCATGGCATCTGTGACGTAAAGAGCTCCGGACGCGTCGATCCAAATGAACTGGGGCCCGCTGAACGTGGCGGTACTGCCTGCCCCGTCTTGTGCGCCGCTGGTGCCAGGAACACCGGCGATCGTGATGACGTTATCATTGGCATCGATCGCGCGGATGCAGTGGTTGCCAGTGTCGATGACATAAACAATACCGTCCACGTCAACAGCGACGCCGATTGGGCTGTCAAAGGCAGCGCTGGCGCCGATGCCGTCGTTGTGGCCGGCCGTGCTGCTCCCAATGTTGGTGACGCTGCCGTCAAGAGCAATCTTGCGCACCATGTTGCTGTCCGTGACGTAGACGATACCCGACGGTGCCACCGCGATCCCAGCGGGATGATTATACGTTGGCGAGAGTCCCGACGCTTGGCCCGAGACGCCCGAGCCCGAGAACGTCGAGACGACACCGGCGGCGATCGATCGCACGTTGTAGTTGTACGTGTCGGCAACGAGGACCTTGCTCGAGGCAACAGCAACGCTTTTTGGCATGTAAAACATGGCAGTGCTGACGCTCCCATCGGCACTGCCCATGACCCCCGTGCCCGCAACCGTCGTGACGACACCGACGGCATCGACCGCGCGGACAGCATTGTTGTTGGAGTCGGCCACATACAATGTGCCGTCGGGCGACAGCGCGATGCCTTGAATACCATTGAAAGCGGCGCTCGAGCCGGCGCCGTCGGTAAAGCCGCTGGTCGAGCTGCCAGCGATGGTCGTCCACGTACTGCTCGATCGATCGATGCGCATGATCGACGTGGGGGTGTCGGCGACGTAGAGGTACGTTGCATTGCCCGCGATACCCAACGGAGGGTACACAAATGATGTGATGAGGGTGCTGCCAGCATACGTCGAGACAGTGTACGAGTGGTCGGTCAGCGTGATTGTCGTTGGTGTCGGTGTCGTTGTCGTTGGTGTCGTTGTCGTTGTCGGTGTTGGTGTCGGCGTCGATGTCGCCGTCGAATTGTCTGTCCCAGAGTTGTCTGCTTGGCTATCCCATGACGGGATCAGAGCGACACAAACAGCGCTAGCAACGAGCGCCAGTACCAGTGCCGCGAGAAGGGCACAGCGATGGGCGCGACGACGCTTGGCCAACGTCATGGTATCCGTGTCGTTCGTTTTGGCTTCAGCATCCTCAACGCGTAGAGCAGTTGGTGCTTGCGTCTGCTGGACCATCGCTTCGAGCGCCGTAACGACATCCATCATGGTGCGTCTTTCACTTGTTGGCGACTGAGACAAGTCGCTGGCCAATGTCCAGAGAGCCACCGGCATCGCGTCCGGCCGGCGGTCACCGAAATTCGCGCCGACCACGCCATGGTAGGCTTCAATGAGACACAAACCAAAGCTGCGGACGTCAATTGCCTGTTCGTCCGCCAGACTCGTCGTGTCTTGGGTGTCGATGTTGCGATGGGTGGCCAGATGCGCCACGTAGCCGCCGCCGACCGCATCACTGACGCCAATGGCCGCACATGACACGTCGCCGTGAAACGCGCCGTGGTCGTGCGTCGATGCGAGGTCTCTCGCAGCATCGAGAAGCAGTTGCAGTCGCATGGGCGCCGGCACTGGAACGAGCCGGAGAAAGACGCGCAGCGAGCCGTACTCGGCACCGATCAAGTGATTGGGCGGACTTTCTGGCATCTCTGGTTGAGAGGCTGGTGGTGACGACATGTCAACGATGACTGCATCCTCTGCAATCGGAGAACAAAGTGGCGCAGCTACTGCGACTTGCAATGGCTCTGCCGTGTGCGGCATCCGTGCCGAGGCTGGATGCATCGGTGTGAGATGCCGAGCTGACTTGGGCACCAAGTGTCTTTGTGGTCCCCGACACCTTGAAATAGTTCGGTCAAATTTAGCTGATAGGACGTTTGGGCGTCATGTTAGCGCACCATCTTTGGTGGTCAATGCATTCACGTCGAAGTAGCTCGTGAAAGAGTTGGACGCAGAGCACGAGCCTTGATGAAATCATTGCGCCTGCCTCGAAATCAACATAGGGACGCTCACTGCACACGCGAGACATGGTCGTATAACCGTATAACACACCACAGGCCTCCTGCGCCAAGCGCATAGAGAGCCCTAGTACCTTCTTGAACTGTCGATCCAACACCTGTCGTGTGGCTTGCTGAGGCGGTGGCAAAAGGGCTCGGAGTTCGCGTGGTCTCGTCATTGATGGACGGAGGAAGGAGACGTTCAAGGTGCGGCAGCATGAACGAGCTCCGGGGCTCCATGGGGAAGAGGCTCTGCGCTTTGCCAATGATCCTACACCAAACGAGAGCGTCAAGACGATATCGATCACTAGATGTACAAAAGAACATTGGGATGACGCAATTGTAGGGCAGCGCTGCTCACCGGTACCGGCTAACGCCGAGACGACACTGTTCGCGTTCACGGTGCGCACAGCGTCGTTACCTGCATCGGCCACGTGCCGTCGGTCGCACGCATGAGGCCAGCACTGTGGCGACGAAAAGCGAACTGGCGATGCCCGTGAGCGAGGCAAAGCTGGTGCTGCCTTCCAACATGAAACAGTGTACGCCGTCTGTACTTGCGCCGACTCGGCGCGTCCGCGGTCGATGCCACATCGCTCCAGGACGAAATGAGCGCCATGAATGACGCCTCGCACACACACGATTCGCAAGCATTTGACGCCAAAGCGCACCCGTATCCATACAAGTGTCACCGCCACTGCGACTGCAGCTGCTACTCGAGGTCGCCAAAGCCTTCGCGTCGACGCACGACCAAGGTCTGTTCCATGGTGACGTGTCGGTCGCGACGTTTGGCGTCTACGATGCGGTCGGCGGTGGCTACGTCGCGAGCCCAAGCACCCGCTTCAACCTGAACATTGATGACAGGGGGCGGATGCGCAGGCGGCTTTGGCTTGTGTGTCAATCACGGCGATGCACTGCAACCCCTTGAGAAGAGCTGACGATCCAACGAGATCATATCTCTACTTGCGTATATTCAAAACCAAATCTCACTGGAAAGCAGCTTGCTCTGAGAGGATCTTCGCCACAAACGACTCGACGCTCGACGTGCCGAGGACGGCGTTGCCATCACGGGTCCGGACGTTGACCTCGTTGGCCGCCGCTTCCTTCTCGCCGACGACCACAATGTAGTTGTAGCCCGCGAGCTGCGCGTCTCGAATACGTTTGTTGAGCGTCTTGCCATGCCCGATGACGTCCACGTACACGTCGTGCGCGTGCAGCGCTGCGTGCACCTGCTGCGCGTACGGTTCTTGGTGCTCGGTCAACGGCAGCACGGCTACTTGGCGCGGACTCAGCCAGAGCGGCCACTTGCCCGCCGTGTGCTCGATGAGAATCGCCATCATGCGCTCGATCGAGCCCAGGACCGCGCGGTGGACGATGATGGGCGTGTGCTCGTTGCCGTCGCTGCCGTCGTACTTGAGGTTGAAGCGCAATGGCAGCTGGAAGTCCAGCTGGATCGTACCGCACTGGTGCTCGCGCTTGAGAGCATCGCGGACAGCAATGTCGATCTTGGGGCCGTAGAACGCACCGTCGCCAGCGTTGAGCGTCCACGGCATGTCAAAGGCGTTGAGCGCCGCTTCGAGCTGCGCCTCGGCCGAGTCCCACAGCGCCAGGTCGCCCATGTAAGCCTCGGGGCGCGTCGAGAGCCGCAGCTACCATTTCCACCTCAATCTCAAAAACTTGACTCGGAATCTACCTGAAACTCAAAGCCAAAGACGCCGTAGACGTGCTTGATAAAGGCGAGGCACGAGTGAATCTCATCTTGGACTTGATCCGGTCGGCAAAAAATGTGCGCGTCGTCTTGGTGGAAGCGGCGCACGCGCGTGAGCCCCGTGAGCGCCCCCGACGCTTCGTTCCTGCAATGTATTGTCAAAATTGAGATTCAAATTGAGATGCGACAGTACCGGTGCAAGGCCGAAAAGTCGGCAAACCGCACGGGGAGCTCGCGGTACGAGTAGACCTTGTTTTCCTTAAACATGAGGCAGTGGCCCGGGCAGTTCATGGGCTTGAGACCAAAGAGGTCGACGTCGTCGTCGCTCTGCAGGGCCGCGTGGTTGGCGTGGTCCGCACACGACATGTGCGCGTCGTCGTCCATGCCCGGGCGCACGCTGTACATGTCTTCCTTGTAGTTTTCATAGTGGCCCGACGTTTCCCAGAGTTCCTACTTGAGATTTAGCATGCCGAATCTGAATCTGAATCGCAACCTTTTTGAAGATGAGCGGCGTCACGACCTCGTCGTACCCACGCTTGCGGTACTCGTGGCGGATGAACGACGCAAGGCGATTAAAGATGCGGGTGCCATGCGGCAGCATGAACGAGCTTCCGGGGCTCCACGGGTGGAAGAGGAAGAGGCTTTGCGCCTTGCCAATGATCCTACGTACAGCGTCTTGGCTCCTTGCGACAGCGAAGGGACTCTACCGATGATCCCGCTTCTTGGCTTCGGCCTGGAGATGCTTCCACTCCTTCATGCGCGCCTTGTCCGGGAACGTGACGCCGTACACGCGCTGGAGCAGCTCGGGGCCGTGCGTCCAGTGCGACGCGCCGCAGCGGGTGAGGGCGACGGTCTGCAGCATGCCTACTCGCACGTTCATGAGCAGGCGATCGAGAGCAAAGCAAGCAGAGGAAGAGGATGTCGGTCCAACTGTAGCTCAGTAGGATCAATGCTAGATCGCTGAGGTGTTCGCCAGTCATGCTTTGCTGTAGGATACAAGTAAAGAGGTGGCCACGTCCACGATGGACCTGCGTGGCATGGCCACCTCATATCCGTTGCAGACGCAGTGAGGCGTCGAGACGTACCCGTGTGCGGAAGGTGTGGGCCGCGGCAGAGGTCGACAAAGCTCCCGCACTTGTACAGCGTGATCGGCTCGTCGGCCGGGATGTTGTTGAGCATTTGGAGCTTGAACTTGGAGTAGCCAAACATATCCTTGGCCACGTCGCGCGTCACTTGCAGTCGCTCGAACGGCGCCCGCGCCTTGATGATTTTGGCCATCTCAGCTTCAATGTCGCTAAAGTCGTGCTCCGACAGCGTGCGGCCGGACGGCAGGTACATCTCGTAGAAGAAGCCATCGGGCAGCGACGGGCCATCGCAGAGGAGCACGTCGTCGCCAAACTTGGCCTCGAGCGCGGCGCCAAGCACGTGCGCCGACGAGTGCCAGAACATGGCCTCCATGCGCTTGTCGTCAAAGTCATGCAAAGCGACGTGCGTCGTCGTCGCCGGCAGCTCCCGCGAGAGGTCCCACACAATCTGTTCGTCCGTCGTCGTTGCAATCGTCGCGCCGACCACGGGCGGAATCTTGGCGCCAGTCGCTTGCGTAAACTGCTGCATCGCTTGCAGCGGCGTGGCCGCCATCGTCGGCGAATACGGCGTCGCGACCGAGGGCACGAGGAGCTGCACCGTCGCCGGCGGGGTCGCGCTTGTCGTCGCCCGCGCCTGGCGCGCGAGCTCTGCGTTCCACTTGTCGAGGCGCGTCGCCGCATGGCCCATGCACCGGACCGTACTCATGAAGCTGCTCGGGCGGCGCCAGATCGGCCGGCCATGCAGAGAGCGCAGCATCTTCCGTCCACCACAGGAACTTCCACTGTGTCCGGAGCTCTATCCGGATAGCACGTGGGATTGGCGGCTATTTATAGGCATTTGAAAAAGGTCAGTTGATTGCTACATTCGGCACATGCCACTTCTTGAAGCCCAGTGAACACGCCTTCAACAATCCACGAGATGCGCCGGCCTCAGTGCCCAGCACCTACCGACCGGTACCAGCCAACGATATCAGCGCAAGCAAGTATCACAACAACAATAACGAGTGTTCGTGCGATAGGAATCGTTCCTTGAACGTTTTATTCAGCAAATATCTGATTGTATTTCGCTGTGATCACAGTACAATTTGGGCTGCCGAGATGGTCCACAACCAGGACATGCCGGTCGCCAACGTGCTCTGCGCTCGGCGAGAGCTTTCGCAGAACGCTGCGCTTCTATTGGAGAACCTCCGCGGCTCCAAGGGCATGTGCCACGTCACAAGCCCCCGCGCATTTGCCCATCTCGAGTTCAACGCGAAAAAGGCCAGCCAAGTTGCCGGTACGATCCCTAGTCGTCCTCATTGACGCATAGCACCCTAGAAATGCACGGCAAGATATCGTATGAGAATGCGCTCCTCATGGTACATACATTCTCCAAGGCGAATGGCCTCATCTTCTCAAACGTTGATAGGAAAAGATGGCGCACATCATGGTCCCGTCGGCCAAGAGCCTAAAGAGCGCGACGGCGTTTGCACCAGGCACATGCATTGACGCCAACATGCTACCAAAGATCGACAACCACAACAAGTACACCCTTGTGTCCGGCTACGAGCGCAACCGAGTGCGGCAGAACGCCCGCATCGCCAAGGAAAACGAGGTTTCTATCCTGTGTTGGATAGATTTGGATAGCGTATTCTTGGATAGTTGTACCGCAAGCGCATTTTGGCGCAGAAACCCACGTACTCGGTGCAGGCGTTTGAGGCCTCGAATGCCGCCAAGAACGTCCATCTCCAGCGAATACACAAACAGCTCATTACGTCGTCGCCGACGCCGACGCAGTTGAAAGCCGACGCGGTTCGCGAGGCCAATGAAGTCAAGCGGGCGGCGCTGCGGACGCACATTTACCGTCCGCATCGCGTGGACACGACGTCGCTCGAAACACTCGACCCGTTCGTTCGCAACCAGACGTGTATTTGCATCGACAACTTTGAGCCGCGGCCACCGATCACGAGCGGAAACCAAGCCCCCCGCCGCCCCCCCGGGCGGCAACCCGCTCGACCGAGTCGCCCCGAGCCCCCGACGTTCTTCTTAGCGAGACAGAGCTCGCAGCCAGAAGACTCGGAACTCGAGCTCATTTTGACCGAGAACGAGTCGATTCCTGTGCTTTCGTCGCCGCGACCGAGCCCAGCACCGGTGAGCCCGCAAACGTCGGTTGCCGACGACCTCTCGCCGCTCGAGACGCTGAGTTCCATGACTCTCTCCGACCGCGACTACTTGCACGCGGACTTTTCGCTTGAGTCCAACTAGTTGACAACCAAGGACAATTCTGTACACAAAATGCGTCGACAACAAGGAGCTTTGGGTGCGCGATCCCAAGTACGAGTATCAAGTATCAACTCGTAGTCTTTTCAATGCCTCGAAATTATCAAGTCAGCCGGGCCTACCATCTGATTGGTAAAGAAGAAGCAACATTAAATGCAATTGGCCAATGAGACACGCAAATACATTTTGACGACGTTGATTGGCAGAGAACGACCACTGGCCAGGGCTTTTTGGCCAATCCCACCGCGGGGGCGCGACGCCACCTACACTATTCACTAAATGCGGCATGTGCCGAAACCAGTGATAGTGTTGGATTTGTGAAGCCGATTATTGGATTCTGGCCCGACATCATGAGCGACTCGGACTGCGAAGAGTACGTGCCCGACCACAGCAAGCGGCGCATCGTCGGTACGCAGCCGCCCGCGCTGCCTCATAGCCGCCTCATCTTGCTTGCGTCTAGTGGAGATCGCCTCCGACAGCGACGACGACAACCTGCTCAACGTCACGCCGGTCAAGCGGCGGCGCGTCGGCGCCTCGCAGGCGACGTCGCCGCCCTCCGGAACCGACTCGCCGCTGCGCCGCCGGCCCATTCGCCGCGCCTTGGCGTCGCCGCCCAAGGAAGACAAGGACGGCGTCGTGCACCTCGACGACTCGTCGTCCGACGAGGACGATAACGACATTGAAATCCAGATGAAGCTCGCGAACGACCCGGTGCTGCAGCGAACGCAAGCCATCTTGCGGTACGTGCTATCGACCATGTACGACATCGACCTCATGGCGACGAGGTGTTCAGGAAGGTGCAGCCCGTCGACGTCGTCGCGACCGACGTGTCCCATTCGACTGCCTTTTCTGGCGACGACGCCATGATCACGCTCGCCGTACAATGGATATCGCTCAGTGGAAGCGAGCAGACCGAGCGCATTCGCATGCCTCAGGTAGAAGAAGCCTCTCGTAAGCACAGGAGTCGACGCGATGCATGTAGACGGCGACCTTCGACACGCTGTTGAGCAAATTCTGCGAGTGCCACGACCTCGTGCCGGCCGGCGTCCGCTTCGTCTACGACGGCGTCGCGATCGAGCTTGGGGACACGCCCGAGGTACGGCAGAACGTGCTCTGTTATGTGCGATATATCTGTATCGTGTAGCGCTACGACCTCGAAGACAACGACGTGGTCAACGCCATCGTGGACTCTGCAGCAGCGTACGTCGCGTCCAAGTCGCCGGCCAAGTCCATGGCGAAATCACCGGCGAAATCGCCGGCCAAAGACATCATCCGGGTCAAGGTGCGCCGGACCGGCGGCAAGATCGAGATCTACCGCATCTCGAGCAGCATGCCCGTGCAGAAGCTTCTGCTCTCGTTCTGCAACGTGCACAAGCTGTCGCCAGATGACGTGACGCTCAAGCTCTTGGGCGACACCCTCGAGCTCGACAAGCCCATCTCGGTATCTGTCTACTCACGGAGTTTCGGTATTGACACAATAGGTGCTGCAGCATTATAGTCTCGACTCGACCGATGTCGTCGAGGCCGCGTGCGACCAAGCGATCGCCGAAGACCCGACCGCCGTAAGCGTCAACCTCCGCTTCCTTCCGTCCACCGAGACGGAGGCCTTCAAGATCTCAACCGTGCGTCTGCATGCGCTAGTCGACGGTTCTTGACGCATGCATAGACGGCGCTCGTCAAGACACTGGTGCAGAAGGTCTGCGCCAAGCGACATTTGGATCCGGCCCACGTTCGCTTCAAGATCGACGGCGAGTTGATGCACCCCGACCAGCCCTTCTCGGTACAACCACGACCTCGGCTATGCACTCAAGTTGTCTTTATCGCGTAGCAATACGACCTCGAAGGCGACGAGCTCATCGACGTTGTGCTGAGTTAAGACTTAACTCGTCTCTCTGTACTTTGTGCGTGAAGTCGGCTACTAGTATTTCGACAAGGCGTAGGTTGCGACCTCTAGCTTCAGAGGTAGAAGGAGGCAGAGAAGCTCTCCTAGGATACACCACCGTGTGCAAAAGATTGGTTTGCGGAGGGTATCACAGAAAAGTAGGAAGCGAAGGACAATATACAACACTCGAATTACTGTAGAAGTACGTGGACGTCAAGCGTCCAGGTGGCGAAGACACTTAGGCCCGCAGCTGCGTGACGGGCACGAGGCCGCGGATGCCGTTGGCGCTGACTTTTTGGAAGGCCGAGGCAAAGTTCTGGTGCCACTGCGCAGCGTCCGACGCGTAGAGCTTGATCCAGTCCATGGTGCCCTGCGGCTGGAGCGGGCAGCCTTGGTTCGTACGGCAGCGGGCCGTGTCAATGGCGAGGGCCATATCGACGTTGAAGCGGATCGTGCCCGAGTTGTCGTTGGCGGCCCAGAAGACGCCCGACTGCCCTTGGCGCTTGATCCACTGCTTGGTCAAGTACGATGTGTAGTAGACATTGTCAAAGACAGCTGGCGTGTCGTCGAACGGCCCGGTAAAGCCCGAGATGGACGTATGCGCGCCGCCCAGCGTGTGCGCGCCCATGAGCGCGACGGTCTCGGCCTTCGTCAAGCCGAGACGCTGCGAGACGGCCTGCTGGACCGTCGAAATCGCGCCCGTCGGGTTCGGCAAGACGTTCTGCAGGTCGCACACCGCCTTGTCGGGGCGGCCCGTCATGAAGTTCCCGAGCAGGTCCATACCGACAGGCGACCCCTTCGGAATCGAGTCCATAATGACGACCGACGCGCCAAGCACATAGAGGTCGGCCTTGGAGATGACGCCGCGCATTTGACGGTGAATCTGGTTGATCGAGGAGATGACGCCGAGGACCGCTGCGTTGGCGCCCGACTGCGCGTTCACGCAGCCGTTGGGGCCGCCGTTGGCGACAGCGCCAAACGTGTCGATATCGTGGAACCAGAGCTGGAGCATGCGTCCGGCAAACTGGAGAAACTGGTTCGAGTTGATGGGCCCCGCGACTTGTCGGAGGAGGCCTTTGGCAGTCTCGACGTCGCGCTGCGTGAGCGCGCTCGAGAAGGTCACGGCGCACGCGAGGAGTGCGAAGAGCATTTTGCGAAGCATGATCGTGTGCGAAACAAGGAATTGAAAAATGAAGGGAAGCGGATGCTGTAAAGTTTAGCGGCCCAGTGTCCAGACGTTCGCAGCGATGCAGCTGAAGCACAGAGCACCTTACCACAGGTGTTTCCCGTTATTCCGTCCAGCGTCGAGAGATAGAGAGGACTCGAGATCCAGTCGATATGACGTGGCGTCACGAAACGGCATCGTGAATCGCCAGTCAGCCAATCAGCGTGGCCGTAACGGTAGCAACCGTCGACGACCGTACGATGGGAAGCCAGTGCGCGACCTGGATCTCTGCTTCGCGGGACAAGAGCGAGCGGATCGAACGCACGATCGGGGACAACGTTGGCACCGAGCTTCCTCTGCGATGATCCTCGTAGGCGCCGTCGTATGTCTCTTGTAGGACGGTGCAAGTGCTGTAAATCTCAGTGTGTCGTACATCCAGTCAGTTAGTCGATGGTGTTGACTAGGACAGGGTCTGAACAGCCTTGAACACGATGCGGCCAAGCTTTTCGTCTCGTGCAAGGTTGCAACGTCTGTAGAACTCGACGGGGGTGCAGTCTTCGAATATATCGTCGTCGATCGAGCACTGGGCAGTTTCGATGGACACTTGGGTGCTGTAGGTCATTCGGAGGAAATCCTCAGCATGAGTCGTTCATGGTGGGATACATGCAAGCATCGAATATATTCCGTCAAATGCACTGACGTTGTCCATACCTCGTGCCTCATGCCTACCGGTTGACGAGCAACGACGATACGTTGGTATTGTGCCCTTTCCAGCGACGTTGTGCCCTATCGCAAGTGCTCACGCTACGCCCGGGATTGGCACTGCACGCATCGATGCCAAATGCACTCTGCGCGCGGGTTTGCCAAGGTGCATACATCCTGTTAAGTTCGTTGACGTACTTAACATATATTATGTCAACCGAATAGTAAAAGCAAGTTACAATATGACGACATTAGCAGGACAGACGTACTTCAACGAATATGACCGTTACCGGGACGCACGCCGGAACAACTTGGTGAGACTTCATTTTGCGCAACTAGTACCGTGCCCTCGCTGCGCTCGTGCTGCGCTTCGCCCAATAAGTCGTTCGTTATTCAATTTAAAGGTAGATTTAACACTGGTATAGTCGTGGTGCTGGGTGTCGATTGCATTCTTCCGGCCATTACAAACGGTCTACTCTCTTAAAACAAGGGTTTTGCCTCGATATTTTACGCACGTAACTGCAATCGGGGTCTGCTTCCTTCCAAACATACTAGCGACTAATGTTATAAGAGAAACTCCGCGACTGTCGCACCTTGTTCACTCACACTGCTCCCTCTGCATGAAGCTACCGCGCGTGCCGTCCTGGGCGGCGCTGCGGCAGTCGAACCTCGCCCAGCGCGTGCTCTCTGCCCTGATCTTAGGGTCGCTCGTCGTTGCATATCTCTTCTACGGTCCGCACGGCGCGCCTTTCTACCTCTGCGCCTTTGTCGTTGCCATCTGCAACTACGAGTTTGCATGGCTCGCCGAGCGCATCGTGCACCGCTACATGCACAGCTTGCTCGCAACCACTCGCACCGACCTGCCGCCCTTTGACGCCTCGACTTGCGCGGTCTCGGGCCTCGCGGGCGCCTACCCCAAGACGCTCGCCGCGCTTCTCGCCGCGGTCGTCGCCAGCGGTCTCGCGATCGGCTTTGCCCACCTCCAGCGCTGCATCGAGTGGTACCACCTCCCGCACAACGCGATCCACGAGTTTACCATCTTTCTTGGCATGTCGGCGTGGCTTACACTCTACTGCGCGCTCTTGACGCCGAATTGGACGTCAGCGGTCGTGCTTCTGACACAGCAGATCTTTTACTCGTTCTCGGTCCTCGCCAAGATCCTCTGCGACACCGGACAACGCCACTGCTTCGTGCCACTCAGCAACGCGCACGTGCGCATCGAAGTGATCCTCGCGCTCGTCCTCATCCATCTCCCGCTAGCGCTCTCGTCCACCTTGGCGCCCGACCGCATGCTCCGAGGCTGTCTCCACGCGCTTCTTGCGGTCGTCGGCTACGGCTACATCGTACAGCTCATGTATCCGATGGCCGACTTGCTTCTCCAAGTCCACGACGGCCCGCGTATCGCGCTCGGCTTCCTTGCGGTCGTCTGGGGCGCCGACACGGGCGCGTATTTCACTGGTCACCTCCTCAACTGGCTGCGCTACCGCCGCCCGCACCCGCTTGCCGCGCACATTTCGGCCAACAAGGACATTGAAGGCTCCTTGGGCGGCATCTTGCTCGGCGTCGGCGGCGTCATCTTTGTCGACTTTCTTCTCTTGGACGATAAGGATACGGCCGACGAGGCGCAGTACCGTATGCGGTTTCGGTTGCGGCTCGGCTTTGCGGTTGTCGGTGCTGCGATTTCGCGCTACGGCGACCTCTTTGCGTCGCTTCTCAAGCGGCTCGCGGGCGTGAAGGACACGGGGACGCTGATCCCTGGCCACGGCGGCCTCCTGGATCGCGTCGACGCGCTCTTGTTTGTGAGTGCGATGTTTGCGCTCTACCATCGAATCGCGTACCCTGGCGGGTACGTCCTCGACATGGCAGGGCTCCTCGCGCAGCAGCGGCAAGTGCTCGATGGCCCGCTGCCCGTCAATCCCTCCACGTAATCAACAACCACGTATTTAATTTGAGTGAAATATATAGTGTCAACTTCTATTCCATGGGCTGAAGCAACTGTTGTTGAGACCTGCTGGCCTGCACACCGAGGGTGGTGGAAGACATGTACTGAAGAGGCGTCGAAATGAAGAGTGAGTGAATCAAGACGTGCTCACGAAGCTTACCTAGACCTAGCCGGGGCGACTGCGTTGTTGAGCTTCATCCTGAACTGCAAGCAGAGCTGCAAGCACGTGCTTTCTCGGATGAGGGGCAGTAACCCCAACAACCGTTTACTAGTGTTGTCGACCTAGCCTCATCCAGACAGGTCGTATGCGAGGAGATACGAGGAGCCGACGCCTTTGGATTCCATCGTTTGGACAAATATATTGACACTGGGGATATCCAGAAGGACCCCATTTCGATCCCCGCTGCACCAGAATTTTTGCTCTGTCGACGGCCACGAGTTAGAGGCTCCTAATGACTCATCAGGAGCCATTCTCATCAGTGATGATGATGTCAGCGTCGTGGTCGTTGTGCGCCCCGTGACGACCCGGCTGCGTAGAATGTTAGTCTTTGACCAGCACTCTGCTTTGACAACCCTGCCGACAACCCGCCGACAGTGCACTGAAAAGTCGGGTGTCGACATCCATTGTCCAATATGAGTTCAACGAAGACCAGCAACACCAGCAACGCCAGCAACATCAAGAGTACGCCATCGACCGGCCGCCAGCCGCCGACGCGGGAGCCGATCGAGTTTCCGTGGAAGGAGGCGAGCGCGCTCGCGGCGCTTGGCGTCGTGGGCTTTGGCGTCTGGCTCGGCACGTGCCGCTACCACGTGTGCCCGCCCAGCCAGTATCTCGTGCGCACGGGTCTCGGCATCAAGGACATGGCGGTGAGCCGCATGGGCCTTCAGTGGCCGTTCCAGGAGGCCATCACCGTGCCCATGAACCCGTCGAGCTTCCGTTTCAACCTCGCATGTCTCTCCAAGCAGTACCTTCCGTTCGAGATGCCGGTCGCGTACACGGTGGCGCCGGCCAACCCGATGGAAGATCCTGCTGGCTTCAAGCGCTACGTCGAGCGCATGCAAAAGCTGCCGGCGGATGAGTTTGAAGAGACGCTGCTCGGCATCATCCACGGCGAAACGCGCGTGCAGGCGGCGCTCATGGACATTGACGCGATCAACGACGACCGCGAGGCGTTCCGGACCAACGTCGTGGCGCTCGTCCAGCGGCAGCTCAACCAGCTCGGCCTCGAGATCATCAACGCCAATATCGCCGAGCTCCGGGAGGCCAAGCGCGCGAGTGGCCAGATGGGTTACCTCGAAGCGCGCGAGCGCAAGAAGCTCGCCAACACGCTTCAAGACGCCGAGATTGACGTGGCCGACGCCAACAAGCGCGGTGACATTGAGCAAAAAACCCGCCAGCGCGACACGCGCATTGCGGTCGCTAATATGGAGAAGGAGGCGCAGCTCACCGAGAACGAGCAGCAAGCCGCGATCGCCAACTCGAAGGCGACGCTGGCGATCATCGAGGGCGAAGCGTCGCGCAAGATCGAGGTTGCCAAGATCGAAGCCGAGCAGATGGCCGAAGTGCGCCTCCAGCAGCTTCGATTGAACGTCGAGCAGCTGCGCCAGGAGCAGCTCCTCGTGGCCAAGAAGGCCGACATTCTCACGTCGGCCCAGGTCGAAGCCGACGCGCTGCGTGAACAGGCCAACGCGCGCTTGTATGCGGCTGAGCGCGACGCTGAGGCCGCCCTCGCCATGATGGAAGCCGAGGGCCGCGGTCTCAAGGCCAAGATGCTCATGGAGAGCGAGGGTCTTGCCGCGATCGTGGCGGCGGCGGGCAACGACGCCGACCTGGCCAAGCAGTACCTCTACATCCGCGCCGAAGTGCCGCAGCAACTCGCCGAGTCGCAGGCCAAGGCGCTGCAGGGGCTTCAGCCCAAGGTGTGGGCCTTCAACAACGGCAGCGATGCGTCGGCGCCGTCGATGGTCAACGACTTCCTCAAGGGCTTTGGCCCGGCCATGGACATCCTCCAAGAGAGCGGGATCGTCGCCAACAAGCGACCGAGTGCGCTGGACGTCGACGCGATCGCTGCCAAGTTTGCGCCCAAGTAGAATCTCTAGATGCATACACCTCTCAGAAAAAGCTATTTTGTTTCGTTTGCCATTCAAGCGTATTAGACCTCGCTGGGCTTGGGCGGCGTGACGACGCGGACGTCCGCGGGCCGCGGCTGGTTCTGCCCGAACGGATCCTTCTCCATCTCGACGGTCCAGCTGTGGGCGGTCGGGTCCAAATGCACATACTGCCCGAGCTGCTCGATGCCTTTGACCGCGATCGCGATCTTCTCCTGGATCTTGGCCGCGTCCGTCAGGCTCGCGTTCTCGTGGAACTCGGCCTTGATGTCGGCGACGAGCTGGTCCTTCTTGATGCTCGGGAAGCGCTGCGCGAGCTTGAGCACTCGCCGGTAGATCTGTGGCACGCTCCGGCCGGCCATCGCTCACTTTGAAGAATAATGCCCAGGTGCGAGATTAGATTCGGCATGTGGCTATTCGCACGCAACGTTGACCTGTCGTACGTTATATCGCAGCGGCAATAGCAGCGCATCCCGATACCAAGCCAAGATACTATGTTGAGAACATAATCTGCCAGCGTTTACAACGGGTCGAGAGCGCAAGGTAGATGGCGAATAGGCTGAAGGGCTAGGCTGAAGCGGTGGCGGTCTTGGTTATTTATGGCACATGCCACTTATTGGTTGGATGCACGTTGATTGGCCAATAATGGACCAATGGAATTCGACATGCTTCGGTAGGCAGGCACGGTACCGGTACTCTGAAGTAGCGAAGACCAAGCCGCGGCCAGCACCGCAAGGCCATGAACGAGGTCTTGGCGTCGATGAAGTTAGCTATGCTCGAGGGTACAGCGAGGCTATGAGGCGTGGGGTAAGCTCGCGACACGGTGGAGAGGATCAGCGTGCATCAAGCCAATCATCGTGCGTGCATTTTGAATTTTGAATTTCAACCAATCGTGACCAAGGTTCGAATATTTCGAGCGAGCAACTTTGAAAATAGCCAGTGGCTTTTTTAACGTGCAAAGTACTTTGCCAGCAACAACCCCATGGGCCGCCATCGCGATCCGCTCTGGAAGTGGTTCGATGACACGCCGGTCATGCGCCCGGGCAAGGTCACGGCCTGCGTGACCTGCAAGTTCTGCACCAACTTCGTCTGCGCGGTCACGACGTCGCTCAAGCGCCACCTCGAGATCTGCCGCAAGCGCGACCCGGCGCTCTTGCCCGACGAGCACCTCCCGCCGGTCGACATGGCTCACAAGCGCCGCGCCGGTGTCGACGATGCTGGCAAGGAAGAGGCCTTTGCTCAGCACAGCGCCAAGCGCACCAAGCAAGAGGACACGAGCGCGCCGCAAGCGCCGCTGCAGCAGGCCAAGGCTGAGAAGCTCCTCACCCGCGCCGTCCTCAGCGCGTCCATGGACCCGTCGGTCTTCCAGCACCCGGCGTTCCTCGCCTTCTTCAAGGTCCTCGCGCCCGACTTTGTCGTGCCGACGCCCGTAGACATCCACGGACGGCTCCTCGACGCCGAGTACAACACGGAGCTCGATGCGATACGGTCGCAGCTTGCGTCTAGCGGCGCCGGCGTGCTCGCGCTGCCGCCTGGCGAGACGTTCCTCACGCTCTTTACGCCGTTCCCGTGCGCGATCCCGAGCGCCGACGTCCTTGCCAGCGACTCCGCCGAGTCCATGGCCGTGCACATCATTGCCGCCCGACGCCACGCGCGCGCCATGATTGCGTCGGCGGCGCCAGCGTTCCTCTCGCCCGCCGACGGCCACGACGGCAGCGACCTCTGGAACCTCACGTCCGCGCTTCCCTTCCTCGCCTTTTGCGCCGACGGCCGGCCGTCCATGCCGGTGGTCCGGTCGCTGCTCGAGAAGGAAACCGCGCCGGACGCATTTGAGTTTACCTACGGCGACATTGCTGCGGCGCTCCACGCTGTCTGCCGCGACGTCTGCGCGCTGCCAGGGCCCAAGCAGCAGCTCAAGAAGGCGCTTGCGCTGCTCCACTGCCTCCACGACCCGGCGCTAGCCTCGCTTTTCGAGAACACGTGCCAGCACGTCCTGCGCGACGACGTGTCGCTGCCGGCGATCTTCCGCCCCGAGTCCTTTGCCTCGATTGTCGACATGCTGACGTCACTGGACCGGCTCCGGAGCGTCATCACGGCGCTGCCGGCTGCGATCGCCAACAATGACGCGTCGAGCGTTCGGTTGGACCCGGCTATGATGGGCATCATCCACGACGTTGGCTTCTGGAAGGCGAGCAAGGCGCTCTTGGCCGTGCTCTCGCCGCTCCACGCAGCGATTGCCTACCTCCAGAGCTCGGAAGCGACCTTCTCGGCCATCTACGCCGTGTTTTTGCATTTGAAAATGGCCTTTCTCGAGATGCCAAGTACCATCTACGAGGCGTGCGGGCTCGTCTCGACGCTGCACCACGAGTATCCCCGCGCCTTGACCGACATCCTCACGCACCATATCGCGGTCATCTACTCGCCCGTGCACGCGCTCGCCTTCCGCGTCGACCCGTTCTTTGACCAGCTGCGCGCGGTCGTCGTCGAGCGGTTTGGCGCGTCGATGCTCGATCTCAACCACGAGCTTCTGAGCGAGTGCCGGCGCGGGCTCTCGCTGCTCTGCCGCAAGTCGCGGGCGCTCGAAGCCAAGGCGCTCTCCCAGTTTTGTCTCTACTGCGCCCGGACCAACGCGACCACCGATGTGTTTGCGATGACCAAGACGATGCTGCCCAACTGCATTTGGGGCCAAGCGACCGGGCAGTTCCCCGACTTGTCCCAACTGCTCGTCAACGTCTTTGCGTGCCCCGCGACTGCGTCCCGTCGCCGCATTCGCACCTCGAGTTGCACAAGCCAGAAGGAAAAGGTTGCGCTGCTTGCGTGGAACCAAGTCCACCGGCAAGAGAAGCAGCACGTCTTGTACCGAGACTCGGCGTTCGCCAAGGTGCTCGCTCGGGACCCGAACGCGCCGCCACTGCCGCCGACAAGTGCGTCCGAAGACGCGAGCGACGATGAACCGTCGCGACTGAGCGTCTTGCTCTCGTCATTGACGGCGCTGCACCCCGACAACATCCCTGACACGTGGGTCTTTGGCGCTCACGCCAACAACGCCATGCGCCAGCTCTCGGAGATGGCCTACGGCACAACAACCGTCTAATGTGTCGAAGACTACCCTTTTTGAATTGCTGACGACAACTTGTCAGTAGTAGTGGCTACGTCGATTTGCTGGATCGTTGAAATATTGATAGTATTACGTGATAAATACGTGCGTCGACATTGGGCACTAGAGTGCCAGGACAATGGCGACGAGCACCACCGGGAGTGCAGCTAAGGTGTATGGCGTCGAAGAGGAGGACGCGTACAAGGTCATGGGCGTCGTCTTGGTCACGTCGCGGTCGTCGAGATGGCGCCACGTTGTGATGGTTTCAGCGCGGTCGTCTCGGCGCCACTGGATCACGCGGGCGGCCCGGGCGACCGACGGGTTGCCATACGCTTGTCCTAGTACCGTCACGGTCGTGATCACAGTTTTTGTCGTATTGAAAGTACCGTAGCCGACGCCACCGCCGTAGCAGAGCTGGATGCCCTTGCGCAAAATGCAGTAGTTGTTGAGGTGGTCGTGACCCGCGAACGCCGCCTTGACGTCGCCCACTAGGATCGCCGATCAGCACCATGACAAGTCGACACGACGTACTCTTGACGAGCGCGTTGAAGACACCGGCTTGGGGGCCGCTGGAAATGGTTTCGCCGCGGTGCCCAACGTGTTTGTGGAAGAGCTTGTCCATCCAGCCGAGCTGGTACTCGGGCAGCGGAATGTGGTGAAAGAACACGGCCGGCGCCAGTGGTGCTGTCGGTGCCGCTGCCCGGAGGTAGGCCACCTGCGCCGGCGCAATCACTTCGTCTGTGTTTCGCGTGTCGATAAAGTAGAGGCGAAAGACGGTGGCGTTGCTCGTGTCGGTGACGTTGAGCACGTAGTTGCCGACGCCGCCGACGTCATTCGGGCCGCGACGGGCCACCGCATACGGCTGCTGGGCCATATAGTCGAACATGGCGCGTCGTGGCATGGACGCCTAGAACCCCGGTGACTCGGTGTCGCTGGAACTTTATGCCTACCCCTTCGTCGTGGTTGCCAAAGACAAAAGCCCACGGCACCTTATGGGCAATCACGAGCCGAATGGACGCGTCAATGGCGGTCTTGACCTCCGAGAGGTTCTACGTGGCAGTATATGAGCAAAGAACGTGGGAGCGTATGGATATACGTGTTGGAGGAGATGGTTCTCGACTTGGTCGCCCGTAAAGACAACGAGGTCCGGCTTGACCTTTTTGAGAAGCGCCTCAATGAAGGCCGTGGTGTTGGCCTCGGTGCACGGCGGCGGGTCGCCGCATCGGAAGCTCGAATCGCCCGTGTAGTGCATGTCGGCAATCTGCAAGACGGTGAAGTCGAGCGCACTGGCGCCGCTCGCCGAGAGAGACGTGCGCGGATGCAAGCTTTGGGCAAAGACTCCAGCCATCTACGATGCGTGAACCTGAGTCGATGTTAGAAACAGCAGCGTGCGCTACCGTCGCCAGCAAAAACAAACAGCAAGCGAGCATTGCAAATGTGTCGAAACAAAATCTGCAGCATCGTCGACCAAGTGCTCGAACCGAGGTGCAGACTATGATGTTCATCGGAGCTACATAGCAACTTCAACAAGGTCATGTCCTACCCTATCCCACTCCCCATCGATGGCGCCAAACGCCCAAGCAGGTGGAAGTCCAGGAGTCAACCCTGGGTGACAGTGGTACGGCGACCCAAGGGTTCGTCACGCGCCTGGTTACGTGCAGCCATTCTCAACAAATTTTCAGTGGATTTATTCGTCTAGCCAGGCTCTGGTATCGCCAGAACCGAAGGGTTCCTTGTTCGTACTAGACATGCACTGGACCAGAAAACCTCGCGTCGTAACTCCAGCTCAAATGACCAGCTGCTACAATGGCGACTTGGCGTTGACCCGATCGAGCTAGACACGCAAATAAATCCACCACGAGGTCCTTTATTAACAAACGTTATTTATTCGGTTAAAAAACCTCCCCGCGTGGTGCGAACTGGCGAGCAATGGCGCCGAGCTGCTCAGCGTCGAGCGTACCGCCGAGACGCACAACTCGACGCATTCGGCCGCGAGATGTGTGTTTTGATCCATTGGAAAGGTAGAAAGGACACCCAAAGTGCAAAGTGACCGTTCAAGATCGCGCACCGACCAATCAGACGCCTCATTGGCCAACCGGCACCCATGGGATCAGCCCCGTCGTCACTGCGCGCCCAAGGCGACCTGCGCCGTGTGCTCCGGGACTGGGACGTCCTCGACGTTCATGTCGTCCTGAAAAAATACCGCCACATGACCCTGCGCTACTGCGTGACCATGGAACAGCTCGGGTTCGTCCTCGGGCGCGCACTCCCAGATCCGTTCGTCTCGCTCTGCTTTCGTGTCTTTGCGCCTGCCAAGGTCCGCGCGTCGCCTGCCGTGCCCGTCGTCGACATGATGGAGGTCTTTGTGTGCTTGATCCTTCTCTGCCAAGCCACGATGGCGCAGCGGGTGGCCTGTACGTGCACTGCTCCACATCGAAACTAAAGCCTCTGGTTAGTCTTGTTCGACGTGGTCGACACGCAGAGCACGGGTCGTCTCTCGCCGCCTAGCCTCTTTTTGCGTATGTAAGTATGCGCAAGCGGCTCTCAGCGTGTGGCGTAGTGCTCCAAGCCGTCGCCCGCAGCATTATCAAGCTGACGCAAACAAACATCGTGCGTCACTCTATGTTCTTAGGTAGCATGTCATATTCTTATAGGGTGTCGCCGACACTATCGAAAAGCTCGCGCAGGCTGGGATGGCGACCGACCCCAAACGCCAAGACAGCGTCGACAAGGCGACGTTTTGCGCGTGGGTTCTCGGGCATCCTGGTCTCCTCAGCTACCTTGAAGCGTGCACAGGCGAAGGTACTGCAGCTCCTCTTCACCCGACTTTGATGGCATCGTCTGTGGCAGCGCGCCCGCGGCTTTACGTAGCGCTCGAAAAATCGTCGTCGCTCCTCGGCTACATTGAGTTTGACTCGGTGCACGAGCTGCATTCGGCCTCCGTGGATCGCGTCCGGGCCATGGCAACGGCGCAACTCGGGCACCTCGACGCTGCGTTTGAGTTTCTCAGTCACGGTGCATTAGACATTTTTGTCGATTTGTCCAGAATTTTTCGACACTACGTAGGTCGCCCCGTGGCGCGGGCCAAGGAAGGCGACGTGAAAGCCTGGGAGCTCGTGCCGTTTGCTGTCCTCGGGACGCCCGGCCGCCACTGGCAGCGCAACGAGCTCGCATACAGCGCTGAGACCAAGCGAACGCCGGTAGAGCCCACGAGCGACCCGCACCCGAACCAACAGCGCCCGCTGCTCGCCTTTCAGTTTCAGCACCACCACTACACGCTGCCATCGTTCACCAAGAAGGTTCGTGACGTCGCGCCCTTGTACAAGCATCTGCGCCTACGGTACGGCTTTCACCTCGCTGCAACCGACAACGACAAGGATGCATACGTAGGCTGCATGCGCCGGACGCGTACGTGTGGCGGCTGTGTCAGTACTGGTGCGGCGACTGGCTCGTGAACCAACGGACGCTGCAGGCCAAATCCCGCCGCCAGCTCGTGTCTCGGCTGCGCAAGGAAACCAAGCCCCTCGTTATCCACGGTGGCGCCACAGGCCTCGTCGTCAAGGACACCCAAGGGCTCATTCTCTCGCACAACCCCAAGCTACCAAGTCTGCAGTCCAAGTTGCGGCTCTTGGCGATGGAGACGCAGCTCGAGGAGACCGAGGCGTCACCGGCGCCGCACCATCCACCGACGATGCTCATCGAACGTCACGCGCACCCGTCGCGGTATTACTCGCGTCTCCTGGGCACCGTGCGGACAACTGCAACCACCGGCGAATGGCACGTCGTCAACGGTCACGCTGCGCACGGTGATTGGTGCAAGAAGAGCTCGTCGATCCCGCTTCAGTCGGACCAAATCCAAGTGTTTCCCTTGCTCTGGCTGCGGCTAGAGACGCCGCCGCCGGTGCCCCGGGTCCTCGACCTCCCCATTTCGACCACCGAGTGCCCGGTCGAGCTTCTGCGCATCCTGCTGCCGACACTGCCCGACAAGCGCGTCCTCAACCAACCCGACTGCATGGGCAGAACGCTCTTGCACTATGCGGCGCTCTTTGGCCACGCCAAGCTTCTGGACCTCCTCTTAAGTGAGCGGGTGCTCGTCGATGTGCTCGACAGCCAGCGCAACACTGCCCTTCACTTGGCCGCAAGCTATGGGCGGCTCAAGGCCGTGAGCCGGCTCCTTGCCCACGGTGCGTCGCCCACGGCGCTCAACGTGCACCACCAGCTACCGTTGCACCTCGCACTCTTGCACGTGGCGACGCAGTATGACATCTCCAACGGCATCTTTGCCCGGTACGAGAACGGTGAACAAGTTGTCGATCTCTTGTGGGACCGGACGCCGCCGGCGTGGTGGCATGCACAGGACATCTACGGACACTCGGTGTATGCGATGGAGGAGCGCGTCTTTGGCTCGGTGTTTGAAGCCGCGCGCGCCGGCCTTGTGCCTCGAATCCAACACCTGCTTGAGAGCAAGAAGATCCCGCACCTGAACGTGCAGCTCGAGATTCTGCAGTCCACCGCGCTCCTCGAAGCAACCGAGCGCGGCCGGTACAACGTCGTCGACTACCTCGTGCGGCAGGGCGCCGACGTGTTCATCGCCAACCAACGGGGTGCCACGGCTCTGCACAAAGCGGCGGCCCGCGGGTTTGACCGGATCGCCGAGTGCCTTCTCTTCAAGTACCCGCGACTCATAAACGTGGCCGACGTCAACGGCAAGACTGCGCTGCATGTGGCGATCGAGCACGAGAAGACGTCGATCGCGCTCCTCATTTGCCAGTACATGCTTGGCCACGAGCATCGCACCCGAGACATCTTTGGGAATACGCCCTTGCACCTCGCCTGCGTGCTTGGCAACGTCGCGGTGGCGCGTGCCCTCTTGGTCCAGCACGCCGTCGAGACGCAAGCGCACCCGCCTCTTGTCCCGCAAAAGCGTCGGCGTCCGCACCGCCTCGGGCAGTTTCTCAAGCGACCGATCAACAATGACAAGACCCCAACTCCGATCGAGACGCTCTTGCACGGGTGGAAGGTCGCCACATTTGACGTCGACCCAGCGATCCTCGAGGCAACGCACCACCGGTACCATGGCCTTCTGACGGTTCTGCTCGAGCATATGAGCAAAAGCGAGGCGACGCCGTTGCTTTTGGCCCATCTCGCGCTACACAAACTCGCACATGCGCCGTCGATGGCGGTGCGCGTCCTGGAGCTTCTCGCGGAGCACAAGCGCTTGGCGCTGGAAACCACCGACGAGGCAGGCAACACGCTTCTCATGGCCGAGGTGCAGCGGTGTTGCCAGGCGTCGTCGACGTCACTCGCGGTGGTCCGCACGCTCCTCGCGTACGGTGCCAACGTGCACATTGCGAATGCTTTGCATCAGCGCCCGATCCCATGTGCTGCGTTCCACGGCCACGATGCGCTGCTTGATGTGCTCCTCGAAAGCGTCCCGTTCGACACGCTGCACGCAAGCTGCGCGACCGCCGACTCGGCCCTGCACATGGCCTGTCTTCGCGGCCACCTCAGCACGGTGCAGCTGCTCTTATCGCGCGGTGCGACGCTGCATGCGTGTGTCACGGACGAGTCGCCGCTGTGCTTTGCGGTTCGGTCGGGCTCGATCGAGCTGGTACAGTACTTGCTGCAGCACGGGGCGGACGTCAATCTCTGGTTGCCACTGCTGCCAACACGACAGTGGTTTGGGATGATGTGGACGTCGCCAGCGGTGGGCCACGGCGGGCCGCTGGCGCTGGCACTGCACGCAGCTCCCGCATCGTTCCAAGAACACACGTACGACGAGACGATCGACGAGGCAGCGTCCGATGGCCTTGCCGCCTCCATGTACACTACGCACCACGAACAAGCCATGCGGTACTTGTCGCTGCTCGCAAAGACACGGTTTCGACATGAAAGATGGTAGGCGCCAGTGGCAGACGCTGTACGACATGGCGCTGCTGCTCACGGACAAGCTCATCCAGATCGAGCAGACGCTCAAGCTGCACGTGACCGCGGAAGAGATCACGCGAGCGTGTCAAGTCGGCTTTTGGTCGGTCGCCACCAGCCTCTTGACGCACCGCCGCATCGAGTTTCCCCGTACGCACTACACACGATCGCGGTCCAAACGCCCATAATGATATAGGTGCCAACGCTGCAGGACCGACACTTGGTGCGATGCACCTCGCGGCCGCCGCGGGCCAAGCCAGTTTGGTGGGCCTCTTGGCGTCGAACGGCGTCGACGTCGACGGCCTCGTCGTCCGCAGTCGCTACGTGAACGCAGCGCCTCTCTACTTTGCCTTTGTGCGCGGGCAACACGTGACGGCCGCCAAACTGTATCTTCTCGGCGCGTCGACGACCACAACGTCTCGGACAAGGCACGTGCATCCGATGCAATCGCACCTCAATGGTTGGATGCAACTGGCGTCGCTTCGATCCCCGTCGCTACGTTCCCTTGCGGGGGCCTACACCAACATGGTGCACCACCTCCGCCTGAGCCTCGCATCGGGCGTGCCTGCTGTGCACATCGCCTGTCAACGCGGGTGCCTACCGCTGTTGCAAGTGTACCACCGCGCCGGGCTCTCGCTGCAAGACGTTGCTGCGTCGGGGCACACGCCGCTCACGCTGGCGCTTCAACACGAGCAGTATGACGTTGTGACTTGGCTCGTCGCCACCGTGCCGTCGCTGACGGGACTGCGCGCGCCGCACCTACCGCTTGCGACCGCTGCGCGCCTGCCACAAACGTGCGATGGCAAAACGTCGCTGCTCACGCTCTTGTTGCAGCCGATGCCAAATGAGACGAGTGACGAACGCGTGTCACGCCTCGCTGCTCTCGACAGCGGCGGGTGCACGGCCCTCGACCACGCAGCCTTCGCAAGCGACAACGACGCGGTATGTCTACTCCTCCCGCACTGCCTTCCGACAATTGCGACGGTCATTGCAGCACTGCAAGGTTGCGAGCCGCTTCCGGTGTTGCGCACCCTGCTGCCGTCGTGGTCGGCGCTCCGGGGCGCCACGTTTGACCATCTTTTGCAAGCGTTTATTTTGGCGTCGTCGCGCGAGTTATGGGACGTCGTGTCACACTGCTTGCTTCTACAAGAGGCCAGTGTCGAGCCGTACGCCACGTGGATTCGTCGGGCCGCGTCCTGCAGCCTTGTGCTCCACCGGGCCGCCGCCGCCAACCAAGTTGCCATCGTTCAAAAGCTCGTGCATAGCTTTGGCGTCCCGCCGGACCTTGTCGTCGCCAACATGCCATCGCGAACGCCGATCTGGTACGCCGGTGCCCACATGGCGCTCGATGCCTTTGTAGCATTGGTCTTGGCGCTGCCGCCGACGCAGTCGGTGCTCCCGGCCCTCGTGCAGCGGGGTACCGGGGCGCCGGCTGCCCACGGCCGCTGTCGACCGATACGACCCAACGTCCAGCAGCTTCAAGCGCGCGCCCGGTCGCTCAACGCCTTTTTATGGCCGTCGCACTCGGTCGACGCCACAGACGCGCTCCGGGTCGCGGGATTTGAAACGTGTACGTGGCGCAACCTCTCGGCGTTCTCCAGCTATGGCACGCGTGCGCTCCAGCACCAACGAACCATTCACCGCATTGTCCAGTGCTACGTCGGGCATGCGCTGGCGCACCCTACCAACGAGACTAACGACACGCTGCTGCACCTTGTGGTGGCGACCCGCGACGAAGCGACGGTCTCGGCACTCGTCGCCGCCGGGGCGCCGCTGGAGACGGTCAACAATGCCGGCGAGAGCCCGTGGACGCTGGCGGCCAAGCAAAACGATATGCAAAGTACGCGCATCGTACAGAATATATGGCCGCGCCTCACACCGACGCAAAAAGAAGCCGTCGTCAAGGCATCGACCCAAAGCGTGACTATCAATGTATCAACGCTGGCCTTTTTGTTTCAAGTCGCCGTCCCCAAGGAGCCGATTCCGGTGCAATTTATCAGCTTTGCTGGCCACGCGTACTACACCGCAGCCATTCGAACCAACAATGCGGCGGCGATTCAACTCCTTCTAGCCGTACACGATGCACCTTCGGTGGCGATGAGGCTCATGCGCAGTGTAGGCCAAGGCCCCCGTGGACCATCGCGAGGTGTGGCCGGCGCTTCAGAGCGCAATGACAAACTGGAAGCAAGCGAGTCGCGATATGGTCGAAGGGCTCTTGCCGCAGCTGCCGCTGTCGACGCCCGTGGACCTTGTCGCGGGCTTCGTTCTCTTCGCCGCTCACGCTCAGTGGTACAACATTGTACTGCACCTGTTGCAAGCCTTTCAGCTGCCGCTGTTGCGCCAACTGGACTCGACGACTGCGAGTGCAGGCAGCTCGCTACTGCACTACGCCGTGCTGCACGGCCAGGCTACGGTGGTCCAGCGTCTTCTGCAGCAAGGTCCGTCTTGGTTGATCTGCGTATTTCGATGTCATGTGTTAAGACAGGGGCCGCGCTCGTCCATGACAAGCGGGGACAGACGCCGCTGCACCTTATCGCGCACCTTGGCGATCTCGGTTTGCTGCAGCTCTGGCAACGCGTCGGCCCAACGCAGCTCCAGTCGATCTTGGATGCACCAGATCGGGACGGCAACACAGGTAGACGGGTTGTTACATAAGACGACCGACGACATGATGCATAGCGCTTCACATCGCGGCGAAGCGAGGGCACGTGGTCATCGTCGAAGCTCTGCAACACGCTGGATCGTCGGCGGGTACTCTTCGGAACGCCCGAGGCTGGACGCCGGTCTTGGAAGCGGCCAAGGGCAACCATTTGCCAGTCGTCGTGCGCCTCGTCCTGCAGCAGGTGCTGTCTCAGCGCATGAACTATGCTTTTGAATAGAAACCGTGTCGTAGCCACCACCCGAGACGCTGGTCGCGACCGACGGTATCTCGGTCGTGCTGATTGCCGCCGACGGCGGGCACTTCAAGGTCGTGGCGTGGCTTCTCACAACGCTCAATCTCTCGTCGGCGCACATTCAGCAGCTGCGCTCATCGGACGGACGGACCCTCGCGCACTTTGCCGCCCTTTTCAACGCGCTAGACCTCCTGTCCACCACTCCCGCGTGCATCTCGCTCGTCAACGTCGCCGATAGCCGTACGGTCTACGCTTGTTCCTTCGGGTTCCTTACATTTTCTGTGGTAGATGGCTGTCTCCCGCTGCATTATGCGCTCATGCTGGGGCACCTCGATGTCGTTGAGCTCCTCGGACAGCACGGCGCCGACGTTCAGAGTCCGATACAAAACCGCCTCGTCGAGGAGCCCTTTGTGATTGCAACGCTGCTATCTTGGAACCCGCTGCCCGGCTGGTTCCGCGCGGCGCTTCACGCCAACGCGACGGCCCCTGTTGTCGAGGTGGCGCTGCTTCGTGCGGCGCCAGCCACCTTGGCGGTCTGGGTGACGCCCAGGACGTCACTGCTCGAAGCAGCTACGCGTCTCGGGATCGACACCACGGTAGCAACCGTCTTACGGCTCCTTCGGTTCATTCCGCTGCTCTGCGACGGCGGCCTCGAGACGCGCCAACGCATCTTCATGCAGGCCGTGGCCCTCAACCACGTGTCGATCGTTGACGCTCTCTGCAACTGCGACCTCGTGCACCCGATTGACAAGACACCGTTCTTCCGGGACTTTATCGATGCCGCCATCCAACACAGTGCGCTACGGGGCCTCGAGGATATGACGCTCTGTCTTCTCCGGCACTGGGAGCGGTTCGGGTCGTCCGGGTACATTGTATCAAGAATGTATCAAAGTATCGACGGTTTCATGACGTGGCGGCCTTAGATCCATCGCAGCAGCGCTCTTGTCGCCGGCCGAGTTTGCCTTTCAGTTTGCGACCGTACTCCAGCATGCGTGTATTTTCGGCCGAGCAAGGCTCGTCGAGTACCTCGTGCTCAGAGGCGGCGAGTCGATCCTCGGGTACCGCGTCGACGAAGGGCCGGCCCTCGTGTACGCCTTTGCCTTTGGGCAACGCGGTGCGACCATGACGGGAGATGAGACGACGTCTCATGTCAAAACGATGTAGAGGTGATTGCGCTCTTGCAACGGTACGGCGCCGAAATCAGTGCCCTCGACGGGTACTTTGCCCCGTCGCTCAAGCTCTGGGTCGAATACGACGGTGCGCGCGACGATGCGTCCTCCAAAGCTCAAGCGTTCTCGTAGAAAACCCACTTCTCCAGAACGAGTGGTTTGACCGCGTCAGTGGCGCACACAAGGCAAGCTCCAAGCCCAGGCGACCGTTCACGGGGCCATTGGAAGTCTACACAGTGAATGCCGAACGATTGCCGCTGAGCATGCTTCAAGACGGGTTTCGACCTTCCATGACTTGAATTAAATGAATATTGCGATGTTGAACCCAGAGTTTCTCTTGAAAATGCCATTTTATTCAAATCAATTCATTGAAAAATCACCCAGTGCCTAGGGACGCCGCAAATCAGCACGTTCAGCCTCTCTCCATCACTAGCGACTTGTAGTGGGCCGTTGAAAATAATCCCAGCATTTTCCGACGTTTTTGCTCACAACACCGATCGCGCGCGCGGGTCCCGCAAGACGGTACGCACGAAGCGCAAGTCGATGTTCACGCGGCTTTGGTCATGTTCGTCTTCTACAAGCTATTTCCAGGTCACATGTCGAGCGGCGCGATCGCAACGACGTGACGATGGCATCCGAATGCTGCCCTCGAGTCGTCCGACGCAGTGCCAAGTCGTTCATGGCGTTTTAGCTTGTATTGATACATTGATAGATCAACGCCGATGGCTACTCGAAAGCTAGTCTCTGTCTTGCTTTGCATATCTAGGCTTGGTCCTATCCATACCGAGTTTTGCGTTGGCCAGCTCTTGACAGGGGTTAGGAATATGGCGTCTTCCCCAAACCCTCAAACTCAACGGACTAAGACAGATCGTTTCTGATTGGATTCTTAGGCGGTGAGCGCGGGACTCTCAAGCACGATACGGCGGACGCGGTCTCCGTCGTGTTCATAGCGGTGCTTGACATATCGAATCGGAGGCTGGGGGTTGAAGAGCCCCCGTAGCGGCGAGAGTGCGATCGAGATGCCACGGCAGGTGGCAAGGGCGCGGTCGACGTGGACAAACGTGGACCGGGAGAGATCTGTGTCGTCGATATCGATGACGACGCCGACGGGACTCGCTGCGTGCGACAGCGCCGTCGCGAGCGCCTCGATTTTTTCGTCCCCGAGGTACGACTCTTGAAAGGTGATCTGCCGGAGGCCCCGGCGAATCCAGTCGCCCAACGAGACGATCATGGCCTAGAACACGCTGGTGCTCAGCAAGCAAAATTGAATCGAGAGATCCTCGAGAACACACGTGGGCGGGACGTGGGCGGCGAAGACGCGCCAGGAGTCTGCGTTGAAGCGCGTGCTGTCGAGAACGAGGTGCCGGAGCGTCGGCGGAAACAAACCTCCGGCGGCTGGGAGCACGTTCGACACGAAGTAGCCGTCTCGGAGCTCGAGGAACGTCAGCGCTAGGAACGTGGCCAGAACGCGCAAGAGCGGGCTGAGGTTCATTTCTTCGCAGACGACGCGCAGCGACGACAGCTTGGCGCTGTTGAGACGCTGCAGAAACTGCACCAACGCGGCCTTGTCGGCCTCGTCCACCGAGATGTCCAATTGCTTCAGGCGCTTGAACGACGGCGCGACGGCGACGAGGGGTGCGACAACTCCGGGCGCGCTACTGTACAGTATTACACGCTTAAGCGACGTTGTCTTGGCGAGCATTGGCGCCAGCGCCGCGCTGATTGCGGCTCGGTGATCGGTGTGTTGGTATTCGAGCGTCAAGGACGAGGCGTGCTTCGACTCGAGCCATCGGCCCAAGGCCATGAGGAAGCTCGTGTCCGTCTCGATGCATGGCGTTGTGATGGATGCGACGCGGTGCGCGGGTGTCGTGACGGCCTCAAGGACCGACGTGTAATTTGGTAGATCGACGTCCGTCAGGTGAATGCACTCGCGCAAGATCGCACAGCAGCGCGGCAGGTCCCATAGATCTTGAGGGTACCTGTGCGTATAGCGCGTGAGCTTGGTGCTCCACAGTTGAAGCCACGCCAAGGCGTCGACATCGGGTGGCACACCGTCGCTGCTGTTGGAGCCGGCGGCCGCCGGAATGACCGGCATCGCGTCGCGCAAGAGAGCGGTAGCCGCGGGCGTGAGCTCCTCCAGATCCAGCAGAGGCCACATGCGGCTCCTCGCACGCTGCTCGCAGCCAAAAGAAATCCGTGTCATGCGCAGCGGGTGGTCGAGCAGCTCGTGCAGCGCGGCCAGCGGCGGGCTGCGCGCAGAGGCCGGCAGCGCCGATAGAAAGGCGTGGACCGTGCATGGCGCTGCGATGCACTGGACGATGCTCGTGAGCACGTGGTCCAAGTGCAGGACCGTCGGCGAGGCCGGCTCATCGACTCTTTGGTGCGGCTTGGTTGGGTGTTTTGAAATCGGTTTCCATATTGTATATGCTGCTAAAATGAAACTGATGCTAAAGCTGAACGCACGCAACTCATTCTCGCGCCTCAATCTCAAAATCTCAAAACCATTTGGATTTTGCTCGAAGCGCCTACCGGTCTGGCCAAACATGGCGATACGCCGCGAATACGCACGTACACTCTGAGCGAGCTGCAAGGGCTAGGCAGAGCTGACGCCCCCAAACAATCTCGAGGTTGATCACTGACACGCTGTTACGGTTTAGCTACAGTAGTAGCATTAGAGAGCTCATTGGGGCTGGGCGATGAGCTGGCGCAGTAGCATCAAGTCAACTCGAATCGGTGTTTGAGCCGTCGATGGACCCTCCGGTAGTCGGGCGACTGGTGGCCTCCAGCAAACACACGTTTGTCCACGACCACTCGCGTCATGGCCATGATCGACTACCAGCTGCGCGACATGACTCGCTTCCAACTTGACGACGAATAACTCGCGACGGGTCGACGCTTGTGCCGCGTCGCCGGCAGTGTCCGCACGCCACCGACTCGTTGACGCCGTTGGGACTCGTCGTTGGCGGCGATGTGCTGGGCCGTACCCGACATTTGATGCTGGAGATCTTCTACAAGAATGAGAGTTTGAGCGACGCTCGCTCGATGGATGGACGAAACGTCGGTGCAAGTGGCGTTGGGTATCAAGGTGAACGCGCGAGGCCGTCGCTATGTGCTTGTGCTCTACGTCCGCGGCCAACCGGTGGTAGAATGTCACGTTGACCACCACGCAACCAACTCGTGCAGGCTTTCCAGTCGCCGCTGTGTTGGCGGGCGTGGCTTGCCGCCGGCGCAAGTCAAGCGGAAGACATGATGTACTTCAATCACAATGGTAAATTTGACTTTGCTCCATCGGTCAAGGGAATTTTTGTTATTGGTATTCCCTTGCCATAGTGTGCTAGCCTCGGGCCCGAGGCGTCTCGATGGGCTCACGGCACACCTCGTGTTCTTAGCTCTCTGGCATGACCGGCGTCGCAAACCTGGCTCTCGGTGCTGCGAATCGTACGCGGAGAGGTGGTGACGATGCGCTGTTGTCTGCCCTGTCAAATCTTTCCGGATAATTCCGGATATGTGCAGGGCGGGCTATTTAAATTTTGTCCAATCACGGGCCAGTCTCGATTTTAAACCTTGGGTGGCACGATGACGGCGAGCGCAGCGCGGCCCGACGACGGCGTCAAGGTCGTCGTCCGCGTCCGGCCGATGAGCAGCGCCGAGAAGGCCCAGGGTAGCGCCAGCGCCGTGAGCCTCGACTTGACGACTGTCTCGCTTGGGCCCAAGACCTTTGCCTTTGACCACGTCTTCGGCCCGGCCGTCGGCCACGGCGACGTGTACGCCAAGAGCGCCGCGCCGCTCCTCGATGGCTTCTTCGCCGGCTACAATGCGACCATCTTTGCGTACGGACAAACCGGCTCGGGCAAGACGTACACGATGGGCACCAACTTTGACAGCGGCGTGAATGGCGTCATCCCGAGCGTCATGGCCGACGTCTTTGCCCGCGCCGCGACGCTCCTCGACACGAAGATGACGACGACGGTGCTCAAGCTCTCGTACCTCGAGATTCTCAACGAAGAAGTGTTTGATCTTCTGGCGCATGGGCCGCCCGACAGCCTGCGCATCAGCGACGACCCCAAGAAAGGCGTGGTCGTTATGGGCTTGTCCGAGCACACGGTCGCGTCGCTGGACGACGTCAAGGACCTCCTCGTGCGCGGTGGCAAGCAGCGCGCGACGGCCTCGACAAGCATGAACGACACGAGCAGCCGGTCCCACGCCATTTGCACGCTGACCATGCAGCAGCACCCGGCGTCCGACACGGAGCCCTCCAAGCTCTCCAAGTTCCACCTCGTGGATCTCGCCGGCTCGGAGCGCGCCAAGAAGACGCATACCGAAGGCGACCGATTCAAGGAAGGTACGCCTCTCGTCCTGCCATCAAGCATGGCGATGGCAGCCATCTGTAGGCGTGCACATCAACAAGGCGCTGCTCGTGCTTGGAAAGGTCATTACGTGCCTCAGCGAGAAGAAGAAGGGCAAGCCCGCCTTTGCGCCGTACCGCGAAGCCAAGCTCACGCGGCTGCTCCAAGACAGCCTCGGCGGCAACAGCAAGACCGTCATGATCGCGTGCGTGAGCCCTGCCGACGTCAACTTCGACGAGACAACGAGCACGCTGCGGTACGCCGAGCAAGCGCGCTGCATCCAGAACGCGGCCGTGGTCAACCGCGACCCTGCCGACAGCGAGGTACCTCGCGCTCCGCGTCCGCGGTCACTTGTATCATGAGCGTAGATTGTGTATTTGCGCCACCAAGTCGAACTGCTCAAGCTGCAGCTGCTCCAGCAGCGCGATGTCATGGCGATCCCAGCGGTTGCCTCTTGAGAACGACTATGGATGTACTCATACCGCAGCGTAGGACGTCAAGCAGCTCTACGCCGAGCTGAGCAGCTTGAAGAACCAGCTGCACCAGCTGCGCCAGGCCAAAGACCAGTGGAAGGCCCTCGCGCAGAACCACGAGCACGACCCGGACGCTGTCTCGCAGGCTGTCGCCGCCGAGATGCACGACATGGAGGTTGACTCAGCTTGTGATGCTTCTTTGTCGGCTCATGACGGCGAGTAGAACATTGACGGCGTCATTGCCGAGAAGGAGGTCATTATGAACGCTCTGCAGTCCAAGACATCGACCGACTCGATCGAGGTCCGACTGCAGACGCTCCAGGCGCAGTACGCGTCGCAGGTCGAAGCGTGCGCGCACATGACGCCGTCGCGTCAAAAGTCCAAGCTCGCGGTCGCGACGGCCGCCGAGCAAGAAGTCAAGCGGCTCCAAAAGCTGCATGCGCAAGGTCTCCTCAAGATCACGTCGCTGCAGCAGGAGCTCGCGAGCCTCAAGCAGATCAAGGCGCAGCTCCGGCGACAGCTCGCGCAGGAAGCCAAGGACCATATGAAGGAGAAGCGCGACCAGGAGCTCAAGCTCATGCAGCTCCAGCGCCGCGATGTAAAGAAGGACATGCAGCTCAAGAAGCTCGAGACGACGTTTGAGAAGCAGTCGTCGCTCCTCAAGCGCAAGAACGACGAGCTCGCCAAGATCCAAGCCAACAAGAAGCAAAAGACGGGTCTCCACACGAGCCGTCCGATCGTTGCTGTCGACGACCAGAAGGCGCTCGTACACGATGTGCTCGATGTTGCGCTCACGATCAAGGGCGCCAAAGCCGCCGTGCAAACTGAGTTTGACCAGCGAAAGGCCCTCGCTCTCGAGCTCAGCCAGCTGCCGCCAGCAAATGAGAGCCATGACGACGACGCCAAGCGCGCCACGTTGGAAGCGGCGCTCGACGTGAAGAACAAGACGATCCGCAAGCTCCAGCAAAAGCTCGAGCTGGTCGAGAAGCGGCAGCGCGGCGCGAGCAAGCTCTGTGTGCCGGACGTGGCAAGCTGCCACAAGATCATCCGGAGCCTCTTTGACGTGGCGGTCTCGTCGGCCAAGCAGAGCGACGAGCTCAAGGACATGGAGACACAGCTCGTCGCTGCCGAGACGCAGCTCGTGGCGCAAGCCAGCGCCGAGAACTCGGTCGCGGTTGCGTCCACGATGGTACGTTTCTTGTGTGCGAGGGACTGGGTGGACTTCGATTCGCGTAGCAAGCGAATCGCGAGCGCGAGCTCTTGGACGAGATTGCGGCGCTGAAAGCACAGCTCGAGACCAAGCGGCGCAAGGTACGACGGAGGCTCGACAGGCGGTCGATGAACTGCCTTACCGTAGAAGTCGAGTATGCCCACGAACTCGCTGGTGGTCGACGACGAAGGCGGCATCTCGAGCGGCCCCGAGGTCGACGAAGACGACAACGACTCGGACTACACGGACCACCCGCGCCAAAAGCAACCCAAGGTCTCAGCAGACCCGACGAGCTGTTGCCAGTGCCAAGGCAAGTGCGCCACCAAGATGTGCGCGTGCAGGTCCCGCGGCGGCGTGTGCGGACTCGAGTGTGCCTGCAGCGCAGCCAAGTGCAGCAACCGCGGCCACGCAGAGATTGAGACCGGCGTCCAAGACATCCTCAACGAGATCCTCGGAGGTCCTCTCGACGTCGACAAGGAGAACGTGGTGCCCCTGGCGACGCCGCGTGTCGAGACAGTGGACGATGCAGCAAGTATCGTCAAGCCACCGACGCAAGGTAGTAGTAGTAAGAAGCGGTCGGGTCTGCCCGTCCGGCGCAAGGGTCTCAACGAGCCCTCGAGCGTCGTCAAAAAGATCCCGACGATGCGACGGCTCTACGACGGCAACACCAACTTTGCGTCCTTGCACTCGCGCCTCAAGACCCTCGCGGGGACGTCCCCCGCCCCCTAGTTTTAGTTTACTATGTAATATCAATACCACTTCAGCCAGCCATCCCACATGTGGCATGTAAGCGCCAATGTCTCGATGCTCCTGCTTGACGCCACCCAGAAGACCTCTCCAACGTCGTCGACCAACTCGTGAGCCCTCGGTCAAAGCGCAGGCGCCAAATCAACCAGAACAGGTCCCACTGACATTACTGGTCTTGATGGCGTTGCTCCTACGATATGACAACCAGCCTCCTTGAGCTAGTAGCGAGGGTTGTTGGGGTTGTAGGCGATGATTTCGCGCAGCACGAGCAACTCCAGCTGCAGTTCCTTGTGTTCGCGGCCGACCCAGGCATCGGGCAGCGCGCTCCCGTGGTACAAAAGCCCAGCGGGAAACGACACGACGGCGCCGTAGTGCAGGCCCTTGTTCCGGCCAAACTGTACTTCCTGCGTCGGCTGGCCGCGAACGTGAAGGATCAGCACGTAGCGGGCGTCCCGGAGGAAAATCTTGATGCCGAGCGCCACTTGCACCGACGTGCCGTCCATCCACCGAGTGAGCTTGGAGCGCATGTCGCTGAGGCACTCGTTTTGGCCGGCAACCTCAAAGACAAAGGGCGGGAAGGGCTGGCCATCCCCAGCATCCAAGACGCTGCCACCGACAGCAAGCGAGCGAGGCAGGATGGTGGCGGTGGAGAGCTGCAAGCAGGTACCGACTGTGCACGGGTCGACGAAACAGTGCAAGCGAAAGTCCAAGTCGGCCGTGGAGCCCATGACGGCGTGGATCTGCGTCTCGAGGAGCTTCATGACCGATCGGGCCGTGTGCTCGTGTAAAAAGGTATACCGGCTGTAGACCACGAGGCGGCCAAGACTCGGGTCGTCGGCGCAGGGCTCATGCACCCACGGGCGCAGAGCGGCCCCCACCTCAAGAAACCAACGCTTGAGGTCGGCAACCGAAACGCGCTCGAGGACGACGGTCAGACCCCACGACACGTCGCCGTCGACGTCGAGACTCGGCGCGTCGCTGATGATGGCAGCTTCAATCTCCTTGAGACGATCTTCGGCAGCCACGACCTGGGGAGGCGCGATTGCCCGGTAGCGCTGCCGCACGGCGTTGGCCAACGCGCGGCGTTCCGCAGCAACTTGCTTGTCGGTCTGCATCGTCGACAATGGAGACTTTCGGGTCGAGCAACGGGCGCTTCGGTTGTTGGACTTTCTAAGCAAACCGGATCCGGATAAAGATACGCCAATCACGGAATCATGGACGTTCAAACTCGAGTTTCCCCAATGCTGTCGTGCACCTGACCAACAATATGAAGCTAGGCTCACTGCGCTCGTATCAAGACGGGACTGTGATTGGACAGCTCACATCCGCAGCACCGAGACCATGGTCTGCGACGTCGACCTAACCAGAGAGCTAGCCGACCGCGCACACGCACAAGCCGTCAACGAGGCAGCCATGCCGGTGTACCGCTCGATTGCACCGGCCAACGTCTTGGCGGCCAAGGTGTACACCACGACGATCGAGGCAGCGCTTCTGGACGACGCACCGTCCGTGGACGTCGAGGGCGACGCGGTGCGGGACCCGTTCGTAGTCTTCTCGGGCATCTCGACGCCGGACATCAAGGCGTGGCTGGAGCACTTCGTCGTGGCGCCGCGGGTGCATGAGCCCAGCGCTGAGGATCCGACGGTCGGCCGCCTTCTCGTCTACAGCAAGCAAACATTTTTGCACGAGAAACTAGGTGCTCGATGCCGCCGGGTACGTCGTCGAGGGCTTGGACATGGCGTACTTCATTCCACGCATCTGCAAGCCTCAAGCTCTTTCTGCGCCACCGCCGCTACGTGCTCGTGCTCCACGTTCTGCTAGTGAGGACACCACAATGTTGTTCTGACCTTGGTGAGTTGCGTGGCCACGCGCAAACGAGCGACGGTCGCCAGGTCGTATAGGGCCCACGACGTCGCCGCATCCTCCGCGCCCGTGGCCAGCCGACGGAAGAAGCTGAATGTGGCAATGCTCGACCTTTGCTCCTATAATTCACTTCGTTCGGTCTCTTGTGTGAGAAGATGGCGCTTCCGACTGTTTGGCGCCAAGCCGACTTGCTTCGCCAAGACTTGGTCGCACGACGCCCGTGCATTCACTGAACCAACGTAGCTAGGATTCGTAGCATACATGTAGTGCCTTGTGTGCTCAAGCGAAGCTTGTATTAGTCTATCACGTACACGGTTGCGAGGTTGCACGAGGCCACTAGATTGAGCGCCATCAGCAAAGGTAACAACCTGCCAGTGCGCAGAGTGAGCTCGTCGTCGTTGCCCACCTCTGTGTCTCGTGCTAGCCGGTGGTCATTGCGCTGGTTAACCTGCACGACCATCACCGAGGGTCATGGATCGTACTTCTTGTTGGGCGATGGTCCTTCGACAATCCGACAGCAGTCGGCCGTCTTGCCCCATCGCACCTTCTCGCCTTCACCAGTACCTCGTCTTGATGGTAGGAAGCCCTTCGTACCATCGGTCGGGCATGGTCTTGCGGCCAAGGCCGTCATTGGCGCCTGGGCCATCACTGCCATGGGCTGGCGCTCCGCTGCCACTTCCCAAAGATCCACACAGGCATGCAAATCGTCGTCGAATTAAAATATATAGGTGTTTGTATGCATTATGCGACAATACAATTGGCCGGGGACGCCCCGGGGCACCATCACTCGCCATTAGCCGATTCCCAGCCGACGACCATGGACCGCTTCCGCGACGTGAGCACGTCGCCCGTGCGCGAGGGCCTCGACGACGAAGACGATGTCCGCCCGAGCTCGACCGCCATCGTGCTGCACCCGGCGCCGTACCCGACGACGACGACGACGACGACGACCTCCTACGCGTACGCGCCGCCGGCGCCGCAGCGCTACCGCGGCCTGAGCAACCAAGGCGCGACCTGCTACATGAACAGCCTGCTCCAGACGCTGTACATGACGCCTGAGTTCCGCAACCGGCTGTACCAGTCCAAGCTCACGGCGACGACGGACCTCGACGTCAACATTCCGTTCCAGCTCCAAAAGCTGTTTGCGAATCTCCAGATGAGCAAGGAGCGCAAGGCCATCGACACCAAGGCGCTCACCAAGAGCTTCGGCTGGAACTCGTCGGACGTCTTCCAGCAGCACGACGTGCAGGAGCTCTGCCGCGTGCTCTTTGACGCGCTGGAAGAGTCGTTCAAGGGCACGCCCGACGAGCAAATGGTCAACGAGCTCTACCAAGGCAATACTTGCTCGCCATATCTGCATATTGGCCTCATGGCGCATCGTCCTAGGCACGCTCAAGGACTATGTGCAGTGCGCCAAGTGCGGCAACGAGAGCAGTCGCCTCGACAACTTTCTCGACCTCTCGCTCGTCATCCGGCCGTTTGGCTCGACGCAGATGATGCGCAGCGTCGAAGAAGCGATCGAGTTCTTCCTCAAGCCCGAGATGCTCTCGGGCGACAATCAGTGGGACTGCGACAAGTGCGCCAGCAAGCAAGACGCGATCAAGGGCCTCAAGTTTGCCAAGCTCCCGTACCTTCTCTCGCTCCAGCTCAAGCGCTTCGACTTTGACTACGTCACGTTCAACCGCATCAAGCTCAACAACCAAGTGACCTTTCCAAAGTACCTCAACATGAACACGTACGACCCGACGTCGGGTGCGATCGCCCGCAAGATGTCGCTCGAGCGCCTCGAGCTCTCGGAGGAGACGCCGCCGCCAGCGCCGCGCCGCGTCTCGCTCGACGACACGGACGACGACGAGGACGCTGTCCGAGACACGTGGCACCCGGACTTTGACGTCGATGCGCTGGCGGAGGACGGGCCGTTCGTCTACGAGCTCTTCTCAGTGCTGATTCACTCGGGCAGCGCCATGGGCGGGCACTACTACGCGTACATCAAGTCGTTTGAGGACGACTCGTGGTACAACTTCAACGACTCGAACGTCTCCAAGATCACGGAAGCCGAGGTGCGCACGGCGTGGGGCCCGGCAGCGTCGCCGGTCGCATCGAGTGGCAACTACTACTACCGGTCGTCGCACTCGACGTGCGCCTACATGCTCATGTACCGCCAGGTCGACGCCCGGCGGAACGGCCATTTCCTGCCCGACGACGCGCTGCCGTCGTTTCTCCAAGAGCTCATCCAGGCCGACGAAGTGCGGCGGCTCGAGAAAGAGAAGGAGAGAGAGGAGCGTGCGCGCCTCATTCCGCTCAAGCTCTTCTACGACGGCAGCCACAAGACGCTGCATGTCTCCAAGCTGCTGCCGCTGAGCGACGTCGTGGCGCAGGCCCAGACGCTCTTCGGACTCGACCTTCCGAGCGACCGCGCCCGACTGCGCAACTACTCGGAGTACACGAGCTTGCCGCTCGAGACGTACGACGGCCGCGAGATGTGCTCGCTCGCCCAGCTGCAAATCTACGCGCACTGCGCCTTGTACCTCGAAGTCCGCGCGAGCGTCGACGAGGCGTGGGAGGCGTACGACCCGACCGCCCTCCAGCTGTTACTGCGGCGCTACGTGCCGTCGACAGCGACGACGCCCGAGCACTTTACCGAGCCGCCCGTAAGCGTACAGGTCCCGGAAGAAGCGACGCTCGGCGACTTGATTGCGCTGCTCAGCACCAAGTTTGGCATCGAGAGAGACCGTTTGCGCGTCCTGCAGATGAGCTCGTCGAGCTACTGGTCGATCGTGACGACGATCCTCAACCCGAATAACGACGAGGCGACGCTGCAGCAGACGCTGCGCATGGATCTCAAGCTGCGCCAGGGCATTGAGCTCTACGTGGAAGAGTGCGACAACCTCATGCACTGGTCGCTGGCCAAGGACCACTTTGAGGCCCGCGCGCACCTGATCACGCTCCAGGTCAAGACAAAGGAGAAGACGTTGCTGGCGGCCAAGGGCGTCGATGCCAAGGAAGGTGGCATGAGCTGGCCGTTCCAGGTCGACCGCCGCGAGAACCTCCAGGTGCTCAAGGACAAGCTCTGCGCCTTCTTCCACTTGGAGCACGACGCCTTCAAGCTCTGTCGCAACGCAGAGAAGGGCCAGGAGCTCAAGGCCATGGATACGTCGTTCAAGAACCTCACGCTCATGGACAACAGCAACGTGTACGTCGTGCTCGGGACGCCGCTGCGCGTTGGCGAGTTCTCGGTGCAAGTCCATCTGTTTACGCCCAAGGCGACCGACGAGGACGAAGCGAGCGTCGTGCTGCCGCCGTGGATGCACACGAACGAGCTCTCGCTCTGCACCAAGCTCATCGTCTCGAGCGCAACGCCGGTCGCCGACATGAAGGCGCGGATCTTGACGGCGCTGCAAGCCACGTACCCTGCCGCCAAGTACCTCCGACTGCGGGACCTTCTCTCAAGCCGCCGCCTCTCGCGCGTCCTGTCGGACGGCTTGACGCTCGGTGAAGCCTCGGCGCTCACGTTGTATGAGAACCGCGAGTTTGCGGTGCAGATTCTGGATGCGGTCGACACGCTGCCGTCGACGCACACGCTCTTCTCGGTCGTGCTCTTTGACCGGTCGACGCTCCGGTTTGGGCGCCGCGTCGAGATTTCATTTTCGCCCGAGACGCCCGGCATCCACTGGATGGACGCACTGCTCATGGAGCTCGAGAAAGTGTTTGGGATCCCTGGCGATGCCATCCAAATCGCCAAGCCGCTGCAAACGTCCGACGTTGACGTCAACGACATTCAAGAGACCCCGTGGATCCGCCGCGACGAAGGCCTCCGCTTTCACAACGTGCCGTCGCTCGCCACGTACGGCGACCGGCTCGTGGTGGCGGACGCGCGCGTGCCGCTCAAAGTGCTTTCGAAAGAAGAGTCGATCGCCCTCCAAGTGCTCATCGACCAAGCGACCGACAATGAGATGCTGGGCATTGGTGGCACGCCGTCGGCGGCGGCCATGCACGTCTACGGCCCGTCGCTGCCGTCGTCCGGGTCGAGCTACTACCGCGGCGGGTACGTCAAGCCCAAGGAGACGGCGCTCTTCATTCGCACCAACAAGGCGCCGAGCGGCAAGAGCAGCTCCGACTCGAGCGTGCCCGTCTCGCCCATCACGGGCAACGACGACGACGAGACGCCCGAAGACAAGGAGTTTGCGCGGAGTGGAGGCGCCGACGTGTTTACCGACCTGCATTAAGCTGCGTTGAATGCATCTCGTTTGGTTTTTCGCGCATGGGACAAAAGTCGCTTGATTGGTCGAGTGCTCTTACGACTCGAGGGTTAGGGTCCGCTCGTTCGAGACATAGAGCTATGCTATTCCATTATGATGTACTGTCTAGTAGTCGCTAGCGTCGCCATGCAATCGCGCAATGTGGGTGGTCAAGCCGTAGCAACAGTCGCAGACGTAGCGCGTTTGTCGTGTCTTGGTCGGTGGTACTAAGCGGTATTGCCAGCCGTGCGCAAGGACTTCGTCGATGTCCTTGTCCTGGATGGCTGCCCAAAAGAGGTCGAGGCGATCGGAATCGATGTCGACGTTGGCAGCGGCCAAGACGCGCTCCATGGCCGCGCGCGTCACGTCGCTTGTCTGCAGCGAGAGAAGGAGGTACGTGGCCACGTAGCGCATCTCGTATTGATCAATGCACTTGGGTTTGCAGCTCACCTCGCGCCCTGGCGGAATGCATGTAGGACGTCAAATAGTGATGGTCTGGGACATCATGGCCTTGTTGCCTGTGCTCCGGGGCACAAGGGGACCTCGCAACAGCAATTGTCGTGCCGGGCGGTTGTCACCTGGGACATACTAGTGCAGGAGCTTCGGAGCTGGCTTTGCGCTCTCTTATTTGCTTGCAGAGACGAGTAATCGCCTTGATGATTCTCGCTCATGTCTTGTCGTTGGGTGCTGGCCCAGGACAAGTTGCTGCGTATTCCACGCGTCGGGACACGAGGCCACGCCGTTGGTTGAGCCAGCGACTATATATTTGTGCATAAAGCTAGTTATTCTCGAGAAAGTCGCGGACGCGGGCGTTGGCAGCGGCCCAGAGCTGTCGCTCGAGCGCAAGCGTTCGACGGGCGGCGTCAAGGGTGATGTACTGGCGACCGTGCACGGCAACGCAGAGAACGGTGAGCAGGACGACGAAGAAATGCCTCTTGAATAGGATTGGGACAAAGGCGACGAGCCCGATCGACGACACGTGCTTGGTCATCTCGTTGAAGATGGCGTTCTCACGCTTCTGCACGCGCGTGTGTTGACGCAAGTAGTAGCTGTACTCACCTTCGTCCGTCATGTCCTTGGGCTCTGTCGGCCGCATGATCGGAGCCGGCGCGTCGAGACGCCACGGCAGACAGCAGTTGGGCACACACGCGATGAGCGACACCGCCACCGGACAGCACATGCAGAGTACCGATGCGTACAGGAGGATGCCTGGGAGGATGCTGCTCTCGGACATGCTAATAGCGAAATGCATCTCAAGTTGCGACCCGATCAGCGTCCCACTCTAAGGAAAGGGTTGGGGTTTCTTGGTATTTGGCGGTTGGCAGCTGCCGGTGCTAGTAGGTGGTCGACGCCGTGGGCGAGATCTACTCGATGCAAAAGGAGCTAAGGCGTCCCTTCAAGCCGTACTGCTGTTGAGACGCGTGGGCTAGCGCGATGTACGTCGTGGCCAAAGAACCGAAAACAACCCAACGGCAATGGGTGAATTCGTCAACAACCAACTCAACTTTTGATGGGTGGCGTCTCTCACAAGACATTATTAGTTGGGAAAAGGAAAGCTCGAGACGATGGACGAAGCTCTCACAGCAATGGTCACCGAGCCGTTTAGCCGCGGGCTCTGCGTCCTCATCATTCTCGTTCAGTACCTCGCGATCTGGGTCGACCGCACCGTGCTCTACCCGTCGCCACGCATCGACCTCTCGTTCGTGACCGACGACGACTACGCGTCATCCGACAAGATTGGCCGCATCGCCAACCGCCAAGAGCTGCTGATCTTATTCCGCAAGAGCAATACCTTTCTGCGCGTGCTGCTCGAGAGCCTCGGCCCGCTCGTGGGCTTTGTTGCCCTCGCTCTCGGCAGTACGTTGGTGTCGAGCGTCGTCCAGTGGCTCGTCATCCTCCCGAGCTTTGCGCTGGTCGCGTACGGGTATCTCTGGCTCGCGATCGACAAGTTCAAGGCCGACGACCTGGTCGCGCAGTGGGAAGCGTGGGAAGCCGCCAGCATCGCCGCGCTCGAGGTCCGCGCCAAGCTCGCAGTCTAAGTGACGCTCAACAAGCTGTGTTTTGCTCTCTACTTGCAGAGTTCGTGCTGCGGGTTCAAACCTTACTACTTCCACGACTATAAAGAACGACGCAGTTTCTCGACTGTCGAGAGAAGCTGCCGAGTGAGCTCGGTCGCCATGATGAGCAACTTCCTGCCAACCGCCGGCCACGCTCTGGACCGAGCGCCAACGAGCGATGCTCGCCGTCAATAGCTCGGCCACCGGTCCAGCGAGCACGTTATGCGAAGCTGACAAACCGTGGGTCTGGGCATGCCCTCTTCATGGGCTGCAGACCGCGGTTGAAAGAGCACATGTCGCTGCCGGGATCCTCGTTCACCGAGTACGTAGGGTCAAGACCTTGCGTACCATTGGAACTCCTACGTCTTACGACGCCAGGTTGCCACGCGTCAGGAGTCGAGGAGGCGTGTATACGAAGTGCGACGATGGATTCACACAGCGTTGTTAAGTGAGGATCTAGTTCAACGCCTGTTCCGCAGCCTTGGCCTTGGCCTTGCACTCAAGGTCAAAGAAGTTGCAGTCCGAGTACTTCCACGGGTACGGCTTGGTGCGGAGCTTGTTGTGCGCGTAGACGATGGGCTCGCCCTCGTGGTGGTGCTCGTGGCCGCCGGCGTGGCTGATGGCCGTGACGACCGTCAAGCCGGCCATGCCCGCGATCATGGCCTTGGAGACGTTCGTCCACAAGGTCATCTGCTGGAGGGCTTCGGCCTCCGTCGCGTGCGACGACATCTGGCGGGCGCCGGCGCGGGCAGCGGTGCGCATGGACTTGGTCAAGGTAGCCGACTACGCACATATACCGACGTCAACCTTCGCCGTGCGATCCATCGTCCGGGTCGACGTACCATATTGAGACTTGGTGAGGGATTCCGAACTGACTGGCTGGCAACCACAACCTGTATTTTTCGCTGTTTGTTTCGTTGCTTACGGTTCTGTTTTATACAATCTACACTTGCGTTTTATATGTAATTGCTTGGGTGTTTTAAACCGGCGACAGAAAAACGACATCGTCAACGGATGCCGCTTCGTATCCGGCGTTTCCGGATAAAACGCGAGGGTTTTTTGTGTCGATAGCAAGGCGGGACATATTATGCAACGGCGGCGGAACAGCCCCGAAGCGACGCCGTCCCGGTCTTCGTGGTGCTGCCATGGCGGAGCGTACGCTGAAATACCACGCTAGAGGACATGGGCGGTGGGCTAGGCGATGCGCCGTGGAGCTGTACTCTAGCCCGGACGGCGAGGCCCGGGCAGCACTTGACGGCAGAGGCCAGCGCGCAAGATTCGAGAGTGGTTGCATGGACAGGCAAGTGCAGTGTGTACATAGTGTATAAGAGTGTGATTAGAAAAAGTCGGCTGCCCGCATGCGCTTCGAGTTGAGCGTCGTGTTGCGCTTGACGCTCGTCATGTCGTGCTTGGCCTTGATCTCCTTGACCTTGAGCACGCCCTTGCCCGTCGCCGGTTTGACCACTTCTACTCGCGACGACTCAGCTTTTTGTTGGTTGTTGGTTGTTGAGTTTGGTTGGACCCACCTTTCGTCGCCGACTTCTTCATACGCTTCATCGAGAGCTCGTACGGCAGCGCCTTGCTCTTACCAAATGTCACGCGCTTCGTGTCCTCCGAGTCCTCGGCCGCCTCCTCGACAACCGGCGCCGCCTTGCGCTTCAGGCTCTTCGCCTCCTTCTTGGTCGCTTTCGACGAGCGCTCGCAGTGGCCGCACATCGTCTTGCCCGTCGGCACGAGACCCTTGCCAAAGCCGCCGCACGACGCACAGCGCGGGTACGGCGTGGTCTTTTCCTTCTTCTTCGAGGCCGGCTCGTCCTTCTTGGCCTTCTTGGCCGGCTTTTCTTCGACCACCGGCGCCTTCTTCGCCGCCTTCTTGGGCTCGACGACCACCGGCTCCTCCTTGGCCGCCTTCTTCGCCTTCTTCGTTTCCGCTTCGACGGCCTTGACCTTCTTGGTCTCGACAACTTCGTCCTTGGTCTTCTTGGTCTTCTCGACCTTCTCGACCTCCTTGGTCACCTTCTTGGGCTCCTCCTTGGCGGCCTTCTTGGTCGCCTTGGTTTCCTCGACAACAACCTTCTTCGGGGACTCCTTCTCGGCCTTCTTGTCCATGACAACCTTCTTGGGCTCTTCCTTGGCCGCCTTCTTGGCGGCGACCTTTTTGGCCTCCGCCACCTTCTTGGCAGGCGCCGTGTTCTTGGCAGCCTTCTTGGCCATGTCCTGACGCGCCTTGGCGATCGCATCCGGCTTGGACGAGTCGACCTTGGTCTTGGCGTACATGGTGGCATAAATAGTGTAGAGCAAGTTGCGGTTGCGGTCGAGCGTCTCCCTAGTCATCCGTCAGATCGATCTCTCTTCGCAGAAGCTCAAGCTCGTACTCGGCCGCCGCAATCTCAAAGATGCGGTGCTGCACCTCGGCGAGCGCCGCGGCTGCAAACTGCTTGGGCGCTTCGGCCTCGTCGTCGGTCGTCTCGGCGTCGGTTGGCGCCGGCTTGGTGTGCTGCGTGTCGAGGAAGAAATACTCGGACACGAGCGGGGTGAGGATGAGGTCGTGCACGCGCTTGGCGACGGCCTTGTCGGCGTCCGTGCTCATCAACGTGAAGAAGGGCGCGAGGAGCTGCACAAAGGCGTCGGCGGGAATCGAGTCGCCGACGGCCTTGAAGAGCTCCGAGAGGTAGACATCCGAGACGTGGAGGCGGAGACCGTTGGGCAGCTGCGAGAGAATCGCGCTCTCGAGGTGCGACGCAAAGGCTTCGTTGAGCGCAAACTCGGTGGCCTCGAGGAACTTGAAGCTCTGGAAGAGCATCATGCGCACGAGCGTGTAGAACTTGTCGAGGCGGAGACCGTCAATGCCATGCCACTCGCGCTGGATCGTCTTGAAGAACGAGTGCACGAAGCGCAGCTTGAGCGCGTCCGATGGGAACGCGTGCACGAGCTTGGAGAGGTTGTCGGCGAGCTCTTGCTGGATCTTCATCTTGTCGCTCATCCACATGCCTAGGTGCGATGCTTGAGATGGCAAAGGTACGAGGCGGCGTACAGTAGAAGAGCGCCTTCCAGATCTTATCGAGGTCGAGGTCGGACCACTCCTTCTTGGAGACGAGGAAGAGCGTGAGGCTCTTGACAGCCTTGTCGCGCACGTTCTTCTCTAGAGCGCGCATGAGCCTTCGGCTGCAGCCACGAGCCTACCGGTGTGGGCGAGCTTCTGGCCAAACTTGGAGGCCGCCGAGATGTCCATCTTGGCGCAGGTAGAATGAGAATGAGCTGCTTCGCAACCAATGCTCTGCAGAGCAAATAATTACCACCAATCAACACGCGCGATTTCTCTCGACCAATGAAAACGCGCAACAACATAGAGTTTCGGCCAATCACCGACGCGGATTCGCCCTGGCGTGGCGCGATCTTGACGTTGGTCGTCGAGATGCACGACGACGGCAAGACTAGCCACTGCACTCATCACCACGATAGAGCAACGCGACGTGCGAGGTCAACGAGATGCGGACAAGACAACGCAACGGCGTCAGATCTCATTGGAATACCTTTATCACCGAGTCGGCGCCGCCCGTCGCTACGAAGCCGCGCGTCGGGTGGTAGGCCACGTCCTGGACGGCCTCGCCGTACTTGGGGCGGTGCGCCGACTGCTCGTGGACGCACGTGCGCTCGGCGACGCTCCAGAAGCGCAGCGATCCGTCGTGGCCGCCGGACGCAAGGTACAAGCCCGACGCGTCCATCGAGAGCGACGACACGGCGTCCTGGTGCGCGACCACGGACGCGACGCACTTGCCTACACCACGGTACGTTCACCTTATGCGATGGGCAACGAGCGTACCGGCGCGCAGGTCGTAGAAGCGCAAGCGGCGGTCTTGGTGCGCGGCCACGACGATGGGCATCGTCGGGTGGGCGACCACCTACGTTCAGCTGCGGCCAAGAAAACATTCGGATGCTGTCATACCTGGTTGACTTGAGCTTCCCGGAAGGCCGTGATGTGCACGTCCGAGTCGGCGGGGCACATGAGCTGCACCAACCGCTCCGACCCAATGTCATATTGACCAATCTAGATCCGACTCAAGTCGCTGTCGCCGAGGACGACGCGAGCGTACCGTGCAGGACGTGTAGCCAGCAATGAGCGTCGCTGCGTTCGTCGGGACCGCCGCGACACAGGTCGGCACGAGGAGCCCGTCGCCGCTGTGGACGTGGACGCCCGCGGGGTGCTGCCGGACTGACGCACCGAGCGTGCACTTGAGCGTCGGCTCTACGTTCATTGTGCGCTTGCATGTCGACGGGTACACATGCGGACGCACCGGACGAGATGCCCCAGACTCGCACGCAGGCGTCGGCGCTGGCGCTGAAGAGCAGGTTCGTGTACGGGTGCGCGCTTAGGCTCCAGATCGCGTCGCGGTGCGCCTCCAGTCGGTGCACCATGTAGCCATAGTACTCTACGCTGTGCGTGAGCCAAAGTATCAAGGTGTCAAGAGAGTACCTTCGTACGAGTAGGGCTCGGACTTGCTGTCGCGGTCCATGCCGGCTTCGGGATACGCAAGCAGCGTGATCGTACCGTCCTTCCCGCCCGACGCGATGAGGCCGTTGCGGTAGCCGAGGCCGATCGAGTGCTCGGGCTTGATCGACGCGACCGAGAGCACGCTGTCGGTGTGCACGCGGAAGGTCGCCATGGCCTCGATCTCCGAGTGCCTAGTAGGATATGAGCAAGACCATCACGGAAGGAAAGCGTACTTGGAGGCGAGGTTCCAGATCTTGACGGTCGCGTCCTCGCTGGCCGAGACGAGCAGCGGGTCCGTCGGGTGGAACGTGATCGATCGAATGCCATCGAGATGGCCCGAGAGCTTCTGCTTCATCTTGCAGGCGCGGAAGTTGCCCGAGACTTTCGAGCTCGGTAGCACTTCGACAGGCGGCGGGCCTTTGGTCATCGGCGGATTCGACGGCGACGATGGCACGGACCGGTTCTCGCCGGTGCGCGAATTGACGCGGGCGCGAGAGATGAGCGTCTCGCCCTCCTTCCCGCGCGTGACCGACACCTCGGGCGACGCGGGCGGGCCGCGCGAGATCTCCATGCCCGGGCTGCCACGCGAGATCTCCGAGTCGCTCTTCACGGGCGGGCTCGCGCCGTAGAAGCTACCGCTGTTGGAGCCGTTGCTGCTATCTTTTCGGAAGACCGTGCGGCTCTTCGGACTTCCCGGCGCCTTCTCCGCCTTGGAAAAGGCCGTCATGTAGCGGCCACGCTCTTGCTGCAAGGCGAACTCGAGCATCTTGACCTGGAGCAGAAGCTCCTTCGTGTGGTCGTCTTGGATCTTCTTCTGTGCTTGGAGCTCCTGCAGCTGCGCCTGGAAGACCTTGCGCTCTTCGACCCACTGTACGCGCGCCAAGTCCGCGCTCTCAAACTGCTTGGCGATGAACCGCAGCGCTTCCTCGACGCTGTCCATGCTTCCGGTCCGACCGCGGGCGCCGCTGACTGACGCTCAAAATGACCCGATCCGAAAAGATTTCATTCCGCCTCCAGTATGGCATACAAACCACAAGGTTACGAATACCTTTCAAAATTGATATATGTAGGGCGTCGCATTCCGACTATTTGCACGCCACTTATTCCATATTACCTGCGCTGTGGGCGACGCAACGACCCCGATCGCGCTCCATCAACGCCCATATACTCTAACGTCAAAGAGTGCGAGGTGCATCTAGCCAATATTGCAAGGGATGCTCTCAAGTCTTTATCGTCACAAAGAAGGATGAGCCTATAGTTGGGTGTTTTTAGCGCAGCGTCGCGCCAAAGTGTATTTTAAAGCGACGACATACATGGGCAAGGCTATTTAAATGCATATACGTGGCACGACTCCCTGCGAGAGATGATACGAGAGACAGAAAGCCACGCGCCGAGGGCAAGCTCACCGGACGTCGCCGACGTGACCAACGACGGCGCAGTCGCCGATATGGAGGAGCGAGCGCAGAGGATACTACGTAGGCGAGGCCAGGAGATGGTAGGAGTACCAGCAGCTGGTTGCTCGCCTGCCTGCTGGCGACGCTCCAGACGCTTCGAACGCCCCCTCGCCCTCGGGACACCGTCGCTGGCTCACAGCAGCGACCTTGATGGACTGCGGACGTCGCTGTCCGCCGGCCATGCCGACCCGAATCGCGCGCCGAGCTCTGGTGGTGCCAGCGCAGCAGCATCAACCTTGATCTCGTGAATGCCGAAATTAAAATGCCGAATTTAACAATGACGTCGTCGGCTCGGGTCGTCCGTGCCCTCAACGGAGAATGGAAGGAGACGTACGGGCGGGCGACGAGCCACGCAGCAGCGCCAAAGTCCATGTTGGAGACATGGTCGGAGATCGGAGACTGCCGTCATAGGCGCGTGCAAGCTCTGCGACACAACCGGCCAGAAAACTCACACTAATTTTGGTGTGCCGAATTTTGGCGGCGTGCCGCGAATAATCGCGTCGTCCAGGCGACTGGCAGCATGTTCGAGCGGCAGGTCACGGGCCTCCTCACGCAGCTGCTGGGCAACTACGTGGAGCCACGAAGCTTTCGCCATGACAAAGTCAACGTTGGTGTCTGGAGCGGCTACGTCGTGTTGCAGGACCTCGAGCTGCAGCCCAAAACGTACGCCGACGTGGCCGTCGTTCGCGGCGTCCTCGGCAGCGTCACGATCAAGATTCCGTGGAACCGCCTTGTCTCGGACTCGGTGCTTGTGACCATCGACGACGTCTACATCTTGCTGCGCCACGTCGAGCGCTCCGATCTCGCACCGCCGTCACCGGACGTTGAAGCGCACGTCAAACAGGCGCTCATCGACGAGCTCTACCGCGCCAAGCTCGAAACCGCAGTCTCGTCCGATGGCTTTGCGGCCCGCTTGCGCAACAAGATCCTCGACAACCTCGAGTTCCATGTCCGGCGCATCCACGTCCGGCTCGAAGACACTACCAGCGGCGACCACCCGTTCGCGGTCGGCCTCACGATGGAGTCGCTGCACGTGCAGTCGACGGACGCGCAGTGGCAGCCAACGTACGTCGCATCGAGTGAGCCTTTCATCTACAAGAGCGTCGAGCTCAACCACCTCAGCGCGTACCTCAACCCGGACGGCCCGCTTGTCGACGACGCGACCACGTGCTCGCTCGAGACCTTCACCGCGGCCTTTGGTGCGTCCATTCCCAAGCGCATGGACGACAGCGTCTCGTCTTCCGCGCATCATTTCATCTTGAAGCCTGTCGACGCCTCCGCGCACCTCAAGGTGAAGCGCGATGTGACCGACCCGACGACGCCGAGCATGGACATCCACGTGCTGATCGACCACGTGGCGTTGCAGCTCGAAGAGTCGCAGTACTGCGACCTGCTCTTCCTCCTCTCGGCGCTCAAGGTGCCGCAGCAAGCGCGCAAGTACCAAGCGCACCTCGCGTTGCGCCCGACGGCCAAGCACAACCCGCGCGGCTGGTGGCAATATGCGATCGCGTGCGTCCGAAGCGACGTCCGCGCCAAGCGCGAGCGCTGGAGCTGGCTCTACGTCGCCGACCGACGCGCTGACCGCATCGCGTACATGGCCCATTGGCGCCAGCTCCAGTCGCTGGAGCCGGCCGAGGAGGAGCTCAAGATCACCGACGACCGGCGCGAGCTCAATGCTGCGCTCCATGCGATCGAAGCCCGACGGTCGGTCGAAGACATCTTGCTGTTTCGGTTCATGGCCGACCAGGAGCTCAAGAAGATCGAGGCGCCGCCATTAGCACCCACGACAGCGTCCAGCTACAGCCTTGGAAGTTTGTACCGGCAGCTCGGCTGGTCGGACGCGCCCAAACCGAGCGCAGACCGCGCCGAGCAGCTCGAACTGTACCGGATCCTGGGCTACGACCCGGACGCGGCCGAGAAGGACAAGGTGTCGACCGAGTTCACCGTGTTCTCGATCGAGCTCGGCCACGGGGCTGTCACGCTGCTGAACGACCCTGAGACAAGAGCGTGCCGGCAGAGCGCGTCGTACGGCAGCGTGTATGCGCCAACGCCGTTCTTCGGCATCTTCTTCGCGCAGCTGCAGATGGACGTGGTCGCGCACAACGGCACGAACGTCGACATCTCGCTGCAGTCGGTCGAGCTCTACGACGAGGCGTCGCCCGAGCTCTCTCAGTTGCTCAAGCGACGGCTGCCCATGTCGTCGCTCAACGTCGAGATCACGGTCAAGACGCCGGTGTTTCGCATGGGCTACCACGCCCAAGACGAACTCCAGACGCTCAAGCTCGTGCTCGAGCCGCTCGAGATCATTTACTCGCCGACCGCGCTCTGCTGGGCGCACTGGGCAACGTTTTTGCAAGCGCCCGAGGCGCTCGGGCTCTGGGCCGAACTTGAAGTGCACGCGCTCAACGAACTTGTGAACTTCAAAGCGCGCACCGACGCCAAGCTCGCGTACGCGATGGCCCACCGCGTGCCCATGATGCTCGACGTCCGCGTGCAGGCGCCCGTGATTGTCGTGCCGGCGTCCGACGCCGATCCCCAGTGCGCGCGCCTCGTGCTCGATCTCGGCCACGTGCACTTCCGCACCGAGCGCCTGAGTACGCTCGAAGATGGACCCAAGGCGTCGCCGTCGCTAATCGCGAGCAACGCGTTCGCCAAGCAGCTGCTCGACGAGGCCGAGTCGGGGGAAGGCGCGACTCGCTGGAAGGAAGAGTTTTACGACAAGTTTGCGCTCACGATGAGCAATCTGCACTTGATGGTGCTGCCGCCGACGGTCGCGTACTCGCCCGAGATGCTCTTGGCGTCGACAACGACCCCGTACAGCATCGTCGATCCGTTTCATATCAACGTGACGCTGCGCAAGTCGGTGCTGCCGCTGGATGCGACCTTGTATCGCCTTTATGTGCACGCAGACTTGCCCGCGCTCTCGATCCACCTCTCGATTCCGTCGTACACGCTCTTGACCAAGGTCCTCCACCGCTTCCAACGGTCCAACGCGGGGCCGGCGATGACGACCGACGTCCCAGCGCCGCCGCCGTCGGTCCTCGCAGCGCGTCTCCACGAGGCAAGCGCTCTCCGGGACGAGACTGAGAGCGTCCAGAGTGACGACACGTGGTTCAGCGTCGAGTACGGGAGCGAGAAGGAAGCGGTGGCACCCCCGGTGTCATCGCACCGGCCGACGCCGCGCCCCGCCAAGCCGTCGCTGCTCCTCGACCGTCGCATTTGCGTCTGCACGTTTACCGTGCCGTTGGTGCACATCAACTTTGTCAAGGGCGACGACGACGTTGACGACGACGAGTTTGGCCACGACAGCGCCGGGCAGGGACGGCTGACGTTCGTCCTCGAAGGCATCAAGCTCCGATTGGCCAAGCGGACGCTCTCCACGGCCCTGCGGCTCAAGCTCGCGAGCGTGAGCGTCGAAGACCACACGGAGAACCTCCCGACGCAGTTCCTCGCGTTCTCATGTGCGACGCCGCTCAACGTGCCGTTCACGGCGTCGGCGCCCCGGGCCGCCAAGCCCAAGCACTTTCTTCGCAAGCGCAGCGCGGCGCATTTGGCGCTTCAGGACCAGCACCCGCTGCGGGACCTCCTCGACGTCTCGGTGGCCATCGAAGAGAACGCGCCGATGCACGTCGACGTCGTCTTTGGCCACTTCCACGTGCATTTCGACCAGTCGCGGCTCGCGTCGATCGTGCTGCACATCCTGCCGCTTCTCCAGTCGCCTTCGGTCGCCGACGACGCGGCCGACACGATGTTGTACCCGCCGCCGTTGAGTCTCCTCGGCACGTACGAGCCGCTGACCGAGTCGGTGCGGCAGGACCTCGAACGGGCGCGCGTGCACTTGGCCGTCGACGCGCCGTCGTCGCCACCGAGTCCGATGCGGTTGACGTTGCAGCTGCACTCGGTGTCGGTGTGCTTTAGCGATCCGCTCGAACACCTCCTCTCGGTCGCCGTCTTGGACGTGACGGTCGAGTACGTCGTGCCCAGTGACGGCGCCCCGCGCCTCGACGGGCGCATGGGCAACCTCAAGGTCCTCGACTTGCTCTCGCACGACCTCAAGCACGTCAAGAAGAAGGACAAGCGGTACGTCTACCAAGAAGTACTCGGAAAGGTCCCGCTGGCCGACGAGAGCGACGCGCCGCTGTTTCATTGGCAGCTCCAGCAAGGATCGCTCGCCCTCAACGTGGCCAAGCTCCGGGCGGTCGTCTCGACGCGCTTCGTGCTCAAGGCGCTGCACTACGTCGGCGACGGGCCGCTCATGGACATCTTCTCGACGAGTTCGCCGGCGCCGGCACCGGTCACGAAGCGGCGGCAGCGCGACGTCTTCTTCTCGCCCGCGCTCACGTACCGCGACATGGCGCCAAAGGACGAACCAGCAAGCGCGCAGTGGAAACTGCACCTGACGATGGCGCGGCCGTACATTGTGTTGCCCATGGTCGAAGCGAGTGACGACGAGGCGTCACCGCCGATGCTGCACTTGGCCCACGGCCTCGTCTTGGACCTTGGCGACATTGATCTCGAGGTGGCGCGCGAAGGCAAGGTGACGACGCTGGCGTACGTGGCCAAAGACATGCACCTGCGCGTCCTCCACGACGATTTCGCGCTGCTGCGGCCGCTCAACGTGCACATCGACGTCGCCGCCTCGTCGCAGCTCAACCTCTCGGTGCGCGTCTCGTCGCTGCACGCGCAGCTCTCGGAGATGCACGCCGCGCTCGTCGCCGAGTGGTACTATCAGGTGTGTTTTCCCATCTTGCGCTACCTCTCGCCGACGAACCCGTCGCCGGCGCCGACACCGACGATCGCACTGGACGTGGCGTGCGACGTCATCGGCGTCTCGCTCTACAGCGGCGCGAGCGACGACCATGTGATCTACGACCTGTACCCGCGGGTCGCGCTCGAAGTCGAGTGGGTTGCCACCTTGCTGCTGGGGCGCGTCGACGCGCAGCTCAACACGGCGCCGAATTCCACGCGGCTGTACGTGTCGCTCCAAGATGTGACACTCCAAGAGGCGACGATCCACCCGAGTTTGCGGCTCGAGTTCACGGGCTCGTCGGCCACGAAAGACGTCAAGGTGCAGTCCAAAGCGTGGTTCATCACAGTGGACCCGGCGCTGCTCGTGCGCGTCGGCGACGTGTGCCTGGACGTCGTCGCCAACGTGCAAGCGACGCTCGGGCGCCACTACCACGCCCAAGCGATGCCGCTCGAATCGAGTCTGCTGGACCTCGTCTCGTCTTCGGACATGACGTCCGAGTACCAGTGGACCGAGCGCGGCGGCCGGAGTCGCGCCGATAGCTTTGCGTCGTCGATGCTCTTTGACGCGACCGCAACAACGACGGCGCTGCCGACGCCGGTGGTGGTGCTGCCGCCGCCGACGTGGAACGTTCAGGTCGCGATCGAGCTCGTTCAAGTGCGCTTGGGGCAACTCGCGGTGCAGAGTCAGCTGCAGGCGTCCCGCAACGACGAGCAGCTGCAGTGCCGCCTCGCGCGCCTCACGTGGCTTGTCGCGCAGAGCACGCTCGTCGAGCCGTTGGACGCGACCTTTGGCTTGTGTGACGCGCCGCTCGTCGACGCCCGCTCGAACGCACCAGACGCGATTCCGACTGCCACGTTGCAGTTGACGCCGGTCGTCTTCCGCCTCCACGTCAAGGACCTCGACGCGTTCCAAGACTCGCTCCAGATGGCGTCGTCGCTCGCCACGCAGCTCGGGCAGCTGAAACCGGCGCCAACCGAGCCGCCGATGGACGACGCGCCGACGACGGCTCCGACCGTTGGCCATGGCGTATGGGCGCAGGCGCGTCTCGAGCTGTCGAGCATGGAGTTTCACTTGACCGAGACGGCGCCGCTGCTCTCGAACCACTTGGTCCCGGGGCCGTTCACGCTGTTGCGGACGCCAGACGACACGCAAGTGCAAATGTCGGTCGAGCTGGAGATGTGGTACTACAACCGCCGGCTCTTGGCGCGCGAGCCGCTCTTGGAACGGTTTGGCTTGTCGATCGCAGTGGCGCAGCTGCCGCAGGCGCCGCTGTCGCTGCACATCGAGAGCACGCAGGATTTCAAGCTCAATGTCACGTCGGCGCTGCTGGACGCCGTGTCCTTCTGGAGCCAAATGGCGCAGCCGTCGGCATTGGACATGTCGTCGTGCTACCTGCGCAACCAGACGGGACTGCCACTACGGTACTCCATTCGACTTAAGACGAAGCTCATTTCTGGGGTAGGGTGTTTGGCACACAGATTGTCCCGGCGGGCGCCGACGTACCACTGCGGTCGGCGAATGGCGGCACCGTCGCGCAGCTGGCGACGGTGCCGGTCGGTCTCGACGGCTACGTGGCAGTCGCGATTCCGCTGGGCGAGTGCAGCGTGCGCGCCTACCGCTTCCACCCGCTGTACCCGTCGTCGCCGGCGCTCGAGTGCAACGTCGAGATCTCGCTGCAGCAAGGCGTCAAGTGGGTCACACTCCAGAGCGGCTATGTGCTCACGAACACGACGGGCGCCGCGTTGAGCGTCCAGCTCGTGTTTCCGACCAACGGGTTGCTCTTGAGCTCGCCGTACACGACTCTATTGTCGCCGCACGAGTCGATGGCGGTGCCGCTCCCGCTCGTCGGTGGCCGCACGACGCAGATGTTTGTGCAGCCGCCGGGACAGCACCCGTGGACGCTCGTGAAGGAAGGACCTCTGCTGTGCGCCCCCGACTTTGTGGTGTACGTCGTTTCGCGCCCGTCGCCGTTCGGGCGCGTCTTGAGCTTCTGCCCGCCGCTTATGCTGCACAACGCACTGGCTGTCGATATGGAGGTCAAGCTCACGACGGGCGCGTCGTCCGTGATGGCAACGACCTTCCCAAGCCGCCAGATTCCGGTCGGCGACAAGCTGCTCTGGCACGGCTCGAGCCGCCAGGACCTCGCGCTGCAGGTGCGGATCCCGGGTTTTGGCTGGAGCGCGCCGGCGTTCCTTGGCGGCACGACGGTCGTGTCGATGGCCGACCTCAACCACCGCAGCTTGCTGTACGTCAACCTCGACATTAGCGACCGCCAGCAGCAGCTGCAAGTGACCGTCTACACGCCGTACTGGGTGCTCAACCAGACAGGTTTGGATCTCGAGTTCCAGCACGACACGGTCTCGCTCGGGGCCGAGCACCGAGCGGCGTTCATGGCCGGACAGCCCAAAGCGCACAAGGCCGAGACGATGCAGACGGCCGAGAGCGTCGTGATCGTGGCGCCGCCGCCGCCCGAGACGCAGCCGCTGCACCACCGCAAGGCCCACCACCAAATTCTGCCGTCGATCGCGCCCAACAAGGGGCTCTTGGATCTGATTCCAAAGACGGCGCTGCCGCCCAAGCGACTGCAGACGCTCCTGCACGCGTGCCACACCAACCAAAGCCAGCAGACGCTCAAGCTGCAGTGCCGCGTGCGCAAGAAGGACCCGTGGTCGTCGGTGCTAAACGCGCACCTCTCGAGCACCGCTGGTACGACGCTCTAGTCGATTGGCTACTAAGATTCGACTAGATACGGTGTGCACGATTCCGGACGGGGACGAGAAGCACTACTCGATCGGGTACGTCCTCAACCACGGCAGCGGCCTCTACGAGCGCACCCAAGTGCTCACACTTGTGCCCCGGTGTCTCCTGGTCAACGCGCTCGACGACCGAGCAATCGAGCTCCTCGTCGACGAAGTGACGGGCGCCAACGTCGCGCTCGAGCCGCAAGCCGAGCTGCCGTGGCACCATGCGTCGACACTGCGCATTCGGTTTGGGACCCCAGGGTGCGTCTGGAGCGGCGCCGTGCACCTCGAGGCGACGGGTGACCAGACGCTGCGGTTGCGCAACACGCAGACGCGGCTCACGTACCTCTTGCGCGTCTCGATCAAGCTCGAGGGGCCGCAGTACCGCGTCGTCTTCCGGTCGTCGACCAACGCGCCGCCGTATCGCATTGAGAACTTTTCGCTCGAAACCATCCGCGTGCACCAGTCGCGCGTCCGCATCTCCGAGATCTTGCTGCCGCACCAGACGATCGAGTACACGTGGGACGAGCCGCTCAAGCCGCACCTGCTCATCGTCGACTTGCTGCCGTCGCAGGCCGACGACAACTCGCGGCCGATCCGCATCGGCATCTTCTCGATGGAAGAGGTCCAGTCGGCGTTTCCCACCAAGGTGCTCGCGGTCCAAGTGCTCGCTGACGGCCCCACGCGCGTGCTGCGGCTCACGGACCCGCTGCCGACCGGCGTGCCTCGCCTCTTGCCCGAGGCGCCGCCGCCGGGGCTGCGGCAGTACGTGCCGGCGGCGCGACTCGACGTCCACGTCCACCTGCAAGCGGTTGGTGTGAGCTTTGTCGACGCGTCCCCGATGGAGCTGCTCTACATCAACTTGGAGCGCGTCGCAGTGACCGCGCTGGCGTCGGCCAAGCACGAGCAGCTGGCCGTGCAGGCGACCGTCGGCGCCATGCAGATGGACAACCAAATGCGGTCGACGCGGTACCCCGTGCTATTGCAGTGCGTCGACGATGACGCGCCGTCGCTCGATGTGACGCTCGTTCGCGAGACGACGTACACGAGCATCGAGTTTCTCCGGTACGTCGGCGTCCACGTGTCGCCGATGCGGTGGCGCATCGACGGCGCGCTCGTCAACGCTCTTCTCCACATGCTCATGACGACCGAGGACTCGGGCGAAAGCCATCGCTTGGCGACGCGCCTCTCGGACGATGACGCGCTTTTGCGGCACCGACGCGAGCTGGCCGACGCCACGCGCGGTCTCTTGGCCGCCGGTGTCGACAAGCGCCACGGGCTCGGCCAGAAGAAGCTCTACTTTGAAAAGTTTGAGATCTCGCCGATCCACGTCACTTTGAGCTTTGCGTCGAGTCCGACGACTTCGTCGTTTGCGCCGTCGATTGCGAGCGTCCGGCAGATCATCCAGGCGGCGAGCAAGACGCTCACCAAGGTCCACAACGCGCCGCTGGTGTGGCGCGCGCTCCGCTGGCAGCACATGTTTGTGCCCCGAGAGACGATGCTGCACCAGATGAGTCTCCACTACCAGCACGAAGCGCTGCGCCAAGCGTACGTCCTCCTTGGGTCCGTCGACGTGCTCGGCAATCCCGTCAAAGTCTGGCACAACCTCAAGGGCGGCCTCGCGTCGTTCGTTGCTGAGCCGCTTCGAGGCTACGAGACCTTTGGCCTTCAGGGCGCGGGCTGGGGCCTGCTTCGCGGCACGACGCTGCTTCTGCGCGCGCTCGTGTACGCCTTGCTCGACTTCAACACGCGCATTGCCTCCAGTTGCACGCTCGGGCTCACGGAAGCGTGCCAGCACATCGACACGTACTCGGGCTACCCGCTGGCCAAGACGCTGTACCAAGGGTTGGCGCAGAGCGTCTCGGGCGTCGTCGTGAGCCCGATCCACGCGTACCAGCAGCAAGGCTACCGCGGGTTCATTCCCGGTCTCATTGCGGGGCTCCTCGGCCTGGGTCTCAAGCCCTGCCGCGGCTTTGCACAGGCCTTCGTGTCGACGACCACGACGCTCCGGTAGACACCTTGTCTGAGATGTAATTGTCTTAGAAATGGGACTAGGGACGGGCTGCAGTACGATATCCAGGCGCACGTGAGCCGGAGCCGGCCGCCGCGCTACATCCACCCGCGCACGCACCTCCTGACCGCATTTTCGTACTTGCACGCGACGGGCGAAGACATCAAGTTCAACATTGAGCACGCGCGGCTGGACGACTACGTCGGGCACGTCATGCTCATCGAGAGCCGCAAGTGCATCCTCGTGACCAAGCACCGCGTCATGTGCCTTCAGGTGCACTGGAACGCATCGCTCTTGAACCCGTACAGCATCGTCTGGGAGGTGCTCAGCGACGGTAAGCGCCTCGGCGTCTCTACTTGCACTGACGACCTTGGCGTAGAACTCATCCTCGTGGCCTTTGGGACCCCCATCGTGCTCTACTACAAGCCCGACGACGCCTGGACCGGTGCAGGTATTGAGCCATTTTGAAGTGGAGAGTTGGAATTCAAGTGCAGTAGATTTGGTGGTGCGAACACAGAAGATCGACGTCCCGCTCAAGCAAGCGACGTTTGTGTACTCGATGCTGCAGCAAGTGACCCCGACGCTGCTCAACCAGGTCGACCACGAGGTCACCAAGCGCCAGTACCCGCTCTTTGTGAACCACGCCAAGTAGATGGTTGAGATCCATTTGGAATGACTAGAAGCGCTGCATTGCTCTTAGTTCTCTTGGCGTGCATACGCTAGCTTCGTCGGAGATAACACGTTCACCATTGCGCAAGCAGGCGGTGACGCCTTGAACCATACAAGGTGATGGCGCGCCGGGTGGCCATTGGATATTCGCTTAGATAAGCACCATAGGTTCGGATTCCCAGTGGGTTGCAGTATCTGTTGCCGTACGCTCTAGACATTTGCGCTGCATGGTGTCGCGGGTGCAGGGGCGTGGCACGGCACCAGCTGGCGCGCATACTAGCTAAGCGAATTGCAGCGAGCCGCGTGGCGATCGTCCCGCAACACCTCTTGCAGCTTGGCCAACAGCGGGTGGTCCGTCTTTTCGCGATAATGTCGAAGAAGACGACCTCTACAAGCCGCATTCTCCGCAGCGAGAGAATTTGCTGGCGTCTGGTCCTTGAAGCCCCACTTGGGTGACTCGCAGATGGCTCTCAAACGGGTGCGCGACGTTGGGCGGCGGTGCCACAATCACATTTGCCGCCGCAAAGCAAGATGGTGCTGGCGACGATCGCAACGTTCGAGGCCGAAGCGCCGTCCGAGACAACGAACCGCCGCCGCCGCCACCGCCGGCCGCTCTCGCTCGAACAGAAAGAGCTCTGCCGACAGCGGTCCCGTGTCTACTACATGGAGCACAAGGACCGGGTCCTCGCCAAGTCAAAAGCCCGCTACGAGTTCAACCGCGACGAAGAGCGCGCGCGCCGACGCGAGATCTACGCGCTGAAAAAAGGCGCCAAAAAGAAACAGCCATCGGCCACGGTCGTCGAGACGCCCGTGAAATCCTCGATCCAGTTCCTCCTCAACTGACTGCGTCGTCCATCTATGTCTGTTCAAGTAGTAAGAAGAATGAAGAAGCTAGTGAGTCGAATGATTATGTTAGTTCCGGTAGAGTTTTATCGAGTTTCAGTGGTATGCACTTCGAGGGAGTCGACTGTACATCCAAGACACCAGGCCGACCACAGTGCAAAGGTACTAGTACGTTGGAAGCGACATCGACGAGTCCGACGTCCCTACCAGCAGCGTCTCTGCGGACGTCGGTGCTGGCACTTGCTGACGCACGCAACACACCAACGAACGTCGAAAGCTGCGCAGATACTTGCTGTTGGCGATGCGATGTTGAAGTGCGTCGGTGACGACGATGATGATGGGTTGGCGCGCATCGTGCTACGGTTGGCAGCAGAAAACGAAGCCCGCGCTCTCGTGAGTAATCGCGCCGATACTAATCGCAACGTGAGAAGGTAAAAGGACCGACGGACTCGACGCCAAGCACGTAGAAGACACTACGCACCCTCATCTTGGAGCTCTTATTTGGCATCTTCTCGTATCGCAGCGCACGGCAGGCCGTTGAACGCACGTTGAAGGCGACGCAACGTTGACGGCGCCACAAGGCGACAACCGGCATCGGAATGGAGTTTCCTTATACTAGTACCATCCACCGTCAAGACGGCGCGTGCGGACCCAATGTCGCGCATCAACGGCGCGCCAGGCCGCAAATAGTTCGCGCCGAGAGCATGGGCATGCTGAAACCGCACTCGGTCGGCGTAGGGTTGCTCGATACGAACCGTTGGATGCGTACGCTGCGGTGGCCGCAGACTATATAAGGGAATTCCAACGATCTGATACCATGGCTGTCAAATGACTTCAAGAACTGGCACCAGCTGCGTCTCCTTTTGCGTTTCGGACCAGCCAACATCACTTGACGATTACATGCCGAGCGACGTCGCCCGCCGCCGCCGAAGCCCGCTCACGCCCGAGCAGCAAGAGCAGAGCCGGCAACGCTCGCGGCTCTACTACCTCAAGCACAAGGAAAAGGTCATTGCCAAGGCCAAAGCGCGCTACGACGACAACCGCGACGACGAGCGCGCGCGCCGGCGCGAGGTCTACGCGATCAAGAAGGCACGCCAGTCGAGCCCCGAGTCGTGTGCGGCCGAGGTCATTCGAGAGCCAAGTAATGCGCTCTCGATCCAATTTCTCCTCAACTAGCGTCGTCACCAATCTTCTCCGTTGCGTACTGTGGTGTCGGGCGCTTTTTGATACCAGTATTAATCATGTAAATGTTACTTGTCCATCCAATACGGTGTACACGCCGGCAGCTCTCACGCCGGCCAGCTCTGCCACACCATTCGAGCGAGCCGCAATAAGAAGCGCTTCTTAATGGCCCTTGCTCGTTTAAGTACAAGCCCGAACGCAATCCTTGATGGCCGAACGCACGGTTGCCGGGTTGATGACGTTCGGCGTGGTCGCTGTAGTCGACGCTGCATCGACTGGCGGGCGCAATGATTCTGCTAGTTTTCCGTGGCAGTGGTCGTACATTGCACTGATTAGGAAAGCAACCGACGCATCCAGAGCGCGACCATTGCCTTCGAGTCTCCATACAGCAACAAGATCTCGGGCTTTCTCGTGATCTGCATGCCAAGCAGCGAGGACGTCGCAGGCAACTCGGTCGTACGAGTTATGTCGATGCTGCGTCGACCGTCTCTCCTCACGACGCTACGCGAAGATTCACCCAAGTCCAACTTCAACATTTGGCGCCGGGTTGCATGTCTGCCCACACTGAAGATTTTGACTTGCGGTTTGTATGCTCGAACGATGATGGCGGCGTTTGGTGTACCTGCAGTCTGGTGTGTTGGCGCTACATCGTTGGTCTCGGCTCCTCTCATTCTTGCAACTACGGTGCCTACGCTGAGGCGCCAAGGCGCTTGGTTTGGGGAAATGGCGTTCTTTGCTAATGTGCGCTGACCCTCCTCTTATCACGCGCCCGACAGGCAACGTCTGCCCGCAAAGATGCTGGGTGCAGCCATACGAGTGGCTTGGATATGGGTGCACACCGAGACTGGCACGCGCCAGTGTATCTCGCGTAATGGTTCTGGTTGACGTGGTCCGTCGCTCACTTTTGGTTTGACCACGGGCATGGCAGACGCCAAGCCGCGACGCCGGCGGGAGCGCCACCTCACCTCGGCGCAGAAGGAGCTGAGCCGCCGCCGGTCGCGCGTCTACTACCTCAAGCACAAGGACCGAGTCCTCGCCAAGTCCAAGGCGCGCTATAGCACCAACGTCGCAGAAGAGCGCGCGCGCCGCCGCGATATGTACGCCAAGAAGCAAGCGGCCAAGGAAGCCGAGAACGGCGTGGTGACGCCGGCGTCATCATCTCCGGCAAAGCCACGGGCGGAGAACGCGCTCTCACTTCGTTTTATTCTAAATTAGCTAGTCCTTGTCCTTAGTTGGCGTCGTCATTGTGTTTTGTAAAACGAACATCGTTGCATCCTGCCAAAGCATCCGACAGGACTCGCTTTGATTCATCCCTCGGTGACGCTAGAATTGTCCTGATGCGCAAGGACCGACTGCCGAGAAGAGCTTTGCGCTTCCGAGGTGGAGCGGCCTTCTGTACCGTCCCGTCTGTGACCCGAGATGCAGTCGACGCAGATAACGTCGATTGGCCGCTTGCGCCGGCGTCACCGAGCTCGAAACAGATTGCATTGGGTGATGGTTTCGGGTCGTACCGAACGTGAACTGTCACCAGAACCGATACCGATAATAACAAGGGAATTGTACTTGACTAGAACTCAATGAAAAGTGAGCTATGGACTTGTCGAGAGCCGCGCAGACTTCTCTCATCAAGTTACTACAGCGTTCTCGACAAAGACGTCGCGTACTGCGTAGAGACGAGCAAATATCGTTGTCGTCTTCTTCGCTTGATCTCGTGGCTGCATAGGCGGCGGTTCGTGTTGCTCATCTGCAGTCGCCGGAGGTGCTCCGGCCCCATGAAGTCCCGCGTGGTCTCGTCCTTCCAAGCGTCTTGACCAGCGCAAGGCTGCACTGCTTTCGCAAGGTCCTCGGCAGACGACGCCAGCAACTATGCGGCGGCAGTGAAGCCTTGAAGTGTGCGAAATGCTACGGAAGGAGTACGTATTTGGCGACGACTACGCCTGAAGCCACAAAGACATCCACGAAATGAAGATGGCGACCGTGGTTGGACGATGCCCTCCTGATGCTCTGGCGGCTGTCGCAAAATTCCCGGCCCTTGGGACGTGTACCGCGACGAGAGGCCCGATCCAGGTCTGGTCGAGAGCCAAAACACAACGTCATTTTGCCCGAGTGGCAAACACAGCATGCTGGGAGATACCAGGTTGGCTCGATTTCTCGCGATCAAGCTTTGAAGGACTTGTCAGGACTGCTTTCGAAGCGAGATGTCCACAGCACTCGACATACTTGACATGCGACGTCCTCACTCAGGCGGGCATTTGGACCAACAGCTGCACCACTTGTGAGCTCATCGCATTCGATTTCAGGAAACTACACTGCGTGTTCAAGTATCCATCAACATGCAATAACTGCGGCGCAGTGTCAGTTGAGGCGAGAGGACGAAGAGCCTCCTTCGAAAACAAGGTCTCATACTCGCATAACATGGCTTACTAGATCACCATGACGAGAACAGAGCCTTTCTCGCGTTGGCATTTACCAAACCTCAGTCTACAGTCGCTCTGCCTCGCCCTGCATTGGGAGCAGTCCTACTTGAAAGAGTATGGAGAGACATCGTCGCAGGAGGCGAGCCTTCACATATTAACTGGGGTGAAGGGCCTTCACAGCATTCAACAAAAATCCTTGGCGTACGAGTAGCTACTGAGTGCACAATGTTCTCTTCTCTGAACCCCCAGCGGTGTTGAACACCGCAGGAATGTTGCATTCGGGTCTTTACACCACCCAAGGTTACTTCTTCGACGCGTCCGGTTCTTGTGGCGCCGAATGAATCAGAAAGAACCAGCTGGTAGGGCTCGGCACGTTAGAAGACGAAAACGTCACCTTGGTTGTAACCCGCCCTGCAGATGCGCGTCGACAATCGCGTCGACTTGGCTTGTTGTCGCTTCTCGCAACAGTGCAGTGAAGGAGGCAGTCGACGATGCGACTTTGATGTGGGAAACGTGTGGTTGCAAGGGCAGTGAATAGGTGGAGATAGACGCGCCGACCTGCACAAGGTGCGATCCACTTTTGAATGCTCAATCATCGAAAAGACGCCCATCGGAACGACGTGTGGAGTTCTGCGCACTTTCTGTAGTACCGTTCACCACATGTCTCTCTACCTGCTGTTGTTATTGTTCACCAAAACCTTAGGCTGTCAAAAGCTCGTTCAAGGCGGCGACCAAGCAACGCAAGACACGAAGAGCTCTGCCCCACCACCCCGCAATAAGATCTTGGACCCCTTTTCGCAGAGCTACGACTGCGGAAGCTTGCTGCGTGCAAAGCTCCCAAGCTCCTGCACCTGGACGTCGTAGCCTAAGTGTGAAGGTGAAAAGCCGGGTGGGACTTCTCAACATGTGGTGGTTATCTTTGATACGACGCCACTGCCACCACCAGGTGAGGGACGCGCTCGCGGGGACTGCCTCAGCGGCACCCGCTTCGATTGCGAATTCACTTGCAAGCGCGTGTCTGGGTCCTCACTATATCTAGAGAAAGTCGACCGTCGTCGTCGGCCGTGCGCGCGCGGTGAATCTGGTGGCACGTACCGTGGCTAATGGCAGCGTGCGGACTGAGTGGTCAACCCCGTTTAAATTCGCTGCATTGTGCCCCTGGTTTCGTTGAAGGTCCGACCTTTTTCGTAGAAAGGACGCGATTCACCATGCAATTCCATGGCATAAAAGAAGAAACAGAACCCACACGAGAGTGATAATCAGACGCTTGCAAACGTCATGGGTACGATAAGAAAATAACTGATTTCGACTATGTAAAAAAGTTACTCGTGGTCTCATCCACTCGGATGCTTCAATTTCCTCCTTCTATACACCGAACTCTCCACTTGCTCACTTTGCCTTTTGCCTTCCAGCCCACAAGTACAACAAAAGGGATGTTGGCGCAGAAGAACGACATTGCACTTGCCGAGCGCCTCTCGTACGTGGCATCGCTCGACGTCCAGGCCGGCGCCAAGGGCGACGACTACGAAGGCGTCAAGACCCCAACGGATCTTGAAAACGGCGCACTCCGTGAAGGCGGTGCCCCCGTCTACTCGTCGCCCGAAGTGATGGCGCTCGTGTTCCAGTACGCGGTCATCGGTGTCGTCTACGGCGGCCTCTCGTACATGAAGTACCCGATCCTCACGGGCTACTTCCAGCTCGAAGGCAACGTCCTCAGCTCGGCGTCGGCGCTCATGAGCCTCGGCTGGTCGCTCAAGGTCTTCTTCGGCATGCTCACCGACTGCTTCCCCGTCTTTGGCTACAACCGCAAGCCGTACATCTTTGCCGGCTGGCTCCTCACGGCCGTCATCCTCGTCTTCCTCGCGATCCGGCCGGCCGGCGACGACGCGTCGATTGACGCCGAGAACGCAGCTTCCAACGGCGCCGTCCTCGCGCTCCTCTGCGCGGTCGCTTGCTTCTCGTACATCATGGCCGACGTCGCCCAGGACGCGCTCCTCGTCCAGTACGCCCAGCGCGAACCCGACGCTGTCCGCGGTCGCCTCCAGTCGATGATCTACGCTGTGCGCACGGTGCTCATGGCTGTCATGGCCGCCATCTCGGGTTTCTGCCTCAACTCGAAGCGCATGACCGGCGACTACGACTGGGACATTGGCGTCAACGGGTACTTTTGGATCTTGGCTGTGCCGTCGGCCATCAACGTGCCGGTCGTGTGGTTCTTCCTCAAGGACACGAAGAAGGCGGCCGTGCCCGTCGGTGTCTACCTCCAGCAGTTCTGGGACCTCGCGCAGAAGCGCGTCGTGTGGCAAGTCATGATCTTCAACTTTATGTTCTCGCTCTTCACGTCGTACATCAGCTCGACGGCCGGCCCGTATGTGTCGCTCTACTGGGCCGAGGTCGAGAACCTCAACTCGTCCATCATGAGCATCGTCGGCTCCATGATCTTTGCCGCCGTGCTCGTCGCCACCGGCAAGTACGGCACCCACTGGAACTGGCGCTACGTGCTCGTGATCACGACCCTCTCGGCCAACGTGATTGACGCTGTCGTTCAGTTCCTTACCGTGTTTGACATCTTCCGCAACCAGTGGTTCTACCTCGGCGTGCCGCTCACGGAGCAGCTCCCGTCTGGCATTGGCTTTGTCATTGGCACGTTTGTGATTGTGGAATTGGCCGAGCCCGGCAACGAAGGCGTCATGTACGGTCTCTTGACGACGATCACGAACCTCCCGGGCGTCTTTGGCCCGATGATCACCAACGTCGTGTGCGGTCAGTTTGACGTTTCCAAGGCCGACATCAAGACCGACACGGACCACGTCCGGTCGCAGGTTGCGTACACGTACATCTTTGCCTACTCGATGACGGTCATCGGCTGCCTCTGGGTCTTCCTCCTCCCCAACCAGAAGGCTGCCGTCATGGAGCTCAAGAAGACGGGCGGCAGCTACCCGCGCGTCGCCGCTCTAATTTTCTACATCTTTTTCGCGATTCTCGCCACGTCGATCACGGGCACCATGGCCTCCATGTTCGAGACCACGGGCTGCACCAAGATCGCCGGCGGCAAGGGCTGCCCCGAAGGCACGTCGCAGCTGTACCTCCTCGGCATCTTTGTGCCCTGCGGCCTCGCGCTCCTCGCGATCGCGGCCAAGGCATTCTACTCGCGCTAAACGACATTTGTCTCGATATTGAAGAGATAGACTATGTAATTCCTAAATTTGTCTTGTGTAAAACCAGGTTGTTTCCTTTCTTCCCTGTCGCCTGACGCTGTACTAGCACTGGCAGAGCTTCAGCGACACCGGATTGATCGCGGTCGTCACGACCCGACTGGAATGTGTGTTGTCGAGCGACACTCCTTGGCTCGCTCCCGTCGGTTGCTTCGACGATCGGCCGAGAATCTTGTTTTGGGCGGTGCACTGGCTGGTTCGAGCTTCGCAACAGCACTGAAGTGTCGAGGGATGAGTTTGGCTGCAATATGCACAGCAGCTAATGCACTCTCGATGTCCTCACACAAATCGGCGCAGGTCCATTCAATACACTGGACCACGCGCAGGGTTTGGCATCTGAGTTGGCACACAGTGGCACGCTTGTGCCCATCGTCGCCAACTCTCGTTGGTTGCCAACCTTAGGGCGCACATATCTTGGACTTCAACAAGCTCCCAGTACACGCCGCTTCTGGCTTTTCGAAGCAGCAGCGTCTTGCCCTCGCCAGCACCCGGCCACCACGGCCGTCCAACACGACCGTCCCGGCCTCACCGACGTCACCGCCTGTCTGCTTGGGTTTTTACCAGCACTCTCGTGCAGAATGTAGGTTCAAGAGGCGCAAGTGATTGGCGGAGCTCGGATGAAGTGCAATGTGACGACATCGGCACTTGACAATCTTCCTCGACCATGGCGAGCGTCCAGACCAAGGCCGCCGAAGGCAAGCCCCTCCTGCCCGACACTAGCTCGGCGCCCGTCGCCCGCAACTGGAAGCGCATCGCTGTCGCCGCTGCCGCCGTGGCTGTGGCGGGTGCTGGTGCATACTCGCTCTTGCGCACCCACGACGCCGACACGTTCGACGAGTTCTTTGCCAAGATGGAGTCGATGATGGACCGCAGCGTCGACCCGTGCGAAGACTTTTACGAGTACGCGTGTGGCGGGTGGGCCAAGACGGCCGAGATCCCGGCGACCGCTGGCTCGATCGACACGTCCTTCACGGTCGTGCAGCACGCCAACGACCGCATCATCCAAACCATCCTCGCCGATAAGCCGCCGACCATCGGGCCCTTCTACGACGCCTGTCTCAACGCGACGACGACCAACGTTTCTGTGCTGCAGTCGCACCTCGCCGCCCTTGATGCGCTTTCGTCCAAGACGGACATCCTTGCGTACGCTGGCCAGCTCTACCGGTCCGCCGGTGTCGCATCCTTTTTAGAATTCGATGTCGGGGTGGACCCGAAGAACGCCTCCGTCCAAGTGCTCACGCTCGTGCAGGGCGGGTGGACGCTCCCAACGATCGAGTTTTACGCGTCTCCCAGTAACCGCGCGCTCTTCACCCAGTACGTCTCCTCGTGGACGTCGCTTTTGCGCTGGAACGCGTCGGCGTCCGACCTCTGGGCGTTCGAGTCGGCGCTGACTGCCATCGCCGTGCCGAATTCAGCGCTGCGAGACCCGACGGCGACGTACAACAAGATGACACCAGCCGCGCTCACGTCGGTGGCACCGTATTTGCAGGCGTATTTCAAAGGCGCGGCGATCCCGTTGACGGCGGCCGACCCGGCGCTGCTCGTGATGACGCCGGCGTTCCTCACAAAGCAAGTGGCGCTCTTGAATGCAACGTCGGTCGCGACGCTGCGTCAGTACGTCGGTCTCCGTCTCGTGGCCACCATTGGACGCCTCTTGGGCGAAGCGCCTCGGCGGATCGACCATGCGTTCGCTGGAGTCCTCGGCGGCCTCGGGGACCTCCCCGCGCGCGATGCCTTTTGCCGCGCCGAGACGTTGGCGTCGCTCCCGGCGTTCGTCGGTGCCGCCTTCCAAGCCGCTGCGTTCCCCGACGCTGTCGCGGCCAAGACGCTGATTGGCGACATTGAAGCGGCGATGACGCGCCTTGTCGCGACCGAGCCGTGGCTCGACGATGTGACGCGATCGCGGTCGCTCGAGAAGATCCAGGCCGTGCGCAACTTTGTCGGTGGCCCGCCGACGCCGCCAACGACACCCGTCAACATGTCGCATACCGACTTTGTGGGCAACGCGCTCGCCATCACGCAGCACGAGATCCGCTCGCGCATGGCGCAGATCGGCGGGCCGAGCGACCCGACGCGCTGGGACCTCGGGTCCTTTGAGGTCGAGGCGTACTACGACCCGAGCGCCAACAAGATGGTCTTCCCCGCCGGTATCCTCCAGCCGCCGATCTTCTCTGCGACCAAGCAGCCGATGATTGCCAACTACGCGCGCATCGGTGTCGTCATGGGCCACGAGCTCAGCCACGGTTTCGATGACATGGGCCGGCTCTTTGACGCCCATGGGCAGCTCACGTCGTGGTGGACCGACTCGGTGGCCGCGACCTTCAACGCCAACGCGCAGTGCCTCAAGCAGCAGTACGACGCCTTCCCCATCGAGTCGATCGACGCCAACAAGACGCTGCTGGGGCACGTCGACGGCGCGTTGACGCTCGGCGAAAACATCGCCGACAACGGCGGCGTCAAGCTTGCGTACCTTGCGTATGCGGCGCGGCAAGGCCTCTCGACGCCCATGGCGCGGAAGGAAGGGCAGCTCTTCTTTACGTCCTTTGCGCAAGGCTGGTGGTGCCAGAAGCGCAGCGACAACCTGGCGCGTGTTCTCATGCACACGGACGCGCACTCGCCCGGCAAGTGGCGGCTCCAGGGCCCGCTCATGAACTCGCCCTTCTTCGCCGACGCGTTCCAGTGCCCGCTCGGGTCCTTCATGAACCCCAAGGACAAGTGCGTCGTCTGGTAGACAGGTCGTAACAATGTCATAAGAGGACTACGTTACACGATTACATGAGCTTGAGATGGCCCGTGAGGTTGTCGACGTCGCCATTCGGGGCGGGACCGACGGCGAGCACGGTCTTCGTGTCCGGTGCGATCTGCGTCCGGCCCGCGTCCACGACCACGTAGTGGATGAGGCCAAGCTCCTTGGCGCGTGTCGCGAGCTCGAGCATCTCGGCCTCGGTCTCGACCTTGAGCGCGACCTTGGCCTGCCCGAGGGCTTCCCAGCACTCGAGCGCCTGTGGCGTGCGCTTCACCGCACGCTTGTAGGCACCGAGCGTCGCATGGCCGCACTGCGCGGCGATCTTGCCCTTGCCCATCTTGAGGTCGTTGCGCACGACGAGCACCATCTTGTGGGGTTCCCACTTGAGCGTGTCTTCCTCGTCGCCCTCGTCCTCGCTGTCGTCGCTCTCGGCATCGTCCTCGGCGTCTTCCTTCTGGTGGCTGGTCATCGGCGCCGGGCTGCGCGCGTGGCTATGAGCGGCTGGCGCCGGGCGGCTTGCGAGGTAGTGGTAGCCAAGGGCGCCCACGGCGACGGACGCAGCGATCTTGACGGCGTCCATCGTTTTGTAAATGGACCAGGGCCCTTGGATTTGGTGGATTTTCAGCCAATCCATCACCGAGTTTCGGAATACGCACTCTGGATTGGCTATTAAGCCGACTGTAAAAATACGGTAAAAACACCGTAAAACGCTATATCCCGTCTCATCAGACACCTCATCGTGCAATCACGTGAAGACACCAGACATTGGGCAGGACGAGATACACTGTACTATATACACTGTACAACACTGTGTATCATCTGCGCGTAGTCATGCCTCGGTGACAACGAGCGCGGACCGAGCCGGGGCGCCCAAGCCTAGTCCCTGCGTTCTGCGTGTCGCCAACACTAAAATGGCGCTTCATCGTCGACCTGATTGGTGTCTGAGCTTTTCAACACGATTTCGATTCGACCGCTGTGCTGAAGGCTGCGAAACGAGGCGCAGAGTACCCTCAACGCCCTCGTCGACACCGTGGGTGCGACTACCTTATCGTCAGACTTACCTCGTCCATTTCGCAAGCTCCTTAGAGGCTGTCCTCAAGTATTTGATTAGTATTTAGCTGTGTCACATTTAGTTGAGCCGCACAGACCATGTCCAAGAAGCTTGCAACAAGCGAATAGATGGTCAAGAGGTTCTCGCCACAAGTGCAAATATCTCTTGCGCGTCGGCGGCGAGTAGCCATCGTTGTCGTCGGTCGCTGCTGAGATCGTGGACCGAGTGGTCGGGGTGTTGACAGGTGAAGTGCAATGTGGCGTCGCTGCACGGAGGCGTTACCAGCTGCGAAAGGCCAGATGCGGTGGTCAAATTTTACCCGCAAAGAGTGGGACGTTGGTCCTGGATTTTAAATCCACTAGCCCACCGACTGGGAGCCTCACGGTCGCACACCGTGTCGTTCGAGACCGCTTGGCTTACACACAGCAACTGCGGACCGTAGAGGTTTCAAGCCTTTTCTTCTTGGCGGCTTGTTGGACAAGTCGCAAAGTCGACGTGGTCGGTGGCACAGATCCCATTGACGAGGACTGCATTTGACGTCGACGAGAATCGACAAGGTGTGTCTGAAGGCGGAGGTGGGGCGTCGACGGGGTCCTCTACGTTCACAACAGAGGGACCGACTTCCCGTTGCACACATGTCTTTGGACCGCACTGGCGACCTTGAGACGGCCTCGACGCTCTTGGCGATCGAACAAACTAGCGTTGTCACGGCGAGCTCGGTCCCAGGCTTGTGTGTAATCGCAAGACGGCGCCGCTCGGACTCGCGGTTCTATTGTTGTGGGGCGCCAAAGTCATTTCCCAACAACCTACGATGGCCTCAAGCAAGCGCAAGAGCTACAGCGACCCGTCGATCCCGCCCGAGGTCCGCGAGCGCCGGCAAGTCTACGACCGCGAGGCCAAGCGCTGCGCGCGGCAAACGTACTTGACGGAAATCGACGCGCTCAACACGACGATTGTCGGGCTCACGCAGAAGCTCCACGCGCTCCGAGGTAGCAGCGCGCTGCCGTGGAAGGAGGTGGCCGAGGCCATGGCGGCCAACAGCGCGTCGAGCGCCACGACCAACTCGCGGCTACGCGGTCAGATGGAAGAGCAAAAGCAAATCGCGCGCACACTCTACGAGTGGGCGAAAGCGCATCTTCCGACCGACACGGACGAAATGACCGAGCTCGAGGCCATGTGGCTCGAGGTCGCGACCCTCACGGACACCGGCCACGTCTGCCGCGAAATCGGGTTTTCCGAGCTCCAGCATTTCTTCGACGGCTACGACAGCCAGGGCACGGAGCAAGTGGCGAGTTCACACTCGGGCGACGACGAGAGCTGAGCTGCACTCTACTAACTTATCGAATTTCTGTTTTTATCACATTTCAACGAGCTTGGCGCAGGTGGAGTTGAAACATCGGGGCATATTGTTTAAAATGAGGCGGGCGTTCTACAGCTTGCACTACGGTTTGTTATGCTACATCATAGCCCCACGGTATCTACACCCAACAACAAGATTGCATCGTCCGTCATCCTAGCTCCAACCTCGTGATAGCTCTCCTGACGCCATGGGTTGAGAAGGGGTGGATGTGAAAAACGATTTTCACCGTCGAAAACACAAATCCCACGCGTGAAATCCCACACACGTTTTCCGTCGCCAGCATGTCGGCCGCTCCGCCCACGTCGACGCAGCCGACGCTCAAGGTCATGCGGCTCTACAAGCCGCGGCTCCACGTCGAGCAGTCCAACGGCCGCGACTTTGAGCTCTCCAACATGCTCCTGCTGCCCGACAGCTTTGGGTACCTCGCATCGCGCTTGCATGCATGCTCATAGGGACCGGCGTAGGAACATCTACCTCGGCGAGACCTTTAGCAGCTACATTAGCGTCATCAACCAGTTTGCGTGCGACCTGCAGCAAGTGGGCTTGACGGTGCGGTGGCCATGAGGCGGCTAATCGCGATCTCACGCCAGCCTAGGCCAAGCTCCAGACGCCGACAACGCGCAGCGATCTCGCCGACACGCGCGTGTCCCGCGGCGGTGCGTACAACGAGCAGGCAAACACACGTGCTTATAATAGGAAGCTAGGCTCGACGCCGCCACCCAACCCGATGCCCGTGCTGCCGAGCGGCGGAAACCTCGACATGGCGGTCGAGTATGAGCTCAACGAAGTCGGCGTGCACACGTACCGTTCTCTTCTTCTACTACAGCTCTACCTACGACGTCGTCTCGTAGGCTCCGCGTCGGCGTCTCGTACTGTGACCCAGTCACGCTCGAGGCCAAGTCGCTGCGCAAGTTTTACCGCTTCAACGTGCTCAACCCGCTCACGATCACGTTCAAGCACTTGCTCATCCAGGTAGAACGCGCAGATCTGTGGTCTCGTGCATCAAGGCTGATGCAGGAAGAGTCGTTTGTCGAGGCCAAGATACAGAACATCACGCAAGCGCCGTTGCACGTCGAGACCGTCCACTTCCTCGCGTCACCGCCCTTCCGCGCCGTCGAGCTCGCGACTGTCCGCGACCCCGAGTACACGCCGCAATTCGTTGCCCAGTTGTCACCCGACTTTGGTATAGAACCGACCGCCAGGCGTACGTCGGACCGGAAGAGACACTGCAGCGCGTCTTCAAGGTCACGTCGCCGCAGCTCGATCTGTCGCTTGGCACGCTCAACCTCGGTGCGAACGTATCACCATGTTGGATCCTTCATATGGTCGTAGGCCGCCTGGAGGTTGCGTGGAAGAGCAGCATGGGCGAGGCCGGGCGTCTCCAGACGCAGCCCGTCATGCGCAAGGTTCACGCCCTTGGTTCGAGAGCACGGACTAACTAGAAAGAGCAGGTCGGCAGTCTCAAGGAGGCCAGCGTCTCGATCGTGGCACCCAAGCAGCCGCTTCGCGTGGGCCAACCGTTCGCTGCGACCTTCCTCGTGCACAACAACGGGACGCGGCCGATGAACCTCCAGCTGCAGCTGCGCCGCGAGCTCATGACGGGCATCGTCTGCAGCGCGCTTTCGCACCAGGTAGCCATTCTCCGTGTGCTGCCTTCAACCCACGCTCGTAGAACGTGGGTGTTGTCTCACCCAACGGCAGCACGCAGCTGGACGTCGAGTTGCTGCCGCTTATCGCAGGGCTGCAGCAGATTCAAGGCGTCTTCATCGTCGAGCTCGAGACGCACGTCGAGTATCCGCAGGAGAAGACCTTGCACTTGCTCGTAAACTAAATTTAGTCGAAACGATACGACTAGACTGTGTCTCTTGCTGGCGATGGCCGAGTTTACGTCCGTGGTACCCCACAGGCGGTGGTGGCGCAAGGGGGCCGTGGCGCCGATGGCGACGCCGATCGACTACCGCCTCATGGCCAACACCGTCGTGCACAAGCTCATGGGCCAGCGCCGCGTGAGTGCGCTCGCGGCTTTTCCCGCGCTTGATCTCACGCGCGGGACCGACCGCTGGCCCCTGCGCACGGGGTACCTCGGGTCGTTTGCGGGCGACGACATGATCCTCACGCTGCACGACGCCCAAGTCGCTGGCCACCACGCCAAAGTACGTCGATGGCGCCAATTCATTTCGACTAACTAAAAATTCGACAGGTAACCTGCCACAAGGACAAGTACTTTGTCGAGCCCGTCGCACAGCACTCGACGTACCTCCAGATTGCCTCGCGCGGTACCCACCGCGAAGGCTACCCGCTCCAGAACGGCGACGTCTTTGAGCTCAGCGAGCTCTTTATCATCACCGTCCTCGAGATTGAAGTCAACTCGTCGACGTCGCCCGCGTCAGCGCCGCCAGCGCGAAGCTCCAAGGTGCAGTTTGGCCACGTGACGCTCGACACCAAGCCCCCGCAGCACATCTCGCTGTCGCCGCCACCCAAGCTCCAGAAGTCAACCCGAATCGAAACACCAAAGCTGCTCGTGCTCCAGCTACAACGCAAGCCCGAGGCCTTCCGCGTCGCCGCCCACTCGCTGCGCTCGATCGAACCGGTCCAAGTCGTCACCTTCAGCAACCATGCGTCCGTGCTCATCGGCAGTCTCCCGGGTTGCGACCTCTACGCCCCCGAGCTCTGCCCGATCCACGCAAAAATTGAGTTTGCAAATGGCGACTACGTGCTCTCGGACGTAGCCTACGGCACGCGCGTCTTCCTGCGCAACCCCGTGCAGATTGTGATCGGCGATCAGCTCGTCCTCGGTGAGACGACGCTCACGGTGGACGAGGCGCCGTCGCCGCCCGTGCCGACGGCCGGCCTCGCGATCTCGCACCTGCGCAACTCGGTGCGTCGCAAGCGCAAAGCCCACGCGCCGTTGCATGTGGCGCTACCCCGCGACAAGACCCTCAACATTGGTCGGGCCACCGGTGGGTTCATCATTTTTTGAACTATTCACTCGACACATTGATACTAGAATGCGACATTGCCCTTGGCTGCTACGCGCTCAAGCTGCTGCAGTTCTCGGTGCACCACACCCAACAACGCGTGAGTGTCCGCCCGCTCTTCGGTGCGCTCAACCAAGGCGTGTACTTTCTCTTGCACCGGAGGGCGCCACGTCACGTGCACTTCTTTGCCGGTCTCTTGCCTCTCACTTCTTGGCTCGGATATATGAGATCAAATAGACAAGCAAGCCATTTCGCCACCGGTCGTCGCCCGCGGCCTCCAGCTCGCACGCGACACAGTGCTGCGCATCGGCAACTCGGAGCTCGAAGTCGTCGCAATCAAGGAGAAGAGCGATCGAACGCTCTCGCAGGGCATGCAGAACAGGTACTGGAACGAACGCGTGGCCGTCTTGCAAAAGCTACCGTGGCTTCTGCTACATTCGATCCCGAACGGGCTCACCGAGATCACGTACCTCGCTTACCACGCCAAGGAAGTCGAGTTCCGGGCCGGCGAGAGTATCTACAAGCAGGGCCACGACGCCTTGAACACCTACGTCATTTTGGAAGGCCACATCATTCTGCACCGCAACGGCCAGCGCGACGGTAAAACGTGAGGGATCCCTGCACCTCATATGGCAGCGTAGGCAAGTACTTGGAGCAGCTCGGGCCGGGCGACTGGTGCGGCGAAGTCGCGCTGCTCCGACCCCCCGCGCGCCTCATTGCAGCCTACGACACCCATGCAATCGCCCAGACCAACGTCGCGTGCGTCGTCTTGTCTGCACGGTAGGACGCCTTCACAGTCTCTAGCTCGCAACAGGAGACTGGGTAGCGATCTCTACTACATGTGTGGCAACTACCGCGAGCTCTATCAAGTGCCGCTAACGCGGGGCATCGTCGAGCGAGAGGTCTTGCAGTCGCTCAAAGATCTCCACGGCCTCGAACGCGTCTGCTGATTTCCGACAAGTTCGTCGCTCATTGAACGGCGTAGGTGTGCCCGACGCTACTCCATCGTGTTGGCTTCAGGCTCAAACTCTCAAGTTTCCCAGCCGGCACCGACTTGAGCGCGCAAGGGCTCGGTCTCTACTGCCTCGTGCGTGGCTCAGTGCTTTGCAAGTACGAGGCCGACGAGACAACGGTGCGCACGGCTTGCACGTGGTTTGGCGAGCTCACGTCCCTATCGTCGCCCCCGCTCTCGGTATCGCTCTCACTCTCTTCTTCTCTTAACGAGCGTCGTAGGTACACGCGCAAGACGCGGTCAGCTGCTATACACTCAGCCTCGAAGAGTACAAGCGGTCGATTGAGCTCAGCTTGGTCCCGCCCACGCGCAACGACCCGCGACTTCAAGTGGGCGCGCGGGACCGCGGTCTCTCCCGCGCCGACCTCTCGCACGAGACGGCCAAGAAGGAAGCTTCGGGTACGTGATGCTTTGAAACCGAGACAATGATTTGGCTGCAGCCCACTCGTTCCTCACGCCCAAGCTTGGCGACACCAAAGCGTTTTGGATGGCGACCTTCGCCGAGCACATGGCCGACGCGCTCATTGACGAGGGCTCGGGCAACGTCATCAAAAAGGTCGAAGCCGACGCGTGGCGGCAAAAGAAGCGCAACGCCCACCTCCTCCACGCGCGCCTGCAGTACCTTCAAGAAACCGACAACATCGAGTATGCGCTCGTGCTCTACGTGCTCTCGGGGCCCAACCGCGGCGACGTTCACGTCGTCTACAACTGCGCCGTGATTGGCAACGATGCCGACGTGGCCTCGATCGTCCTCACCGAGCGCGATGTCGCACCGACGCACGCCTGGATCTACCACCGCAACGGTATATCCTCCCTGCATGAATGAGAACGTGGCGCTGACTGGTGACCAGGCGCCTATTTTGTGCAGGACCTCGGGACCTCGCTGGGCACGTTCATTCGACTCAAAGACAACGAAGCCACGTCCGTGCGCGTCGGCGACGTCCTTGTCGCGGGCGAAACTGAGTTTACATTGTTGGGCTCGCCCCCGACGCACCCCCCCGCCCACGCCGCGTCGTCATCACTATGTAGTGTGCAGTAGTCAAATGACCACCCATCAGTGCCAATGTCTTCTTTTGTATTCAATGGTCCAACGAGCCGAATTCATGGTCGACGTCTGGCAGTTGAAAAATATAAGCATGCACTACGGACGTGAGCTCGACTGCCTCTCGTGCTCGCTCGAGACGAGCAAGCTCGAGGGAGTGTACGCACCAGGAACGCCCGAGGCATTAGACGGCGGCGCTCTACGCGGCGGACCCCCGCCCGTGTACTGCAGCGCACCCGTGTTGGCGCTGCTCGCGCAGTACGCCGCTGTCGGCATCGTGCAGGGCGGTCTTGCCAGCATCAAGTACCCGATCCTCACGGGCTACTTCCAGCTTGAAGGCAACGTCCTCAACTCGGGAAGTGCGCTCATGAGCCTCGGCTGGTCGCTCAAGGTCTTCTTTGGTCTCCTCTCGGACTGCTTTCCGCTGTGCGGCTACCACCGCAAGCCGTACATTGTTCTTGGCTGGCTCTTGACCGCGATCGTGCTCGTGCTTGTGGCGGCCAAGTCTCCAGGATCGCCTGCGCCAGCAGCAGACGCAACGACCAACGGCGCAGTCCTTACGCTCCTCTGCGCGGTCGCGTGCTTCTTCTTCATCCTCGCCGACGTTGCCCAAGACGCACTCCTCGTCCAGTACGCACAGCGCGAGCCGGACGCCGTCCGCGGCCGCCTCCAGTCGATGGTGTACGCTGTGCGCGCACTCTTTATGGCGCTCATCTCGCTCGTCTCGGGCGTCTGCCTCAACTCGACGCGCATGGCCGGGTCGTTTGACTGGGACATTGGCGTCCAGGGGTTCTTTGTGCTCCTCGCCGTTCCCACCGTCTGCAACGTTGTCGTTGCCTCCTGCTACCTCCAAGACGAGGCCAAGCCCCGCGTGCCTCTGTCCGACTACGGTCGCCAGCTCTGGGCGCTCGCGCAGAAGCGCGCGGTGTGGCAAGTCATGATCTTCAATTTTGTCTTTATGCTCTTGACGAGCAGCGTCGGGTCGACGGCCGCTCCGTACGTGGCCCTGTACTGGGCCAAAGTCGAGAACCTCAACGCAGCGCTCTTGCAGGTCGTCGGGCACGTGCTTTTCGCCGCAGTGCTTTTCGTGATGGGCCGGTATGGCACCCACTGGAACTGGCGCTACGTGCTCGTGGTCACGACGCTCTCGGCCAACGCGATCGACGCGCTCGTTCAGTTTCTCACCGTCTTTGACGTGTTTCGCAACCAGTGGTTCTACCTCGGCGTGCCGCTCACGGAGGAGCTCCCGAAAGCCATCAGCTTTGCCGTTGGCGCGTTTGTCATTGTGGAGCTGGCCGAAGACGGCAACGAAGGCGTCATGTATGGGCTTCTGACGACCGTCGGCAACCTCCCGAGCGTGTTTGGGGGCATGCTCACCAACGTCATGGACGCCTCCTTGGCCTACGACAAGCTACGCATCAAAGCCGACTCGAAGGACACGCGCACCGCCGTCGCCTGGTCGTTTGGCCTGATGTACGCGACGTCGGTCGTCGGGTGCATGACGGTGCTGCTGCTGCCGCGGCAGAAGGCAGAGGTCCTCGCTCTCAAGCGCGACGGCGGCGACTACCCGCGCGTGGCGCTCGGCATTGGCTTCCTCTTTGTGGTCATCCTCGCGACCTCGATCACGGGGACGATGGCATCGATGTTTGCGTCCACGGGCTGCCACGTCCTGGCCGGCGGCCGCGGGTGTGTGCCTGGCACGAGCAGTCATCTCTATCTCTTGGGTATTGCGCTTCCCGCTCTGCTTGCTGCATGTTTGCTGCTCGTGTTTGGTGTCATTCGTCGTTGAAATCAATGTATCAATCCATACCGCGACACGATTCGCTATCTACAGTATTCCAGTTGAGAAGATTTTAGTGTTTGATGTACTTTATAAATAGTGTTAGTCGTGTAAATAGTGTGCTATTGACAGAGAGATGTCACACGCTGCCAGACAGCCTCGCCGAACTGAGCCGCCAGGATGCTGCACGGCGACGTCTACCTCGTCGCGTACCTCGCCGCCAATGTCTTGGCCAGCGCCTTTGCGATCGCTGCCATTGTGCTGTCGCAGTCGTGGGCCATGGCCCTCCTCGATCCGTACGCCCTCTTGCCGCTCGCCATCGTCCTCCTCGCCGTCTGCCTATGCGGCTTTGGATTTGTGTTTCGGTCGCCCCGCGAAGGCTCGTTCCGGCTGCTCGTCTTTGTCGCGATGTTGCAAGCTGTGACTTTGATGGCGATGGGCATACTTGTCCAGCCAACGATATCGGACCTCGAGCGCGTGGACAACGCGCCCATCTTGGCCGCGTACGTGCACAAGCACGCGGCCGCGTACGCTGCCAACGTCGCGCAGTCAATGTCGGACGAGACGACGCTCTTTACAGCAGCGTTTATCAACAACAGGACGATCTACCGCCCCGATACGTTTGAGGGCGGCGTCGTGCGCCTCGCCACCGCCTTTGAGGACGCGTACTGTGCCACCGCCGGCCGCGCCTTCTGCGACGTCTTCCCGCTCGTGCAGACCCTCTCCGTGCCCCGCGTCTACCTCGGCGAAGTGGGCTCCACGTTCTGGAACATCTCGATCCATGCGACGACGACGCTCGCTGCGTTCTGCACTCGCGTGCAAACCCCCTCGGCGCTGCCCACGCAACTGCGCAGCATCTGCCGCGGGTGTGCCGCCATTTTGCACAAGTCGGCGGTCTCGCAGCAGCTGGCCAACTGGGTCCACGAGAAGTGTCCGGCGCGCCACGCAGACGTCATCGGCGCGTCGTGCGTCGTCGACGCCACCGGCGACTTCGACCTCGGCCACACACCAACGATTCAGGTGCCTCAAACGACGGCGCCAGCGGGGACGACGCCGTCGCAGACGTCCACCAACGTCATTTCCATTTCATTTTTGACCGACCACGCGCTTCTCGCCAGCTTTTACCGGCCGTCAATGCTCCCGTGCTTCGCCTTTGACTTGATCGAGCGTCTCCGTTGCCAAGTGACATGGCTCGTAACCCCCTCGTACGTCCTCGCCATCGCGTTCTCCATCATCTCGCAAGGTCTCTTCAGCCTCGAGAAGCAACGGCGCATGCGCAATGTGCTGCCCTTGCCCACCGCGAGTCGTTGAGTTTTGAGTTTTGATTATTGAGTTTTGAGTTTGCTAGTGAACAATGTCTCAGTGTGTTTTCTGTGGTTGGCGCCCGGGGCACGCCAGAATGCGCGAGTTGCCGTCAGGTAATATCGTGAATGGTACCCCGGTCATGGCCTGGATGACGTGCAGCGCCGCCTCTATGTGCTGGCTCGACGTCGTCCTCGGCACCCGCAGCGCCGACGCGCCGGTCGCGAGCGCCATGTACACGAGCAGGTTGTCGGCAATGTGCTCGTCGACGCACGCGTCCGAGTCCCACCCGCGGCGCAGCTCAGCGATGACGCTGTCGACGGCACTCGCCACCGATGTCGCTGCAATGCAGCTGCCCGTAAAGACATTGCCATGCGTCGTCTCGACCGTCACATGCAGCGCGATCTTGGGTCCGCCCTTGGCCTTGAATGCCTGCACCGTCCCATGGCTCTCGATCACGGGGTGCGGCCCCAGCGCAGTTGTCAGCGCAATCTTCAAGTGGTGATGACAGGCATCCACGGTCGCCGCCGACGCCCCGGCTGCGTACACCACCACGTGGCTCTGCACCCGGGCGATCTCGCGGGACTTGGTCGTGAGCTGCAACGGCTGGATCACCGAGACAGGCGCGACCGACACAGTGACGTGGCCGCGTCCGAGTGGCATGAAGCCGCACGCTTCAAGTGCAATCTCGTAGGAAATGCCCATTTTGGCGAGGGGCTGCGCCAGACCCGACGTCCAAAAGTCCATCGGGGGGCTGAACGGGACGTGCGTGCCGCCTCGGAGCTTCAACGTTGTCGGCGTCGCGCGCGATAACAGCAGCAATGGCAAGACGCCTTGGAGCACGAGCGAGACGCTGCCCGCGCCTTGTAGATCCTTTGCAAACGACGTGCCTGTGGGCGGCGAGGCGCTCGGGCGCAGCGACACGGACGTTGAGAGCAGCGCGAGGCCCTCAAACGACGCCTGCGAGATGGTTTGCAGAAGCTCGAGGCCGCCGAGATGCTGCCGCGCGAGCCCGGGCTTGGGGCGGTTGTGCCGTATCGAGTGCACTGTCAACGGCACATTGCACAACACTGCGAGCGGGGCTGCCAGCCGTAGGATCTGGCCACCGCCTTCGTACAGCGAACCGTCAATCGATACGGGGGCTGCTACGGCTGCAAGTGCAGGTGGTGCTGGCGCCAGCTGGAAGAACCGCACAGCGTTGGCGGTCGTTGTCGCCGCCACAACCTCCGGCGTCGTGCCAACTGCGTCCGCAATCGTGTTTAGGACAGCGTGAATGTCGCTGGGCTCACAGCGCACGCGCTTCTGCGACGGATGCATGAACGGCGCATCGGTCTCGACCATGAGCTGCTTGCTTGGGATAGAGCGCAGGAGCGGGCGCAGGTGTGCGCCCCGACCAGGCATCGCAATGAAGCCCGTGAGGCCAATGTAAAAGCCAAAGCCGACGTACTTCTTGAGCGCGGCCTCCGAGCCCGTAAAGCAGTGAACGACGACGCGGTCGGGTCGGAGCCGCCCCGTCTCGAGAAACGGCAGCAAGACACGTACAAAGTCGTCGTGGGCGTCCCGCTCGTGGCAGAACAGCGGAAGCCCCAGCTCGCACGCGAGCTCGACCTGCGATCGGAACACGTCGATCTGCACGTCGCGCGGCGAAAAGTCGCGGTTGAAGTCGAGGCCACACTCGCCGACAGCGACGGCAACATCGCGGTTGCCTTCCATGAGCGACCGGAGCGACGCGACGAGGTCCGGCGATGTGGACGATGCGTTGTGCGGGTGCACGCCCACAGTGCACACAAGGCGGGCGCCTATGCGCTCCTTCTGAAGGCGGCGAATCAGCGCAATCGTGGCGTGGCTCGCCTTGAGGTCCGTGCCCGTGGCCACGAGCGTCGAGACGTTGGCCGCGACGGCGCGGTCCAGGACTGCTTTGAGGTCTTTGCGGAATTGCCTACATGCGCATGAGATGCCACGGCCATGGCGCAGACGCCTGTTACCCGTGGGTGAGGTTGAGGCCAATGTCAATGATCGGCGACGTCATGCTGCTTGCTCGTGCTTGCGTGTTTGAAAATGCGATCTGGGATCGATGAATCGAGCGACCTTCATTCATGACCGGTATGTGGATTGGCTGAAATCAAGCGACACGACGCCATGTGATTGGCTGGAAAATAGAATCTCGCGCGACGAAATGGCGCGCCGGTGCTGGGAAAAGTCCCTTGGCCATTTTGCAGGAAATTGATGGAAGGACTATTTAACGCAGTTTATTCGCTGTGGTTTAACTCTACGTTGGTCGGTACTAAGTCGGTGCTCTCTACCATCGGAACGTCTCTGGGTGACGCCACAACGCCACCCTGAGTTGGCGAAGCTGGATCATGACTTGGGATTGGAGTGGTGAAGACGTTGGTGTCATCTTCTTTGGCTGCAGTGCGTGGTGCGACGGAGGCCGACTCCACTGGCGTCAGGTTGGAACCCGTGAGGTCTTGGAAAGGAGGCGTCGTTGAAAGCTCGGTCACACTCTGTGGGCAGTCCGTATCTGGAGTCGGTGGGTTGCCGATATCAACGCCGTTCGTCGAGGGCTCGTCGTTGTCGAGGTCATTGGCGAGGTCATTGGAGACCAGCGATAGTGGTGGCTGCGCAGGTTCAACCTTGGCGGTGTGGTCGAGAATTGCGTCGCTTGGCGGCGGCGCTTCGTCAGATGCACCATCGATTCGAGAGGTGGCGACTGGTGCGACAGCACTGGCTTCCACTTCAGCCATAGTGCTGAACGATTCGACTCCGGAGCTCGAGTTGGTTGCTGGCTCAGTGGAGCGTCGAGCTGCAGCTGCAGCTTGCTCGGTATCTGCTTCGACCAGCAGCTTGCTCGGTATCTGCTTCGACCAGCTGCACGCCGAGCGCATCGCTCGCAGTCGACGTCGCTGGTTCCTCTTTTTTGCTCTCGCACTCGTTCGATGCTTCAATCCGGGCGGCGACTGGGTCGGGCGCCAGCGTATCGGTACGCAAAATTTCGTCGGCGTCGAGAACTAAAGCACTGCTACTGGCGTCGGACCGAGCCGAGGCCATTGGTGACGCGTCGGCCTCACTGTGAGTGGTTGCAAAGACTTGGATCTGGTTATCTTCAGTTGCCCGCAATTCTGCTCTCGCTGGCTCATCAGTAGTTGTACTGTCTGGAGGCTCCGTTCGAGCCACAGGCTCGCTTCCATCGTCGCTACCCGAGCGAGAGCTCTCTGCCTTGCCTACGCCTTGGACAAAGTCAAGGGATGCGGTCGACAGCTCAAGAGCAGTGCACAGCGCATCAACAGGTGCCCCGTCGGATGGCGCAGAAGCGACTCCGTGATCGTCACCTTCCGAGGCCGCAGACACGGAGTTGGCTGGAACGTCTTCGATAGAGGTTGTAACCTTGCAAAGCTCTGTGAACGTACCAGCTTCTCTTGCGCCGTCCGCGGCTGGAGTCATTTGCTCTGCCTCGTTCACGAGAGACGGGATATCTTCCGAGGTCGCCGGTGACGCGTCGACACGATGCCGCTCATCCATGATTGTCTCGTGGAAGCGGTTGACTGGACTTGTACTTGATGCTGCCTTCTCCATCGCGTTGCTTGCGTCATCGTGAGGCTCCATCAAATGCACTGTAGCGTCCGTGGTTGGCTCAACGTGCTCGGGCTCGTCCATGCTTGTGTCATCGGAAACTTCTACCGGCTCGGAAGCGGCGCACAACGCATTGGCAGGTGCTTCGTCGGACGCATCTTCGTGATCGTCGCCTTTGAAGGCCATAGGCTCCGCCATTTTTGGAGCTTCGTCGACGGACGTTGCCTCTTCGCCAGGCTCCGAGAGCTCCTCAGTGCCGCCTGTGGCTGGTGTCAGGCACTCTGCCTCGTTCACGACGGATGGTAGTTCTTCCGAGACCATCGGTGACGCGTCCTCGGAATGCAGCTCGTTGGCAGTCGCCTCGGTAGGCACTGCCGCGACGTTGGAATGGTCGACTGGACTGTCCCTTGTCTCCAATGTATGGATTGTAGATGGTGCTGCCTCATGTGTATCCGCAGCCGCGTCTGCAGCGCCTCTTGACAGGTCGACCGCGGTGCACAACGCGTCGGCAGCTGCGTCGTCGATCGATGTCGCACCGACTTCGTGCTCGTCACCTTCCGCCACCATAGTCGTCGCCTGAATGAAAGCGTCGTCCATGGAGGTTGTCGGTTTGTTGCGAAGGCTTGCGTCATCCGTGGTACACGTCGAGAGCTCACTCTCGGAAGAGCTAGCAACATCCGAGCGCTCGACGGTGCTAGCGCTTGTACCGGATTGGACAGCAACCATTGCTTCTCGTGGCGTTGCTGAGGCCTCGTGTGGCACGGCGTCGTCGTCTGCTCTTGCAAAAGGCTTGGCGACGGCCGTGTCGAAGGGAGAATCTTCGGCTTTGCCACCAGACGCTTCGTCATCCCCATCCTCTTGCTCTTCCTCTTCGTCGCCTTCTTCCTCTTCCTCTTCGTCAGCATCTGTTTCTTCCTCTTCGTCATCTCCTTCCTCTTCGTCAGCGTCTGTTTCTTCGTCGCCTTCTTCTTCCTCCTCGTCTTCTTCGCCGTCACCTTCGTCTTCGCTCTCGTCCTCTTCTTCGCTGGCTTCATTTCTTTCTTCATCGGTGTCTCCCTCATCTTCACGTGTTGCGGCCTCTGCGGCTTCGACCTCGCCATCTTTGACAGCCCGGCCGCCGTCGGTAGACTCCGCAACAACATCGTGCAAGTCGCTTACGGTCCACGACGATTCTTGGACAGAGCCGAGATGCGCATTCGGCGTCGAAGAGGACAGCGCTGGCGTCTCTGCCGCGACGGCCAACGTGGTGCCAATGTCATCAATGGAGGCTGTAGACGTCCAAACACTCTCGACGACTTCGTCGTCCGGCGGTAACGCCATATCGCCGTCCGCGCCAAACACGTCCTCATCGTGCGTCGTGAAGGCGGCTTCCACGGGGTCTTGCGCACCCATCTCCGTACCGTCAGTTACCAGCGGCAGCGTGTCGGACGCCTCAGGTTGGCAAGGTGGAGGGGCACTGCTACTCTCTTGGATGCTGATGAACGACAGCGCCGCCACCTCGGGCGACTCCAGTGCGTCGTCGTCTGCATTGTCTGCTGGTGGCAATGCCATGTCACCATCCGAGCCAAACTCGATGTCGGGCTCCACCATGTCGGTCGCTTCGAGTGTCGGTGCATCCATCATCTCGCAAGTTGCCGATTCAACTTGGCTAGGACCGTCAACACCCAGAATATGTACTGTCGACGTCGTTGCGTTCGTGGCCGTCTGCTGACGCCGCCGCCAGACGAGCTGAATCGCTGTCGCAGCTGCTTGGCTCTTTCGAACGCTGCGACGAGAGCGGTGCGATCGGTACACGCTTTGAACAGCGATGGCGGCCTCGGTCTCGGCCAAGAAAATATGCCACTGCCGCCACCGCCCTTGGATCTTTGTGGACGCGTCACGGGCGCGCCAGAAGCGACGTCGCAACACAAACATACGCAGCCACGCACCCAGCGTCCGCTCGCGCACGAGCTTGCGTCGGGTCACGTGACCTCGGGCGTGGCGCTGGATCAAAACCGCCGCGTCCAGACGGACCAAGTGACGGCGCCAGGCCCGCTGGAGGCGTGTTGCAGCGACCTGAGCCTTCTTTGCCCGTCCGCGCAGCACGTGGCGCCACAGCACGTGCAGCAACTGTGTGCGCGCGGTTCGCAGCTGGTGTCGACAACGCTGTGCCCGCCACCGCCGGACAGACGCCTGTACGAGCACTACACTTCGTGTGGGTACTGCGGTCACTCTGCATCAGGCGTACCGAGTGCAATTCGGATATGACGCAAATGCGACTGCACCTGCCACCGCCGAACGTGCGCTTGAAGCAGCCGCGCTGCCGTCCAGCGCCCGGCTTGCAAATGCACGAACTTGGACCGGCACACGAACCGGCGAACGTTGGATTGAATACACACGGCTGCACGATGGACTCGAAGGCTCGCGCGGAACCGTAGGCGCGCGAACCTGCCACGCACCCTTGACTGCAAGAGGACCACCGCCGCGGCCCGCTGCATCTTGGCAGCTTGGTACCGCTTTTGCTGCAAGCGCATGCGCACTTTCGACTGGAGCAAGATCGACGCGGTCGTCTGCGCCACCCGCGCGGCTTGTCGCTGGGTCTGCAGCCGCGCTTGACGATCGAGCTCGAGTCTACGTGTCCTCGTCATCACATGCAAATTCTCTATCGACCTACGCGAGCGCCGATTGAACGACCGTAGACCGGGTCGTCTGCGCTTGTCTCGTTTGCTGGCTCTGCTGCAGCGCAAGGGTAGCTTGATGCAGCTGCTGCTGCAAGGACTGACAGCGCTCTGTTTGCGCACCGAGCAGCCGCTGAGCTGCGCCCAAGTCGGCTTCGAGCTTTTGACAACGGTCCTACAAGACTCATGTTGGTTCGAGCTGTTTATGGCCAGCGCAACACGCACTGCGACATCGGCGTGGTCCGACTGGAGCTGCTGGTGAACTTGGCGCAACGCATGCAGCTCCGTCGATCGCCCGAGGAGCTCTGGGTCTGCGTTCTCCGGAGGTCCGCAAGCGTCGCCATCTTCCCTCGACCTCGGTGCGTTTTGTAGCTGCATGCGTAGCAGATGCGCGTTGACGTCGCGGAGGCGCTGCACTTCTTCGGTCAGCATCGCCAGCTTGCCTTCGACGACCACATCGTCGTGCAGCTCTCTCGGTGGTGTCCGGTGCAACAAATGATGGTGAGCGAGCGCGCGGTCGTTCTGGACGCGTCGCTTGACCTTTTCGTTTTCTTGCACGTGCTTGGCCACCGCGAGTCGCCGTGCGGCCTCGGCGTCGTGCAGCTGGGCACGCAACTGCCGGTTCTGCTCCTTGAGCGTCTCGGGCGACGTGTCGTACTCGAGGCTGAGCTGCGTCGTGCGCCACTCCGTGTGCTTGGCGTAGACAGGTCGCGCGGACGGCGGCGGCGTAACGTCGACCTCGGGCGTCTCGATGGACCTCTCGGAGGAGCGACTGGCTTGGGTGTCGCACTCTTTCTGGGCGAGGGCAGCCGTGAGCTGCTCGACTTGGGCCCCCAGCGCCTCGATGCGCTGTGCATCGATGAGGTCGACAGAGGTGACCGCACTTGAACGGAAGGTTACAGAGGTGGTTGCCCGCTGGTGCGCTTGCATGCCGGCAACATACTCGTCAAACGTCACTTCCTACCCTTCCGACGCATGGATTTATGGGGATTGAGAGAGAGGGACGTACGCCGTCGCTGTTGCTATCCAGGTGCTGGAAGAGGGTCGTAATTTGAGCCTCTACGGACCGCGAGTCGGTTGCCGGCAGCAGCAGCGTCTGCAGAGCGACGTTGCCCTGGAGCGCCGCGCCAAGCTCTCGCAGCGAAATGCTACCGCTGTGGTCGCTGTCGATCTGATAGAACAGCTTCTTCCACTGCCCGAGCGTGGTCGAGTTGAACGACGCTTCCGACGCGACTCCAATGGCCGGTGTAAAGGCCAGGTCGACCCGAACCGCACCAACTTCGTCTTTCGAGATGCGGTCGAGGAGGGGGTACCAGCGACTCGGTATCGGTCGGCGCCAGACCTCGAGGAGGGGTAGCGATGCGGTCGCAATCACCACAGGTCCTTGCTGCACCACGAGCGATAAGCTTGGCACCTTGGAGCTGGCTTGCGCGTTGGTCACGGAGAACACAACGGGCGCGCTCGGGACAGATGGGAGCTGGTGGTGCAGCGGTAGCGTCGACGACGACGCCAACGACGGTGGCACCGACGCCGTGATCGTCGTCGGCAAGCCCGACGTTGTCACTGCGCTGGAAAGGACGAGCTTGGTCACGACGAGTTGGACGTCGCCACGCAGCTTTGGCAAGAACGTTCCCTGAATATGCACGTGGCCGGCCTCTTGCTCAAGCGCGAGCCAATCGTCCAGCTGAAAATTGGCGTCGGAAACAATGACGGGAGCGAGGAGCGAAGCGCTGCCGTTGGTCTGCCCCAGCGACGCACCTCTCGAGAAGAGACCGCATGAGACCGAGAGCGGCAGTGTCGGGACGCTGAGCACGACGTGGTCGGTCCATTTCGGTGCCCCGTCGCTGAGTTTGTACACGCTCGACTTGTACACGTCGAGGTCGCCCGCCCGTAGCCGAAGGTAAGGGCTCTAGAAGGCTATGTATGCAGCAGCACTCGAGCTCAACTTTCTACCTTCCACGAGAAAGCCACTTTGGCTTCCAAAGGCTCCAAGTAGAGTTTGCCGACCACCGGCGCCGGTGCAGCTGCGGGCAAGAGCGATATAAGCACTTGATGGTTCCCGAAGGACGTCCACTGCCGTGATTTATTCGGCACGGCCTTGACCGACCCGCTGCCGACGACGACGCCTTGGTACATGTCGATGCGCACAAACCCCTCATTGTGTGGCAGCAGAACACTCGGCTCCGTCTTGGTCGCCGATGTAGTCGTCGTCTCGATCGCGTCGCCAAGCGCGCAGAGAAACACATTCGTTTGGTACCACTGGGGTGAGCCCTTGACGTCGTGAAAGGTCAAGAGGAGGCCCGTGTCGTCAGAGGCTTCTCTCACGAGCTTGCGTACCGCGTGCAGGTGCACGTTGACAACGCAGACGCGGTCACCGGTCGCCGCCAAAGCAGGCAGCGCCAGCATTGCTACGTGGCCCTTGTCTGTGATGTACGGAAAGAGCGGCGTCACCGCTGTGGCTACGACAACACTCAGAATTCTTATTCGTATTCGGAGCGTACCGAGTGTGGTCTGAGTCTCGCCATGCAGGACAGTAAACGTAAGCAGTGGGTTGCAGCCCGGCGTCGAGAGACTCACTGCGTCGAGCAGTAACGGCGCGTCGATGTTCGCACGTCCTCCGACAACGGGACATGTGCTACTCCAATGTCGGTGGATCTTGGAGGCGGCGAATAAGAACTTACGCCGACGAGACGGTCTTTGTCTGCAGCAGCACGAGGAGCTGAACGCTGGCGATGCTCGCGGGCACTTGGTCGAGCGACAAGTTGTCGATGGAAACACTCATCGTCGTTATTTCGCTTGTTTGTGGCGGTAGACGCGTCACGGGCATCGAAGGTCCAGGGAGAAAGACCAGCGCCAGCACCGTGTCTTTGATGGGAAGCGATGAGAAGGACCATTCTCGCGGCTGCAGTAGCCACGCCGCGAGGTTGATGCACATCGACGGTGCGTCGGTGACGTGAATTTCGAGGTTCGGGCATCGCCTTTGGTCCGGACTCCAGTGCAGAGGCACGGCCATCTACGCCAAGCGGCGCTTCATCCGACGAGTCGACAGCAACAAAGTCGTACAACGCTGGACGACGGCGGCACATGCGTCGCCGACCAGTTGCTCGTCGAAATGCGCATCGTCGCCACCACTGGCATCCAATGAGAAAGCTGGCACTGCGAGCATGAGGTACCTGACGACGTGAGCTGGAGATAGAGAGTGCCGGGTCCAGGGACATACTGCACAGGGCTTGTTACGTCGCTGAACAGCTCCTCTTGTGTTTCGTCGGCGCACGGCTGTGACGCTATGCGGCAAACCACCTCGTGCCGAACCGAGCCGCTCAAGACAAGTGGCACCGGTCCTTGCCACGGCATCGCCACTGAGCCATCTACGCAGACCAAAGCAAAGAGTTGCTTTCGTATGTAAAATTACCTGTGAGCATGTCGCCGAAAATGTACCCGCGAGAGGCATCGGCAGCCTCGAGGACAAACACGGCGGTGCGGCAGTCGTCGACAGCCAGCTGTAGTTGCGCTTCGGGCGACAACGCGTGTTTGCGACCCTCCCAAGTCAAGACCACTGGGACATCGAGTGGCGCGACGAGGGAGAGCCACACGCGACGCGGCGAAGGCTCGTAGTCGCGTACGTCGGCGCCAAAGCCGACGCGGATCGTCGAGGACAAGGCGACGATAAAGGCGGTGGAGGAAGTTGCGCAGACGTCGCGGGAAAGACGCACCTCGTTGTCCAGGAGAAGCGTGAGGCTCAGAATCGGCTCCTCGAGACGAACAGAGAGCTCAACGTCGCAGTCGACGCACGACAACGCAGACGAGCAGTGGGCGGTGAGAGGCCGTGTCGACAACACGACGTCACCGCCACAACGGAGCTCAAAAGTCTTGGTCGACGTCGGGAGGTTGCAGAGGCGCGTCAGCCGAACGGTCGCCAAGTCAGCTTCTCGGGCAGCCACGACGAGGAGCTCGCCCCGCGGCGCCAGCGGCACCCACGCAGGCGTCTCCGAGAGCGCAACCTCGCACGTTCCGACCGTTGCATCGTTGGATGTCGCGTCCAGAATGGTCAGCGGTAGCGTCGACAGCGCCGGTATCTCGGGCACCGGCACCGTCCAGTGCCACGCCCACTCGGCGCCAGAGTTGGAGAGGGCGAGCGGTGACTCGATCGTCGTCGCGGGGGGCGGCAGCGAGACGCGGGCCAAGAGATTCCGCTCGGGAGCCACCAAATTTCGCGCTTCGACGATAAACAAGTGGCGAAATGCAGACATTGGGCTGCGCTGGAAGGGCTCGAAAAGTAGAGTCACCTCAAATTGGTGGCGCACCGCCCGCTGCGCCGGGTGCTCTTTGAGCTCACACATCACTGCGACTCCGAGCTGCAATGAGGCGAGTCGTGCTGTGCCAAGACTGCGGCTGCTACCTTCGGCCAACAGCTCAAAACGAAGGCTTCCTGCTGCCAGCGCGCGGTCTGTCGTCGGGAACGAGAGCGCTAGCGCATACAATGAGCCAATTCCAAGACCGTCTTGTCGTACCGGTGCCAAGAGGCAGAAGCGCCGAGACCGCGCCACCACCCGGCGTCAACGTTGCGACGAGGCGGCCTGACGTACCCTGGCGGGGCACCACCTGCACGCGGAGGTAGCCAGCACGAATAGTCTCGGCAGTAGTCCAAGGCCCTCGGTACGAGAGCTGTAGCTGGACGCCTGGTCGCAAGGTGACAGTGGCAAGGGTCTCGCTGACGACCCACTCGACCTCGTCCGACGTGGCGTCGGCCAATCGAAGCGCATCGCCGAGCTCGTACTCGCACGTCCACGGCGGCGGTCCGTCCAAAAGCTGCGCCGGCTGGCCAGGCCGCCACAGCCGCAGGCCGCCGTCGAATTTGCCCTCGGGCGCAATCTCGAGCCGGCCCATATAACCGTTACACCAGTTATAAAAAGGTTTAGTGTTACTAAACTCAAACTACACTATTCGTCATCGTCGTACTCTAGCGTAAACTCGGGGGCGGGGGCCGGCTCCTCCTCTTCAAAGTGCTTGACAGGCGCGACGACGGGCGCGACGACGGGCACCGGCACGGGCGCCGGCGGTGCCTCGGTTACCGCTGGCTTGGCGCCCCAGCGGGACTGACGCACCCGCTTCGGTGATCCGGACGACTGCGACTGAGCCAACGACGACGACGTAATAGCAGCACCAATCGACGTGTTATTCGAAGTGTAAGGCGGGTACTCGGCCACCTTTGTGGGCGGCGGCCCGTACGTCGACGGCGCATGGGGCGACGACCGGGGCGGCATCGACGATGAGCTCGTCTCGACGGCCGAGCCGAGCTGCGTCTCGCCGTGGGCAAATCTAAGTATCAACATATCAACACACAAGCTCCGTCACGGCGCAAACGACATACGTGCAGCGGTCGCCGTAGCGGCAGTTGCCCGACGGAAAATTCATGCAGAGACGCGTTTTGAGCTGCGGGCGGGGCGGGCGGGCGCCTGGTTCGCCCGGCTGCTGCGTCGGCCCGTCGTGCAAAAAGCGGCAGCTTGCGCCTCGGAAGCAGCGGCCTTGCGCATAGTCAAAGCAAACGCCCTTGGTGAACCCACCGCCGCCACCACCAAACGACGGCTGTCCGAACGACGACCCGCCCTGATGCGGTGCCGACGACGGAGGACCCTGGCGAAACGGAGGAGGACCCCCCTGGTTGAAGCCCGACGACGGCGGCCCCTGGTTGAACCCCGACGACGACGGTGGGCCCTGGTTAAAGCCAGACGACGGTGGGCCCTGGCCAAAGCTCGAGGAGGAAGGGCCCTGGGTATAGCTCGAGGAGGGAGGGCCCTGGTTGAAGCTCGATGACGACGGGCCCTGGTTATAGCTAGAGGAGGGTGGGCCCTGGTTATAGCTGGATGCCGGCGGGCTCTGCTGGAACGACGATGAAGAAGAGGCGCTTTGGCCAAACGAGCCTCGTGGAGGCCCTTGGTTGAACGACGGAGACGACTGCCGGTACGAGCTCGGTTCGCCGTAAAAGGATTGCTGCTGCGGAGGTGGCTGGACCGGGTCGGGACGCCGGCGACTGCCGCTGTCACGAACAGGACTCCGACTGCGGGATCTATGCAATCCCTTCAGCATTCCATGCCGCAGCAAAGCGTCACGTACCGCATGCGAGTTCGTCGGGGCGAGCGCGAGCGTGACCGGCCACGCGAGCTGCGCGGCGAGTCCCGTCGCGGCGACGAGGGCTGTCCGTATCGAGGTCCGTTGGAGGGAGCGCTTGTCTGCGACTGCGGTGCATAGCTAGAGTACGACGACTGCGACGGTGGGACCGCCGCATACGACGATGACGACGGCGCGTGCGACGGCGGGCTGCCGCTCGGGGCTCGACTATCGTGGTTCTTCTCTTCGCGCTGCTGCTTCATGCGCTTAATGTTGTCGAGAAGCATAGCGAGTTTCTCCTTCTCTGCGTCCGAGTTGAGCGGCGGCGCGGTGGACGTCGAGGCTGCGGGCTACGTCGTCTGCATGAGCCACCAGTCAAGACAGGTGCGCCGTACCGGTGGCGGCGGCGTGGCGAGGAACTCGGCGCCTCCCGCCTTCGTAATGTCGTCGCGCGAGTAGACACGCCGGGCGGCCCAGTCGTGCACGATGCGGTGTGCTTGATCCTACGTCCTGCGATAGGCGACAATCCTCGAGTAAAGATCGGCTACCTTGGCGTCGGGCGGGAGGTGCTTGACGGCCGAGATCGTGTGCGAGAGGTGCTTGCTAAAGCGCGCGGCCAAGACGTCCTTCTCGACGCCGTACTTGGCCTGCGACTGGCGGATGACGGCGTCAATGACGAAGAGGAACCCGAGCGGGTGTTCCGACTTCCACATCATCGTCTCGATCGCATGCACCACGCGCTTGTAGTCCTTGATGAGGCGCATGCAGACAGCGCTGGCGGCCTTGACGCGGGTCGCGGACGTGCCCTTCGGCGTCGCGATCTGGGCCAGCGCGTCCTTGATCTCGGCCTCGCCTTCCTTCCACGACAGCGCCATCCAAGACCAAATATCCACTCGTTCCTTGCAGGGATTTCGACCGGATAAACCTCCTACATATAATACTTGGTGCCGGCCGAGGGGCGACGAGAGGGCGGTACCATCGCACTGGCCGCGTCCATACCCGCGCGCATGCTTTCTCTACTGACACTACAGACAAGCCATGGCAAGACGACAGCTCTGCTGCACAGCGAGTTCTGCTCGCGGTGGTTCCGAATTATCAAGTATTAGAGGTTACGGCCGTCGTGGCAAGATCACGAGCAGCGTCCATCGTCCGCCGTTAACGCGGCGTCATACGCGCTTCAAGTAACGCACTCTGGGCTGTCGGCGGCGCTAGACTGTCGCTCTCTGATCGACAGCCGCACCACGCACGGCGCCACGTCCACCCTTACACCCTGCCACCCTTACACCCTACTAGTATGGTGGTCGCTCACGAGCACGAGAGCGATTTCTTTTAACCCGCCGCCTCGGTCGCGCAACCTCTGCGCTGGAGATGTACGCTTCTTCGCGGATCCGCGTCCTTGGCGCCACGCAACCGCCGGCGACGGCTGCCAAAGATCGCAATACTGAGCGCCAGCTCACGCGATCTTGTCCGTTTCATTGGTCGACGACGGGTGACGAACCAATCAGCGTCGAGCTAGGTCACGACGATGGGTCACTGGTCGAGTTGCCAAGATGAAGGAGTCTGCGCAGATCGTCGCGTCGCCGCAAGCGCGGTCCAACCAGGACGAGAGCGCCGTCAAGGGCTTTAGCCTCCGCGACCTCGTCGCCGTCATCGAGCGCGAGGTGCAGTTCCTCGATGGCACGATCCCGCTATCGCAGAAGGCCAAGCTGCAGGAGGCGCTCGCGGCCTACAGCGGCGACATGGACGAGCTCGGTCGCTACGTGCATTTTGACCCGTCGCGCAACTACACGCGCAATTTGATTGCGACCGACAACACGACGTACGCGCTCATTTTGCTCTGCTGGAACCGGGGCAAGTACAGCCCGATCCACGACCACCCGTCGGATGGCTGCTGGGTGCGCCATATTCAGGGCACGGTGCACGAGGTCCGGTACTGGAACGACGGCGTGACGCTGGCCGAGTCGTCGAGCGTCATGGTCACGCACGGCGTGACGTACATGGACGACTCGCTCGGCCTCCACAAGGTCGGCAACCCGAGCGACGAGGTCGACGCCATCACGCTGCACCTCTATGCGCCGCCGTACGAAAAGTGCAAGCTCTACTTTGACCCGGAAGACGCGACGAAGAACTCGGTGGCGTTCGCGACCTTTTACTCCGAGTACGGCGACATGACGCAGGGCGGCGATTATTAAGACACAAAAGATCCTGCGTCCTAGTCTAGTACACTCGGCCTCTTTGCGGCTCGTACAATACGTATCTAGTCTCCAAGGACGGAGCAACCTTCGACGTTCCGACGTGCAAAAGATTCTGGGTCGACATCATCTTCCGCCCGTCACATGGCACCGACTCATCGCTGGAACAGGACCTGCGCATGAGGAACACGCTAAGAGGCCAATAACCTCTACATCTCGTCGACATCTCCATGTTGAAGGCTATTGCTGCACAACTTGTCATGTCGTGTGGTGCAGTCCTGGGAGAAGATCTCGATGGTCCGTGACCTCATTTAAGGTACCATTCGGATCGAATGAGAAGTAGGTGCTTCAACAAGCCACCCGCCTGCCGCCTTCCGAGCACCGCCTTCCCTACTGACTGCGGCAACTCCGACGGCGGGAGCGCCGTGCCCCGCTTTTCAACCAATCATTGCGCTCCTTGGACCATTTCAGCCAATCATCGACGCAGTTCTGTAATTTAGCCAATCGGAGCCAGGTGAGGCCACCTGTTTAAACAAAAGATCGCAAGGTTTTGTATGACGATGAATTTGTATGCTCGAGGGATGATATCGAAATAAAAATATTGCGGTCCTCGGGACTCGGTGATTTGCCATGCGCTGCCTCCACGTGCTTGCGGCGCTGCTGCCGGCCGCGGCCGCCAAGACGATCCTACACATCTCCGACATCCACCTCAACATCACGCTCAATGAGCTCAACTACGGCCACGACTCGAGTCCGCGGTGCGACGCCGGTGCCAACGAGGTGCAGCTCACCCGTGTCCGCGTAGGCTGCTCGAGTCGGCACTCGCGTACGCGCAGAGCGTCTTACCCAACCCCGACCTCTTCTTGCACACGGGCGACTCGGTCGCGCACACCAAGCACAACGAGTCGGTCTTGCTGCAGAGCGTGCGCCAGAACGTGCAGGCCATGGAGCGCTACTTCCACGCGCGCAACGCCACCGCCATCGTGGGCAACGCCGACTGCGGTGCGGCGCCGCTCTAGCGCTATCACTTATTCCTATGGTTTGCTAGTCAAGGACTATCTCATGAACGTCACGGACCCGGCGAGCGGCACGAACCCGACGATCGGCATGATCGACGCGGCGTGGCGGCCGTCGCTGACGCCGGCGCAGTTCCAAGCCTTCGACACCCGTGGCTACCTCTGGTACCAGCTCGAGACGAACCTCATTCTCGTGACGCTCAACACAGTTCCGTACTCGGTACGATCATGGCTTTTCATATCTCGGTTCAAGTCGAAACGAACATGGAGCGTAGGTCCGCCACGCACCCAAGACGACCGACATACCTGATCCGTTTGGCCAGTTCGCATGGCTTCACCACGTCTTATCGGAAGCCAAAGCGAACGGCTCGTACGTGTACATTGCGGGACACATCCCGCCGATCATCGACTCGTATGCGGGCAAGCAGCAGTGGGAGGTGCAGTACATTGTGCAGTACCAAGCGATCGTGCAGCAGTTCCCCGACATCATCAAGGCGCAGGTAGACTCGCCCTCTAAATCCTATCTTATGGGGCGCTAGCTGTTTGGCCACGTCCACAACATAGAGTACCGGTACGCATCCGACATGCGCCCACGCCCCTCATGTCGCACGTATAGCGTCCCGATCCCGACGCTAGATGGCGCCGAAGGCGTGCCCCTCTTCGCGACGGGGGCGGTCTCGCCGTACTTTGGCAACAACCCGTCGTTTACGGTGCGTCCTTAACGCGGCATTGACACGACACGAACCTACGCCTAGGTGTGGGAGTACGACAATGGGACTTACGACCTGCTGGACTTTACGGTGTACGCGACCAACTTTACGGACACGCTCGTCGACTCGAAGATTGTCGGATGGAAAAAGGTCTTTACGGCGTCGACGGCCTACAACATCACGGACCTCTCAAGCACGACGCTGCGCAGTCTCACGCAGCGGTACGTTCATCCGTGTTTTTGCGTCTGAACATGGAGGATGCACTAGCATGAAGAACGACTCGGCTCTGCTTTACGAGTACTACCGCCACACCAAGGCCGACTCGAAGCGCCTCCCGCCGTGCACCAACGACGACGACTCTGCGTGCTTGGACGGTATTCTCTGCACGCAGACGTGGTTCACGACGCCCGACCAGTACCTCGAGTGCGTCGACGAGCGCATCGAGGAGCGGGGCGGCCGCCGCCGGCTCATCCACGCGATCCCCCGCATCAGCTGGTTCTACGCTCTCCTCATCTCGGCGGTCGTCTCGGTCTTGGTGAGCCAGCTCCTCGTGTGGCTCCACCACCGCCTCAAGCGCACCAACTACGTCTCGATCCGCGACCCCGTGCACGTCGAGCCGTAACAGGATTTCACAGCGTTATAAATTACATGAGCACGGTTTAGTTGAGCTCGCCAAACTCCGAGTAGAAGCTCGAGACGGCCGTCGACACCTTGGTCGCATCCGATGGGTCGAACCAGAGCTTGCACTTGTCGTACGGCGGCGCGTAGAGGTGCAGCGTGATCGCGTCGACCTCATCGCTCGGGTTGCCAATCTTGTGGAGGCCGAGCGAGTCGCTCATGAACGAGACGCCCTCGACGATGTTGTCGTTTGACGTCTCGACGAGCTCGGTGCCCGTGTTGGCGTACCGGACCTCGTTGACCGTGCCCTGGATGAGGCGGACCCAGCAACCGTCGGACGGATGGTCGTGGATCGGGCTGTACTTGCCCTTGTTCCAGCAGAGGAGCATGAGCGCGTACGACTCGTTGTCGGTCGCAATCAGGTTGCGCGTGTAGTTGCGCGACGGGTCAAAGTGGGCGTAGCGTCCAAGCTCGGCCATGTCGCCGCTAAAGTCCTCGAGCGCGTGCTTGACCTCGTCCATCTTGTGCAGCGGGATCTTGTCGTGGAGGTCGATGACCTGCTCGATGGCGTCGACGACCTCGCGCAGCGACAGCGACTTGCGCTCGGTCTTGGTCGTCGTCAGCATGGAGATCTGAGTGGTTGGTTGCGTCTTGGGGAATGTCGAAGGTTCGGTGCAACTAGCCAGCTATTTTGGGATCTTGTGTCTCTTTCGCGGATGTATACCGCCCATACTTTACCCAAGTCCCATGAGAAATGACTGGGGGTTTGTATAGAAAGCCGTCGGAAACGGGACACCACGTGGCTTGAACTTCAAGGTGGCCATCACCGCCCCTCGCAAGCCCGCAGTAAAAGCGAGGGAGCTCGGCGAGGGTGATCGATGGCAAGCCATTGAGCAGCATCGAAGCCGCAGTCTAGAAGCCCTTCGGTGGAGCAGTACAGCAGCGCGTGCTTGGCGAATGACCAATGCGAGTTGCGTGGGATTAGCCACCTTTCTCAATCGTTGTACCGCAAGAACTTGCGTTTTGGACACGCATCACGCGCGCAAGGGCGCATGCTTGTCGTGACGTATACAGGGTAGCCAGCACATCCTTGCCTCCGCCCCACCAGCTGCATTAATTGTCCGAGGTCGTTGGCTGGGGCATTCTCCGAGCCCCAGTGAGCTACGAAACGTTGCAAAATCTACGTGCCACCGAGCTTGTCGGCGTTGCGCCAGGTGTACAGCCGGTCTGGTTTGGCCGGTCTGGTTGCGAAGGGCGTCGTCGAATTGGAGAATTGGAGCCCACATGTGTGCTCATTAGATTCGTCTCCACAAAGCACGCAGACCAACGCCAGGAGCTGCCACGAACGCGTCCACTGTAGGTCAACTTCTCCGGGTCCAGGCCCCGCCTCTCGGTCCATCGGGCCCTAGAAACGTTCGGCGAAGCTTCCACCATGCTCGGGCGGTCTTTGGCGGCCGCCCGAAAAGCATCGTATCTTTGTGATGGACGACGCCAAGCGAGCGGCCGACGTCTGCGCCGAGATCCGCGCCCGCGTGCTCGCCGGTCCCGACGGCCACGAGGCCAAGCTGCTGCTGCTTGCCAGCCTCTTGCACCGCCATGGCCTCATCTCCAGCATAGGCAAGTCGCTGCTCAAAGGTAGCACGGCCACGTCCCGCGTCCATCGTCATCTTCCTGTTGACGTAGAGCTCCTCTTCCAGCACGACGTCCGGGGACGGCAGCTCGTCGATGCGATTGTGGCCGAAGAAGTCTCGGGCAACGCAGAACCTGCGTGGCGCACGCGCACCCGCAAGCTCATCGGTATGTGCACCTGCATGCCAAGCTGCTCATGGATATGCTTAGACATTGAGACGTTCAAGCTCTTTGACTCTCTGTATCTCGACTGCCCGCTCGAGAAAGGCAAGGACATCTCACGCAAGGACCGCGAAGAGCAGGAGCTCCTGCATGAAAAGGTATGTCACGGCTCACGGCCCATCGACCATGCGTCCATCTAGTCGCTTGTCTACGGCGAGGTCGACTACCATGCGTTCCTCGACGTCCTCTCCCGCGTGCCCATCCGCCCTGGCGACACCTTTTACGATCTTGGCAGCGGTACCGGCCGCGCCGTCTTCCTCGCGCGCCTCAACTTTGATTTCGCCAAGTGCGTTGGCATCGAGCTCCTCCAAGGCCTCCACGAGGCGGCGGCCGAAATCTGCCGCAACTACACCGAGTTTGTCCAGCCCACGATCTCGACAACGTCGCCGCAGCTCGCGGTGGCCTTCTTCCACAGCTCGTTCCTGGACCTCGACTGGTCGCACGCAGGTACACCGGTCTCTTCTGCGTTGCCTCAAGCGATCTAGACGTGTGCTTTGCCAACTCGACTTGCTTTGACGCGTTGCTGCTGCAACGCATGTCGGCGCAGGCCGAGCGGCTTCGTCCCGGCGCCTACTTGATCACGTTCACAAAGCCGCTCGACTCGACGGCCTTTGACATCATCTTCAAGCAGCGCTACAGCATGAGCTGGGGGCCCGCGACCGTCTACCTCCACCAGCGCCTCTAAGCAGCATCTGTGTTTGTCATTCATATGCGTAAAGCTATCCTCGACGCTGCGACGACCTAGCGCCGGGAGGACCGGTCGTCCGACGACGATCGGCGGCGGCGTTCACGGCGGGGCGACGAGGAGCGGCGGCGGTGGTGCTCGTCCGGCGACGACGACCGGTGGCGACGGCTGCGCGAACGAGAGCGCGACCGGGAGCGCGACCGCTTGGAGTGCCGCTTGGGGGACTCACTGGCGTCGCGCGACCTGCGGGACGATGACGACTTGCGCTCTATCCATGTGCAGAGCATGAGCATACCGATATCAATCGAGAGTGTCAAGTGTACCGCGGGAGCGGGACGAGCGGTCGTCGCTGTCGTCGTCGCGGTGCTTCTTGGCCTTGGCATCCTTCTTCTTCTTCTTCTTCGCTCTCTTTTCCTCCTTGGATTTCGTCGTAACCTCGCCGCAGTCGGCGATCGTCACGTCCATCGCGGGCTTGTCGTTGCGGCCGCGGTCGACCGCGACCATCTTGCGCACCACGTCCATGCCGTCAATGACCTCGCCAAAGACCACGTGCTTCCCGTTGAGGTGCGGCGTCGGCGCGAGCGTGATGAAGAACTGCGACCCGTTCGTGTTGGGACCAGCGTTGGCCATCGAGAGCAGCCCCGCCTTCGTGTGCTTGTGCTTGAAGTTCTCGTCCGCAAACTTGGCGCCGTAGATCGACTCGCCGCCCGTGCCGTTGCGGTTCGAAAAGTCGCCGCCCTGGCACATGAAGCCCGCGATGATCCGGTGGAAGATCGAGCCTACGCCATGCTCAGACCAAGGCGCTTTAGGTGCATGTAGGTGTACCCTTGTAGTGCAGCGGCTTCTTGGTGGTCTTGCCGAGGCCGCGCTCGCCGGTGCAGAGCGCGCGGAAGTTCTCGGCCGTCTTGGGCACGTCCTCGTAGAGGCGGAAGTCGATGCGCCCGATGGGCTTGCCGCCCACGGCCATGTCTACCTCAGCATGAGCCTCTTGCTTGCAGCATCATCCTACCAAAGTAGACGCGCATGCTCAACCTTGCAACTGTGGATCGAGTGGTCCTGTTTTCAGTACAAGCACATTCTCGATACAAGAACTACTAGCGGAGTGGGCTGGTGGGAAACCTCTTGTTGAGAGAAAGAAATAGAAACTCAAGTCTCCCATCGGCAGTGGAGTGGAATACTGTGCCTCGGGCAATGTGCACGTTTCGGCAGACGCCGAAAGTAGTTGCCAGAGGAGCAAGAGGACCCGCCGCAGCCTTTTCATTTGGCTTTTCGCTACTGGGTGCTATTTTGGCTTCCGCCTTCTTTTGGGCTGCGGCGCTGGAGTCTTCCGCGTTGCTCAATGAGTTATGTGGGGCGCTCGTCCTGTACGTGCTGGACAGCATCCAACCGAGGGTGGAGGAGAAAAGACAAACAAACAGTCAAAATTACAGATCCAATATATCCAAAGCTTCATTTGCTCTTAGGGATGCTGAAATACACTCACGCACACTTACTTGCCCGGGTGGAGGCCGAGCTGGCCCGGCGTCGGCTCACCCGTGACTTCGCCAAAGTACAAGGCAAACGTGGCCTTGAGCTCTTCAATGTTGGCGCGGTCCTCCATCCACGACTGGAATGCGAGCGAGTTGGCGCGCTGAATGTCCCAGGGCTGGACGCCGCTGGACGGCAGCAAGTCCGTACGCGGCGAGAAGCCATTCATGAGGGTCGATTGAACCTCCTTGGAGACGATCCAGTTGACAAAGAGCTTGGCGGCCGCGGGGTGCGGCGCCTCCTTCAGAATCGCGATGCGCTGGCCCCACGCAAGGTAATCGGACGACGAGTTGGCACCCGTGATCTCCTTGACCGAAGCCGGCATGGGCGAGGGGGATGAGCCCGCGATACCAATAGCCTTGCGCTGCGCCGTGACAGCGAGGTCCGGCGTGTGCGACCCGCGCTTGAACTCGATCTGCTGCGCCGCCAGCTTCTTGACCCAGTCCCAGCCGTACTCCTTGACGTAGCGGTCGTAGACGAACAAGGTCGCGTCGTCGTCGTGCGGATAGGCCGACGCGAGAAGGCCCGCGTACTTGGGGTCCGCGAGGTCTTTGGCGGTTGCGGGCGGCGTGAGGCCCTTGGCCTGCAGCTGCGCCTCGTCGTAAAAGTAGCTGAACGTAAAGACGGCGTGCGAGAGCCACGTGCCATCCGGGTCGGTGAAGCCGTCGTAGATGTTGCTAAAACCGTTGGGCTTGTACTGGAGGAGCTTCTCTTGCTTCTTCCAGCGAGGGTAGTCGTTGAGCGTCTGGAGCGCGACGACGTCCGCGACGAGCGTCTTGGTCTCGATCTGGTTGTCGATGCGAACGTTGTGGTACTTGCTGTAGTCGACGATCATGGTCAAGTTGAGATCCGGGTACGTAGCCCGGAAGGCATCAGCGACGTAGTCTTGCTGCGTGGCGTGGTCGCCGCCGTGGTAGACCACGAGATTGCCGCCTTCCTTGCGCGCTTCTTCGTAGAGCTCGGTGAGGGACTTGGTCTCTTCTGCGATCGCCGAAAGCGACCCGCAGCCCGCTCGGAGCGATGCGCTGGTTGTCGCGACGACGAGGGCGAGAACCGGGAAGACGTGGAAAAGCTTCATACTTGGGGTTTGGGAGAAAATCAAACAATGAGGTTCCATGATGGTGTCATCCTGAGGGCCGACAGATTCGCAAGAGTTCAGATCTGGTTGGGATGACTCCAGTCGTATGCGAAACGAACAAGACATATGTGTCCCAGGTTGAAGTGCATATCTCAAACGACGACACCACCGAGAAGACCACGGAGACCAAAGACGGACCGATAAACGTACTCCACCCCTCTATGCGCTCCACTCCAACGCCAAATACCCGGTATGTGATGCACCCACCGATTGTGTGTGGCACGATGTCCCTCGCATTCGTTTGGACGCGTTGCACCAACTAAAACCTACTGCCCCGTACATACACTTTGCGCAGGATGCACATGTCACAATGTCACACGAGGACATATTCCTGTCACCAAGAGCGTATGTTGGTCACTGGACCGGAACAATCATCCGACCCGTACCGAGGTACTCGATGTTTCACCGACCTGCATATTTGGGGCCAAAGAATTCGCGGAAGTTGTTTCCGCCCTCGTGCAATATTGACGTTAGTGGGTTGCACGACAGAAGAACGACGCGCTACTCGAGATGCAGACAATTGCACCCGAGTCTCCGATTTCAACCGGCAAGTATGCGGGTGTGCGAGACATGCAGTTTCGCCTCAACATGGATAGATACAGATCATTTCTCCGTGTATGGAAGCAGCCGTTTTGACAATAGTACTCGATGAAATGTGCACACCATCTTTGCGTTTGGAAATGCAGTCGGCAAGGTTGGGCACATTGGTAAAGAACGCTATGGAGGGCACGGAAAGCGAGGTCGCGTCGACGTACGAGGCGTACAGCGATAGCGAGACGCGATCCAAGACGCGCGCCAAACTGAGATCGTAGTGCCATCTGAGAGGCACAACGCACTCCAGACTAAGATCGTAGTGCCATCTTAGCGGCATCACGCCACGACGCCGACGTTGCTTGTCGCCAACATCACGTTTGAAATGGAATCGCCTAAAGTTGGTACAGTGATAGACGACACTTTGGAGAGCAGAGCAGACTGCGATACGTCGTCGTTGCAAGCCTAAAACGCGCGCAATGCTCGACGACAAATACAAAGCGCTCTTAAAACGTTAAAATGCAAATCGCCGCATTGGTACGCCGTAGTTTTCGTCTTCTGCACTTGTAGCGACGATTTCCCCTTCTAGTGGATCAAGATTGCGATTCCTAGCCACATTTACGGAGTTACTACCTCCAGCACCATTGCATTCGGTGGAGCGATTGGAGCGAGGTGCTTGTAGCTCACAATGCTCGGGCTTCCGCACTCGCAGTGATCTAGTATCACAACGCGTGTGATGGTATTCATGCGTCCTCGTATGCC